TTTTTATTTGGTCTGACATTCCGGCATACTTTACCAACTTAAACACTTCCTACCCACTCCTTATCATCTTATATTATTATCCTGAAATCTTACCTAACAGCTGCTTCGGAGTAAGTGGCGGCAACGAGTTCTCGGAATCGGACCGAGAGCAAGCCGGCGTCCCACAAGGGAGCATTCTTGGCCCTATCCTTTATATCACATACACGCTGATCAACCTGCACACTCCAATACATCATCAAGCGGACGATACCGCAAGCTTGTCTGCGAATCCTTTCAACCTACTTCCAATATCCAAGAACACCTAGAGGTTATCGAAGACTCGTGGAAAAAATAGAGGACATGTCTGAATGAAGACTAATAGACTGTACATCATCACAAAGAGATACCGACTTCCCTTCAAGTCAAATACCTAGGGCTATATCTAGACAGCAGACAGACGTTGAATCCCCAAGCAAAACTTAAAAGACAACAACTTTACAGAAGACTTGGACAACTCTTCAACACTAAACTAACCTTATACAAAACTTTACTGCATCCACTTTGTACAAACGGAGTCGAACTGTGGGACTCTGCCAAGCCATCCAACATTCAGCGCTTCCAATCAAATGTTTTCAGACAAATCGTCCAAGCGCCTTACTACGTCACTAATCCCATTATCCACTACTACCTCAACATTCCTTTTGTCAACGAACTGATCCGTTCCCGATTCAAAAAGTTTCACACCAACCTCTCGAACCGTCTGCCTTTGTTTCATTTTTGCCGCATCTAAGCCACGTCTGGCTCTTTGCAGCTTGTTGTCTAGCACTGCTATTTATGCTTTTTTGATTATAGACGGACCTTTCTTATTTATATTTGACGGTCGCATCTCCACTCCACCTGGCGAGCTCTTAGTTTCAGTTTTATTAAACTGAGTCCAGGATGGGCCTCGCGGTGGCGGCTCGCTCGGGATGTTCAGATGGAGGAGGTATCGGCTTGTCTGACTTTTCAATATTGTTCTTTATTTAATTTGTCTGCCAGCCTTTTCGTCTCATTATGCAATTCCAAATTTTATGTGTTGCAGTGAAACCTACCCGGCTGGCAATTGCTTTTCTGAGGGCCTCCATAGTCGCTGTTTGCTCATTGATTTCAATTCATTTACGGAGAACAATGTGGCCTTCATAACTTATTAAGACGTGTTCCGCCTTTTCTTCCAAACCGCACTCACACATCGAGATGGGTTTAAGACTGAAGGCAGGGAGTTTGGCCGCAAAATTTCCATGACCTGTCAGAAGTTGAGACGTAAAACGATCAATGACTAGATGTTTCATTTTCATTCGATTTTTTATGTTGGGGAGTAGCTGATAAGTGTGACGTCCTTTGGATGAATGGTCCCAACTTAGCTGCCCTCCCTCTTCATCCACTCATCAGCTTGTTCAGTACTAATAATTGGGATACACGGTGGGTGTCCATTCTTTAACTCCCATTGTGCGCACAGGGCTTTCGCTTTTAAGTCAATTGGTGGTCTGCCAGCAATAACCTGTAGAGCTGTCGTAGATACTGTCCTGTATGCTTGAGTGACTAAGTAGGGCTGCACGCTGGGCACGTTCAAGGATCGCCCAGTCATTCGCCCGTAATTTACTAGACCAAGCTGGTGCCGCGTACAGTATGACGGACTCGCACAATGCCGTGTAATATCTCGTTTTGTACGATACTCCCCACGTAAGACTTAAGGAGCGGATAGCTGCAATTCTTATAGGCACCTTAGCTTTTGTATTCAGGGCATTCGCGCCAAACCTTAGGCCCGATGTGAATGTTACTCCAGATATGTTAGGGCTGCAGGGCTTTTTATGGTCTGGTCGCCTATACGTATTACAGGTGGCGACCTAACATTGAGTTTGCCCTTCAGTAACATGAGTACCGTTTTTCTGGGGCCAGTTGCAACTTAGTTCTCTGGCACCAATTTTCAAGCTTGGACACGGCGAGTGTACCCTTCTGTTCTATCTGTGCTTTCGTGTCTGCTTGTACCAACTTCCCGAACCATCTTACCCCTTCTGCTCGAGCCCTCTCAACACATTCCCATCCCTAGAACCCACCACGTCTCGAGAGACCTCCTTGCCCATTAGGCCCTCACACTGAGTGTCAGCATGTGTCCTACGGGTGCAGTGCTGGCATTTGTGTTAGTGCTTTGACCGTGTGAAAAAAAAGTTCTTTATCAACTAGTTCTGGTGGAAAAAGAAGAACCCTAACCCTACCTAACCTAACACGTCCCTTACACCGACCTAACCCTACATAACCTAGCCATTCTTTACTTCACCCTAACTCTGACCTAATCCTAATCCTGAGAAACATGTTATTTTTTTAAATAATTTCAAAGTTAATAAGATGGCAGTTAATTAAATAATTATGCTTTCATTAAAAAAAGAACCCTAAGTAATTTCTATGAAGACAATTAAGAATAAATGAGATTCACCAATTGTAATAATACAATTCCAGCTCCATTTTTTTCCTATTAAATATAGAAAAAAATCGATCGGATATTGTAATTATTTTAACACTGAATTCTTTAATATCCATTTATTTATTCAATTGTTTAAAGTAATTGATTGAAAATTGTGAATCATTTTGTTATTATCTCTTTGAAAACACAACTTCTGGGGTGTACGACTTTTGTTTTTACTTTTTCAAGTCCTTTAGGCACCTGTTGTCCCCCTTCGGTTGTTCAGGTAGATTAAAGGTCCGTCGCCCCTTGCTCTGTATAGATCAATATCGCCATTTATACACTCGACCACATGTCGAATCGAAATGGAGGCTGTTATTTTTTTTCTTCAAATAAATTAATCACAAATCATACTCGTTTACAACATGGAAACAACGTTACAATGATTATCAGGTAAACTGAAAAGATAATGGCTATTAATATTTCCATAATTCATATTTGCTCAATGGGCTTTTGAGCTGTTAAATAAGTAAGCTGTTTAAAATTAAGTTACAAAACATTTAGAAGGATTTTCAACAAGAAAATCTAGTGAAGCCTAGCTTGATAAATTGTGCAAAAAGCGTCAAAAATTAATCAAAAGTTAGATAAATTATTCAAACAGCTCGAAAATTAAACGAAAAGCTTGATAAATTAAACAAATATATGATAAATTAAACAAAAAAATTTTGATGAATTATTCAAAAAACCTTGATAAATTGTACAAAAAGCGTCAAAAATTAATCAAAAGCTAGATAAATCATTCAAACAGCTTGGTAAATTCATCAAAAAGCCTGATAAATTAAACGAAAAGCTTGATAAATTAAACAAATATAGGATAAATTAAGCAAATATATGATAAATTAAACAAAAAAAGTTTGATAAATTATTCAAAAAAACTTGATAAATTGCACAAAAAGCGTCAAAAATTAATCAAAAGCTAGAGAAATCATTCAAACAGCTTGGTAAAAGTTTGATAAGCACAACAGAATTTTGATTAATTCAACGAAAGCTTGATAAAGTGTACAAAAAAGCTTGTTAAAAGGTTCAACAGATCTATTGACTCTTTAAAAGCATGATAAATTGTATAAAAAACTTGATAAATTCATCAAATGTATGATAAATTTAAAAAAGTTTGATAAATTATTCAAAAAAACCTTGATAAATTGTACAAAAAGCGTCAAAAAGATGATAAATTATATGAAAGACTTGATAATCATTTCAACAAATGTTTGATAAATTAAACAAAAAAAGTTTGATAAATTATTCAAAAAATCTTGGTAAATTGTAAAAATTCTTGACAAATTGAACAAACGTTTTGATAAATTCAATATTAAAAAAGTTAATAAATCAATCAAAAAGCTTCATAAATTGTACAAAAAGCGTCAAAAAGATGATAAATTATATGAAAGACTTGATAATCATTTCAACAAATGTTTGATAAATTAAACAAAAAAAGTTTGATAAATTATTCAAAAAATCTTGGTAAATTGTAAAAATTCTTGACAAATTGAACAAACGTTTTGATAAATTCAATATTAAAAAAGTTAATAAATCAATCAAAAAGTTTCATAAATTGTACAAAAAGCTTGAAAAATTCAACAAATGTTTATCAATTCAACAACAAAAAAAACTAGATAAATTCACTATACGTTTTATAAACTCAACTGCTGATAAATTATAAAAATAAATTGATAAATTATTCTAGTATAAAAATCGTCATAAATTCATCAAAATCTTAAAAAATGTATAGAAAAAAGCTTGTTAAATGATTCACCAGATCTATTAATTCATTAGAAGAATGATCAATTGTACGAAAAGCTTGATAAATTCAACAAACCTTTGTCAATTTAACAAAAAAATCTTTATAAATTGTACAAAAACTTTTTAATTTTAAGAAACGTTTAATAAATCGAACGATAGCTTAATAAATTGTGCAATAAAGCTCGATAAATTAAATGAGCGACTCGATAAATTCAACAAACAACTTGTTAAATGGAACAGAAGCTTGGTAAATTCAACAAAAGCTTGTTAAATGACTAAAAAGCTTAATTCAACAAACATTTGACAAATTTAATTAACTGGTTACTAGGCACGAACTTTCTCTTTTAAACAAAGGAACAACCGATACCATACCAATCAGAATAAACTATAGCCATTGTGCCCTGGCAAATAGTGAACTTCTGGCCCGGTAAAGAGAAATAAATAATGCACAAGGTCAATTAATTATTAGATCAAAAGATAAAAATTGCCTGAAATAAGACTGGAAGTTGTGAATATTTTATGGAATGTTGACCTAATTCCAAAGATAATTGATTGAGTTTCCAAAAAAGCAAAGTTATCTTTTTAGTTTACAATAACTGATTTATAAACGCAATAAATTGATTTTATATGGCGTTTTGGTTCAAAATTTTTTGTTATATCAAAAGTGCGAGAAAATTTAATGTAATTTTTTTTTTTTACTGCTTAATTTGATTTTTGTGGTCGGGACTGTAAAAAAAATTGTCCAGAGAAAATCTACGTCTGTCAAACTTAAAAATATGAAGACCTTGATTTAACTGCTGTTGGTTCATGTCCTCGTGTCCTCCGTTCGCACCTCCTATGAGACGAACGAAGCTGCTCCTGCGTTCTTCGCTCCCAGAAGGGACGGACGCCGCCCCAGGAAGCGAGAAGAGCCTCTCTTCCTGCATCGTTATAGATTCAGTCGACCTGACGTTCTCATCTTGGACCAGGGGCACATCTAAAGATCGCACCGGTGAACATCGGCTACCTAAACCCTATTCTTTTCCTTGTATGTATTTAATGCTATTTGGTGAAAAGTATTTTACCAACAAAAAGACCTTTTATCCCTTACTCACTGTCTTAAAGGCTATTCATCTAGTATTCTACTACTTAATTATTTATAAATTATTCCTAACATTGAAACTATAAACAGATTATAAGAGTATAAGTCATACATCAAAAGAGCTTTTGACCATGAATGATTAAACTCAACTGTTACCCTTGGATCTTAAGCTCATGAAAATTATAGATTTTGTATCTAGCAAAAGCTGTCCAACCCATGAAATTATAGAATTTACCCATGTGCCCTCCTCATTTCTCTCTCTCTCCCTCCTCTCACTCTTTCTTTCTCACTTTTTTCTCTTTGTTTATCTTGCATCTCTCTCCTATCCCTCCCTCTCTCCTATTTCTCCCTGTATTCTCTCTCTCTCTCTCTCTCTCTCTCTCTCTCTCTCTCTCTCTCCCTCCTCTCTCTCTTTCTTCATTTTTCTTTTTTTCTCTTTCATCTCACCCCTCCTTATTTCCTTTCATTCTATCTTTCTTTTTTCTCTTTGGTTCTCCTATCTCTCTCTCTCATCTCTTTCATCTCTCTCTCTCTCTCTCTCTCTCTCTCTCATCTCTCCTATTTCTCACTCTACCTCTCACTCTCTCTCTCTCTCTTTCTCTCTCATCTCTCCTATTTCTCACTCTCTACCTCTCTCTCACTCTCTCTATCTTCTCACTCTCTCTATCTCTCTCATCTCTCCTACCCCTCCTCCTTCTCTCCCTCTTTTTCTCTCACCCTCTTTTTCTCTCTCTCTCTCTTTCTCTCTCATCTCTCCTATCTCTCACTCTGTCTCATCTCTCTTATTCCTCCCTCCCTCTCTCTCTCTCTCTCTCTCTCTCTCTCTCTCTCTCTCTCTCTCTCTCTTTCTCTCTCTCTCTCTCTCTCTCTTAATATTTAATAAATTAGAAGTAGAGTAAAATTAGTAATCATTGTGTTTCACATTACATGTAAGAATGGTCCCTGNTCTCTCTCTCTCTCTCTCTCTCTCTCTCTCTCTCTTAATATTTAATAAATTAGAAGTAGAGTAAAATTAGTAATCATTGTGTTTCACATTACATGTAAGAATGGTCCTTGAGACCAAATCTTGTGTGACTGATAAATAAAGCGTTTTCTCTGCCTGTCTCTCTCTCTCTCCCTCTCTTATCTCTCCCTCGCCCTCCCTTTCTCTTTCTCTTTCTCTTTCATTGTCTTTCTTTTTCGTACTTATTACTACTGTGGTGTAATTTTTTGTACATGAAAGGAACAACCTGATAGAATTTGACACAAAAGAGTTGGATCAGTTTAATACCTAAAAGACATTGGATTTTCTAGAAGAATTCCAATTTAAAGAAGCATATCGTTCATTCCGAAAAGCTGAATATCTTTATTAATTGATCACAAGCGCAATATTGCGATCCGCATATCCAGATTTTATAACTTCCCCACTGTTCAAGGTCTATTTGCTGATGACTCTACTGTGTCAACATGAATTATTTTACATATATGGAAAAGGATGGCATTAACGTTCATTCAAAATTGTTCAAATACTCACTGAACGCTCCTATTTTGGCGGTCTGGTTTCAGAGACTAAATTAAATAACCGGGTGACACGGAGCCCAGAAGCTCGATTAGCTCGCAAAAAGGAGTTGGACGTCCATGACAACCGTGGACAACAGAAAGGATCGATTTTTTCCTATTACCTTTGGCAATTTGTCATATTAATTATATAAACAGATAAGAACAATGCTTATTAAATATTAACCGTTGTATTAATTGTCGACGATGTCTTATCCTTGCTATAAAGGCTTCCTCCAGAAGATAGAAAGCAGAAGAAACTTAAAAAAAAAAAAACAGTCAGAAGTTTGGACGAATATTAAAATTAGGCCCTTATTTTAAATAGAAAGGCGGGCAATGCCCTTATACAAGTAAAAAAGGTAGGAGAGGAAAGTACGCGCTTTTAGATCCGTTATGACAGGATTGGTAAGTTAAATACATATTAATTTTGATAAATCTATAAAAGTCAACTTGGTCTGTTAGAATTTTAGTTTATTTTGTACAAGCTTTCAGCCATTTTATCAAAATGTTGTGTGGATATTAAAAATTTATGAAGATAAACCATAAGCATTTTGATTTTAAGTACACTCCGCATGTTAAACCCGTCGAGGAAAGTGTGGTCGTCCTCGAAATAATCTAGTTTTACATTTTAAACTGTATTGTCAATACGAGAAAGTGTTTTTTTCCAGAATATATCTGAATGTTTCGATTTTCAATAAGCTCAGGATGATACTTAAAACCGTTTAAGTAAATGTGGTCCTCCGGGCCGGATATTCTCAAAAACAAGTTTCACATTTTGTACAATATTCACGACCGCAGGGAATGTTTTTCATGCGGAATATATCAGAGAATGTGAAATCTGACAGGTTAAAAGTTATAATGAGGTGCTTAAAATTTACAAATGACTCACAACAGGTAGTCAAAAGGGTTAAAAAAGATGTGAATTTTTTAAATTCTGAATTAATCGACCATATTTTGTTGAGTACGATCCAATTTATTCCGCCATAACGAGACGTTGAGAAAAATGTGGTCCTCCGGGCTGGATCACGACATAATCTAGTAAATATTGTCAAAATTTTGCTTTATTTTGTACAAGCTTTGTATACCACTTTATGAAGTATCTTGGGTATAAAGATTTTACCCATTTAAACCATAATTCTTCAAATTGAAAAAATGTGCTCCTCCGGGATACATATAAATACCCAAAATATAAATCATATTCTGCAGAAATTGCGGAAGTACACTGCGCATAATATTCAAAACCGTCAAGGAAATCCGGATTCTCGAAACGATCTTTTTAGTATTGTTGAACCCCTTTATGCTAATTTTCACGCAGAATGTTTCTGACATGAGAAAGCTGCTAAGCTTGAAACTCTGAATGAGAGCTAAAAGTTTCGAAATTCACAATTTCTCCAAAATAACTTACAACATAAAAAATTGCTCGCATACTAAATCAAAATTGTTTTTAAATTTTCTATGAATCTTTTAAAGTCTGAGATAGGAAATTTAATTTGGCTTAGAATCTATAGAAAGGATATAGCAGGTGAGCACGCATAGGTACACCAATTCTAAAACGCCTTTTTTGAAGAAATATTTTGTTTTGTAAATATTAAATGTTTACATCGTTTCAAGTTCCTGAAAATGTACACAAGAGTTAGAGGAAATCCAGCGATGCGTTTCTCCGGTTTCAAAGGGCTTGAAACGATTAAGAAGTTTACAACCTGATAAGCCTTTAATTATGCTAGGCTTCTATCTTGACAAGCCACCAAGTATATCTAGGAGGGGGAAAAATCGACTATATTCCGGCTAATTGTTTTCAGCCGATATTCTAATCCTTGTTTTATCTATTTTACTTTTTTTTCAAAAGTAGATAAATATAGTTTGGAGGATATAGTCTATTGTCCAAGCTCGATTTTATCTTTATATTATCTTGAAAATACTTACAGTAGCTGAAACCCATCGGCCTCCTTTCTTCCTCCTCAATGCTCCTCGACGGAGCCACCTTTAAATCCGTAGTTGCCATTTTCTGTCGAACAAAAAAAAGGCTTAGAAAATTCAAATAATTTTAAAAATTGTGAAATAATTTCAAGCAGATTGGCACTTCAATCTAACGTACAAATGAAATAAAATTTTTACACTTTACAAGAAGGAATAAAGAGAGTATAGACCCAGGAAAATAAGAAATATTTGCATCTACACAGTTGCCTGTTTCTACTGTATTGACTGATATAACAAGACTGAAATAAATCCGTGTTGGTCGGCTGGACGTTGTGGAATTATCGAAGCGGATTTCCCGAAATACATACTCATGATAAATAGTGCATTATGAACACAAACCCAATGGAAGGGATGGAAGTGTTTGTTCCGAGAGCCTAGTTTAATTCTTGAAAATCCATTTGGAAATTAATGTGCTCCACATTAGAAATAATAGTTGCAATGACAGTGCACGAAAACTAAATTTTCGGTGTATTTTAAGGTCGTACTGTTGGGTCGAGATTTAAATTTATTCTAAGCAAACTGTAAACGTTTAGATTTTAAATACTCTCCTCCATGAGATAAGGGGAAAATGAGGTCTTCCGGACCGGATTCGAGAAATAATCTAGTTTCGCATTTTAAACTGTGTGAACAACCCATAAGGAGCTTTTTCAGAATATATCTGAAATGAGAAAGGTGCCGTTTAAAACTTAAAATGCTTGAAGAGCTCAAAATCTTAAATTTTCTCTTAACGAGTAGTCAAGAGTTTAAAATGTGAAATTTATTCGTATACTTAATCAATCCATCATATTCTATATTGTGGAGATTCAATTTACTCCATATTAATAATAATAATAAAATGGAAAGTTTATGGGCCGACAAACATCTGAGGGTCATCGTCGGCCCTCTGCGTGTTTTCCTTCTTTTTTGGATCTTTCGCGCGTATTTTGTTTTAAACTGCAGCCTTTTGTGCCATCTGGTTTCTGACTCTCCACCTTAACTATAAATGTTTCCTTTTTAAATAAGTTCAGCAAGATACTCAAAACCGTTGAAGTGTGGTCATCCGGGCCGGATATTCGCAATAAACTAGTTTCACATTTTGTACAATATCACGACTACTGAAAGTGCTTTTGCAGAATATTTCACAAATGAGAAATCTAACACAATTAAAACTTAAAAATATATTGCTGAAGGGCTCAAAATACTCAAATATCTCCTATATATCAATCAATGTTATTCTATTATTTCGCGATCCAATTTACTAAAAGTTAATAAACGTTTAGATTTTATGTACGCTCCCCTTAATATTTATTAAATAATATGTGCTCCTCCGGGCCGGATGATTGGTTTCTGCAATCGTTCTAGGTTCTCACGGGATGACAACAATCCCAGAAGGTACTTATTCTTGCAGACCAACAATTTGAATGGGGGGGGGTCAAAAAGGACCCGTCCTTTTGTCTACAAATTTGCGGGGTTCGAAGTAACAAAATGTACAAAAACTAAATTTTAGGTGCATTTCGAGCTATCTCTATCCTGTCGATTGGAGATTTAATTTTGTCACACTTAAACCTTAAAAATTTATATTTTTAGTACACTTCACATGGTAGTTGAACGCGTTCGAGGAAAAATGTGGTCCTCCGGGCCGGATTATGCATTCAACCGTATTCTGTTGTATGGAGATCCAATTTACTCCGCCTTAACTAAAAATGTTTCGATTTTATATTCACTCAGCATAATACCGAAAACCGTGGAAAAAATATGGTCCTCCGGGCCGGATATTTCCCATAATCTAATTTCGCATTTCAAACAATACTGACAACCCCGTAAGGTATTTTTCCATGTAGTATATTACTGAAAAGCCGCCAAGCTTTAAGCTCTGAATGGACCACCGTTGTTTCGGCTCTAAATTTATCGCCTTCAAAGAAACGTCGTAAAAAAATGTTTTAATATTTTTTCATTACAATTAATTAAGGGTTTTAGTTGAGATAAAAAAGTCAATGGCACGAGCGGGATTCGAACCCACGATCTTCGGCTAGATACGCCGCTGCTCTACCACTTGAGCTATCGTAACCTCGATCCACTCGGACACCAACTTCCTATCTCAACCCCACCTATTGAGTTTTCCCTCCTTTTTGCCATTTTTCATTGTGCATTAAGAGAACAATCAGTAGGGTGAGGTGACATATTAACTTATTACGAACAAATCTTGCAAATAAAGAAACAAGCTAAATAAGAATTGAATGATCTGAAACTAAGAATAAGCTAAAAAATTCCTATTGTGGCAGAACTTAAAAACCAGCCTTTTAAAATCAAAACAACAAATATATCGAGTGAATTATTATTATAAATATATATATAACAATATAATATGATTATTTCTGCCTTATATCAGCGAATTGGGATGGGCCTGAAATGCATGTAAAATTTAGATTTTTGACACTTTAGTTGCTGTATAAATCCAAAATAAAAACTGGGAAATGTATAATTCTTTCGCAATAAATTGAAATTATCGGTCTACTTCCTTTTTTTGACCTTGAATGACAGACAGCAAGTTCATCGTTAATTTAGAAAATTGTCAATACGTTTCAGATTAAAATAAATATATAAAAAATATATATTTTTTAATGTTAGACATTTCGATCGTACCAACTTTTATTGAAAAGTCAGCAAGCTGAGCAATTTAAAAACGAGTTGAATCTATTTTTCGTATTGTTTTTTTTTTTTTTTTTTTTTTTTTTTAAATAAAATTTTTTAGCCTTTTTCATCGATACCAAAATTCATTTTAATCAGCTTGAGGATCAGTTGTTGCATCGTTACTGATACACCCAGGCGTGGTACTGCGTCTTGGGCCAAGATTGAAGATAAATCAGCGTATTTGAATTAATTTTTTTTATATATAGAAAAAATTTCGAAGAGAAAATATTAATTTTTATTCATAATAATTATAAATATTGAATATAGCCAATTTAAAATGCTACGTTTTTTTAATAAATTAAAAAAATTATTTTTTCAGATTTTACATTTTTTCATAAGAAATTATTCGTGTATGTAAATAAATGTCTAATTTATTTATAAAATGTATCTGTTTTCTATTTATTTATTTTAAATGCCATATAGCCACACCCTTTTTTTTTTTTTTTTAATTCCTGCATGTCAATATTAATTTTTAACTCTATACAATATTCAAATATTCACTGTGGAGAATTACACAAAATTAATTAATTAATCAAAATTAATGTTCAATTAATTTTTTTATATTAATAAGAACGGGCAATAATAAAACCACTAACCTTATGAATTTATTTTTCTGTTCAGAAGATGGAAAAGCGATCACGGGAAAAGTCGAGTACGTCAAAGACAAGGCGTGAGAATGGAAAATGCGTCGGTGGACGAAGTGGAATGGACGCAACGCGAGACGAACGTCAGACGAGAGCGACGGTATGGGGAATGGAAATGGATGCAAGGATCGAGCGGCGTCTCGCCCGGGGTCCGCCAGGCTTCGCCACAACGACAACGACGCCCACCCTATTTTTAGAAACCTGGCGTCCCGCTATTTCAAACCACTCCCAGATTATTTTTAGCCATCTGGGCATAGAAGACGATACATTTCAATATATATTTTTTTACAATATTATTATTTTTTTTAATGGAATTTCATCCATTTTTTTCCTATTTTCAGCCTGGAATGGAAATTATATGAGGTGTTCCAGCCTCCTGGCTATTTTTATCCGCCTGGGAATCACAGCCTAATCTCTTCCAAACCTAGTCCTCCTAACAACATTAATAAATTTTATATTATTTTCCTCACAAATTAAAAAAAAAATTTTGTTTAAATTTTTTTCTCAGCAATTCAGTCTGTTTGTAGATGTAGTAGTAGATGTTTATATATACAAATATTTTATTATATGTATATATACATATTTTTATTATCTGCTAGGAACAATGTTTTATCCATCTGATTGTTTGTACCTCCTCCTAGCAACATTAATAAATTTTATATTATTTTCTTTAAAAAAATTCTTGTTTAAATTCTTTTGCTCAGCAGTTCTGTCATCCTTTTTTCTATTTGTAGATGTAGTAGTTTATATATATAGATATTTTATTGTATATGCATATATTTTTATTATCATCTAGGAGCGAATTTTTATCCATCTGATTGTTCTTACCACCTCCTAACAACAAATAAATTTTATATTATTTTCCTCACAAATTAAAAAGAAAAATTCTTATCTAAATTCTTTTGCTCAGCAGTTCTGTCATCCTTTTTTCTATATTCTATAGCGATTTTTTATTCATCTGATTTTCCTCCCTCCTCCTAACAACATTAATAAATTTTATATTATTTTCCTCAAAAATTAAAAAAAAAATTCTTATCTAAATTCTTTTGCTCAGCAGTTCTGTCATCCTTTTTTCTATATTCTATAGCGATTTTTTATATATTATATTTTTATCTATAATTAAACTGCACTGGGATTCAAACCTATGAACCCATTACCGCAATACAAGCTCAACACCACCAACCATTCAGCCACTCTCAAAAATTATAGACAGTTATTTGGAGATCATAAGATGCGGTCTGGTGTGATGTACGTTTAGAAAAAAATTATTTTTTTATCGTGCCAACGTTTCGATCTTTATTGAGATCATCTTCAGCCCTGAATATGACTTCAATAAAGATCGTTGGCACGATATAGAAATTTTTTTCTAAACCTACATCACACCAGACCGCATCTCACGATCTCCAAATAATAATTAATTAACTGTTACTAAACACTACACATTATAAACAGTATCAAACTGCTGTAAAGTTGATCTGTTTGGAGTATTTTGACGTATGTTTCACTATGTACAAGCTTGTATTTTATGATTTTAATTTTTTTTATAGCCTTGGTAATTCTCAAGTCTTTGTAGAACATGTTTTCAAGGGAAATAACACAAATAAAATTGAAAATAATAAGATTTATTATCTTCAGAATGGTTAATGAAATATATTATATATATAAATAGAAAAGCAATTGAAAATACAAATAAAACTACACTTTAAATATTCCTTTTTAATTTATAATTTTAAACACAAAATTTGTATAATTATCATAATTAATATTATTTGGGTATAAACACAAATTGTATATGTATTGACAGAAAAAAAAGGATATTTTTCTCGATCATTGGTGTGATATTTGCCACAAGGTGTCCATTTTTCGATTGCAGCATGGGGATGACTTAAATTTAAACATTTCACAGTATCAGGAATAAAATCCTTCATATATAAGTTAATCTGCTCTTATGTAACAATTAGATACATCACAATATTTAATAGAATTTACAGGGGGGGGGAAGAAAAACAAAAAAAATTCTATGCATAAGCCTGCAGGGTCTCTGCGATGAACTGAACCGGGTCAGATATTTCACCCAATAAACCTGAAATCGATCGAGGAAAAAAATGTGAAAAGTTACAATCGGATATATTGAACTGATAAATTGAAATACTCACCGACAACATCAAAAAACTCTTCTATCGACGTACAAGGGATCAGTTCATCGGTGTAAATCGACATGAGCCGTTCAGAAGACTTGAGAAGAGCTTCATCGTTGTGTCTGATGTAATCAGCAAGAATCGTAACCCATCTGTCTTCGGATGTAACAAAAACTTTCTGCAAAATATTTTAAATCATAATAAAAAAATAAGACTTTTTTTATTACATATGTAGAATGCAACGAGGTTAAAGTATTGAGACCATTAACATTGAGAAATGGAAAGCCTCTCGTTTTTATGCCTTCAACATTTTTATGAACACACTCCACAACATGAAAGCAAATTTAGTTGCTACTGCCAAGCTTTCAATCTTTTTTAAGGTCATCATGAGCACACAACAACTTAAATATATCTACAGATTGACTTATTTAAGTTTTTACAGGCAATTTCAAATTTCCTTGAAGATTTAAGTTTTTACAGGCAATTTCAAATTTCCTTGAAGATTTAAGTTTTTACAGGCAATTTCAAATTTCCCTGAAGATTTAAGTTTTTACCGGCAATTTCAAATTTCCTTGAAGACCGCTCAGTCCCAACATTGCCAAGGACTGTCTACATTTTTGGCCATTTTTTGCAATACTAAATCTTCCGGCGAAAATAATAATCACGTTACTGTAGTATATTGTAAGTATTGACCGATCAATTAAAAGTTTTATGAAACTTGGTCATTTATGATCAAACTGGACTGTATATCCTCATAGCATTCGTCTATAAGGCAAGTATCAGTGTTTCGCCTTCATCAGTGGTGGTTTTATGTGTTATTTTCCTTAGTGGAGTACATTTTACGTTCATAAAAAGAGAAAAGATTTCTGTAGGTGTTATCTTCGATGGTCTGTGCTTGGGTTTTTTCTATTGTTCTCCAGTCGACTACTGGTTCTTTTTTTTATTTTAACATGGATATGGTATTTGGCCTGGAGGAACATTTTTTGTCTGACCATACAGGGAAAGGTCAACATGGATTAGGTTAGGGATAGTGGTTATATAATTGCAAGAGCAATACTGGAAATCAAACTAAGAATGAAGTTGACAATTTAAGTCGTACTTCATATTAACTTACAATATTCCATTAATAATAATAATAAATTACAAAAAAAAATTGATAAAAGAAATTTACGAACCTTGAAATGATTTTTATAAATAGCATCTATTAAGGCATAAAATATAAGATTGCTCCTATAGACTTGAAACGGTTTGACCTCGGTATCAGTCAGCCTTTGGGGGATCGCACTGCTTGATGTTACATTTGTATTGGACGAGTTGGAGGAAACGCTCGCCGACGAGGGCGCGTGGAGCGACCTGACGTGGGCAGTGACAATAAGGCGAGAAAGGTGCTTAAGCTTGAGACAAGCCCACCTCTCCGGCGACTGGACCAGTAGAGACAGCGTCGCCCAGTAATGCGGTCCTTCAGTCTCAAAACATGACTCGAGCCTAGGCTCTTCAAGGTATGTGGTCAGGTTCTTAACCTCCCTTGCACTACATCTCGTCCTGGAAACAATTTTGATATAATATACTTTTTAAAATATACAGTTGATTTTTAACTTACGTATTAATCACATAAAGGGCCATATGCATAAGATAAGGTATGATGTGCATATTGGACTGAGGTCCACCACCTCCTGTATCATCATGGAAGCTCTTTTCTTGTGCAAACCTCAATAAGAGCAGTTTTAAATCATGTACGGTCGAAGTATAATTAATATCACTATAATATAAAAAAAAGATTAATATAATTACAATATTTTAATGAATAATTCTTTATTGAGATAGTTACCGATGCCCAGTCGATTCTTGGAGGTAGGTGTTATGCCTAGCCAGACAGCTCGCAAATGCTGATTCTGGCACCTGTGGCCCCCAAAGAGGTAAAAGCCCGTTGCACTTTGTATTAGCATTCTGAAGAGCAGCTGATTCCCATTCATCCCTCGCTCTCGCCAGTCTCACCGCTGACATGTGACAGTCAATGTGTACAACGTTAAAGTGGGTGACAGTACTATAACCGACTGTTTTTCTTGCTTTGTTCTCAAACTCTTCAATATTACAACGTTTTGTGAATGTATAAACACCGAGAACTTTGTTCGGCTGGAATTTATAGCCTTCGCGACAGATGACGCAAACAAGGCCGGTTTCTTCGCCAAGCTCTTCCATCTGCTGCATCATCGTCTGGCTCTCTACGGTCAACTGGCCTCGGTCGTTGGTTCTCATACCGAGAGCACCCAACTGTTTTTCTCTCATCGCCATGGCCAGTCTCTTTTTCTCGGCTCTAGTTGAACCCCTGACTTCTTCGATCATAGCTGCCGCTCTCTCATTAGTGCACAGAGCTTCTAATAAATTCTCAGCTAATGAGCCCACGTGCTCGTCGGAGGAAACCTGTTCGAGTCTATGAATGATTGTTATACAATCCACTGAAACTGCATCCTAATAACATACAAAAAATAAAACAAATCATTAAAAATTTACAGTGATTTTGGAATTTAAGAAAATTACTTGAGTCGGTTTATGATGACTAGCGAGGCCTGTTAAAAATCTTAAAATATATTTTAACGCAGGTTTCGATATAAATTCTTTCCACTCGTCCGAATCACAGTGAAGAAGAGTTGGTCTGGTTACAGGAGCATACTTCTGGAAAATTAAAAAAAAAATCACAAATAATTTCTCACATTTCTTGATAAGCAACTATAACTCTTTTAAAAATAAATGTGACTTAAAAGAAAACTGAACCCTTCACAGAAGATTAAAAACCTTTCATGAGTTTACAACCTGGGTGGTTAAAGATAAATCAAGATAGAAAATTTCCTCCTCAAAAATTAAGCGCTCAAATATCAAAAATTACTTATCAATTAAGAGAGATTGTTATTTTCCCGTATAACCAAATTTCATTGTTTTATAGTAAACATAACCCCCCCCCCCAGATCAAGCATTATTATATTGTTCTTTAATCTTATTTACCCTGATATATTTAAGTGCGTGGTCAACAACACCAAGTGTAAGTATATAATCTTTAAGAGTATTGCCAAGGGCCGATCTGTCAATGCCGAGAGCCAGGATGCTGAAAAGTTCCATCTTCTGTTCTTCCTCCGCCGTGTGCTCAGTGTCGAACTTGTCGAATTCCCAGAGATGAGGCTTGAAATGATCCATAAGGGCGGCCATTTTGGCCCGGTTGCTGTAAGTGAGCGATGCCAGGACTTGCGCCAGGTGCTCGAGCACAGCCGTGTTCGACTTGACGCTGCTGCAGTTAGAGACGCAGTCGAGGAGAGAATTGATGTGTTCTACACCGCCAAGAGTCTGGGAGAATTTGAGGAAATCGTCTGGGGACTGGGATGCAGTCTTTGACAAAATTGTCTCCATTATCTTTAAAAAATATTAAAAAATAAAATAAATAAATCCTCAATGAATTTAAAAATTAAATAAATTATATTTTTGTACCTCAAGAATTTGTTCAATGAGCTGTGCAGATTGTTGAGTGGTATCAGAAACGCATAATTGGAAAGTGTCTAGAAGAATGTTGATCGCTCCAAGATCAGGATGACACAAAACTTCTTGGTTCCTTGAAACTTTAACACAAAGCTGAAGTAATTTAAGCGTTACTTGTAACAAAGCCCTTGATCTGACTGTATCCCGAATCTGGCTCAATCTTCCCAATAAAACCTGAAGGAAAAAAAATTAATATCAATTTTTAAATTTGATTTTATATGTTTGTAACAATACAAACCTTGAGGCCTTTACAGTCAGCCATGACGTTCGCCATTTTGTAGACTTCCTCGTTATTGACTTCCTGTTGTGACTTCGCTTGCAAAGTTTCGACAAATTCTTCCGTCGCATCGCCCAAGAGGCCTCTCATCCTGTAGACGACTCTCATCGAATCGCCCTCACCGCCTTCGGCGATCCAAATTTTCTTGTAGACCTCTTTGACCGGGAGGTCGAGGCTAATGATCTTGTTGTTGACAAGAAGCTCCATCCCATTATCATCCTCGAGAAGGGCGACAAGCTCGCAATCCTGGCAGATTTTATTCTTGACATCTCTCATGAGTGGGCCTAGGCCGGGTTCATTGCAACTGTACGGATTTCCCAACATCCTTCCCTAGATTGTTTCACAATTAATTTTTTCTTATTAAAAAAAAAAATAAATAAATAATATTAATAAAACATACCTGTAAGAAGTCTTCTTGTTGTGCATCTTTCTCTAGTGTGAGATAAAATTCCCCGACGTCGTTTTCTTCTGGATATATTATAGAACAGAGCCTCTCGAATATAAAAACAGGCGTCCTGACATCTTGTGGCGGGCATCTTTCGACGGTTTGTATGCAAATAGTCATAAACGCTTTAGTCTCGTCTTCTGTGCCGGTCGTCATCTCTTCAAGCAGCTCGAGAAGTTTGTCTTGCGTTTCATCAATCAACCTCGTACGCTGTACAACCAGCCTTCTAAGCGATAAGTAACCATTTAGAACTGCCCCGACCAAACGGCCTTTATACTGTTGTTTTATGCTTGGCTGTTCTAAAAACGAAGCTATCAACTCTGTCAACATTTTTAGTGCATATCCTGAAAATAATTGAGAATTTTAATCCGTTTCAATCAATAATATAACTTTGGTTCTTTATACACTTATTATCTTTTACCTTGAGATAAATCAGAAGTGAGTATAGAGCCTTCAAATTTATGTATTGCATTTATTTCTTGTGTCAGCAGTTCAGCAAGGTAGAGAAGAACTCCTTTGAGTGCGAGATATTGCTTCCAAGGCGAGGGCTGCAATAGACTTTGATAAAGTGTCAAATATTCGGCAGCGCTTTCTCCAGCTGAGCCGAGTTCACCGAGGAAAGTTGTTAATAAGTCTAAAATCTTTTAAAAAAAAGAGGTAAAATTTAAAAATAAATTCTAAATGAAAGAAAGCTTACTTCTCTCTTTGTTTTTGGGTTGGTACACAAGCACTCCAACATGTTGCAAGTTACTTGTCTCGCCAGGATTGAACTCGGGTTGAAAAGGACCTGCCGCAGCCAAGCGACGCCGTCCATCTTCGACTCGACGAGGTAAATCTTCTCCTTCCACCTTGTCACGTATTTTTCAGTCAAGTATTTCTCTCTTATTTCAGCCTTCGACGACGGTTTTGCCGGGGTGATTAGATCGGATTTTTTAACGGGCATTCTCTTGTACCAATTGCTGAAGGAGAATCTCTCCTCCCCGTTGACCCAGCTGTTGATGTCAATCGGCATACTACCGACTACTTTGATATTTACTATGTCCTCCACTGATTTGTCCTATACAAAAACGGACAATTAAATAAATGTATATTTACAAATTTAAAAGTTATTTACCTTGTATTTTTTAGACACAGGAGATAGTGGTTTTATAATCCCCTGAATGATTTTCAGACAAGGGAGAGTAACAGAATCAATGACTACAGGGGATTTTCCCTCGGAACAAGACATCAGGAAAAGTTTCATCACACACCTTGAACAATCAGAACAATTTTATAAAATACTTGACTACAACTTAAAAATTAATAAAAAATACCTTAATTTCTGTTCCCAGCATGAGTCTTCCTTCTGCACGAGAGCAGCTAGGAGGCTCATCTCTGGTCGAACGGCAATCGCGAGTTCAGAAGCGGCCAAGTGGCCGTTTAGAGTCAACGAGACTCGTTCCATGAGAATAGTGCAGATTTCTTCAGTCGCTTTGCAATTATCGCCTGTCACAAGGCAAATAAGCTGTCTCACTTCTTCTTGAACCTTTAATAAATACAAATCCAAATAAATAAAAGCGCCAGATAAGTTAACATGTTTACAAAATCAATTAATATACCTGGGTTGTTCCACGACGTAAATTATTTTGAACCAGTTCTTGTATAAGTCCTTTGGAACAGAGCACCTGTCGGGATTTCGGGTTGTGAGCGAGAGCTCGTAGCAAGATGAGGCAGTGTTCAGTCGCAGAAAACGCACACCCGTAGCATTTGCCCTGCACTGGATCACTAGACATATCTAAGGACGGTTCGCTTTGAGAAATATCTGTAGACTGAGATAAGCTTCCACTCTGCTCTAGCTGGCTTCTATCGTATGAAACTAGTTTAGAGCGGCATGCCAGTACTTTCTAAAATGCAAATAAAAATTGTTATAATTTTTGTTTCATTTTGTTGTTATAAATATAATTACTTGAATAATTCGACTAAGATCTTCAAATGAAGTTTTACAATCTGTGCAGTATCTCTGGGCGAGGAGTTGAATGGCTCTATTGACCATGCTTGTCGATGGTGGGATGTTAGAAGAACCGATTGTGGATGTTGAGTTGCTGGTCACTCCCTGGGATGGAATTTCATCAATACCACGGTCTGCTCTGTGGTCGTTTATCTTGGAAAGAAGCATTTCAAGGGTCGGCTTGTTCCCGACGAGCTGCTTGTAAACTCTGTCCGCCTTCTCTAAATGCGTATTTATAGCCGAGATTGTCTTCTTCCTGTCCTCGTCGTTCTCAATCGGGTCGACGACGCAGCACACCCGACCCGTTATCGTAAAGTCGAATTTGGCGTATTTGCAGAAACCGCACGCGTGGCATAAGAACGGGTCTTTCTCGTCGTAGTTGATCGCACGGCATTTGTGACACTGGAACACGTTTTCGCCGCAGTTCGCGCACACCCCCGGATTCGCCGGCACCGATGATGAGCATCTGGGGCATTGTAACGTTTCTGAGGATGCTTGGAGATTTTCATAGAAATCGGCATATTCGACCATCAGGTTGCAAGCGACAATGGGCAGAGGGAATTCTACTTTCACCTCTGTCTGGCCTGAAGCAAGATTGACCTTCTTCGCCTTGTGCCACATAGCTGAAATTTAAAATAAAATTATTAACTGGACTGATTTCTACTGGAAATAAAAACAAACCTGGTTTGTTCTTGAGTTCAATAACAGCCTGAACACTCTTGTTGTTATAATAAATGTTCATAGTTCGCACCATTTTAGTCCTCTTCAGGTCAGCAATCCTCAACGTGATCTTGCTAATTGTGTGACTACTCACTAATTTAACTATTTGTGTTGTAGTTGTAAATTTTGAATCAATCTGAAATTAATACGGTGTTTTTAATAATCGTAGACATACTATTCGGTAAATCTCATAAACTATTAATAATTAATTACATATTAATGGTAGCGTACCTTGATTGATGATAGTTTAATGTTAGTTAATGGAAGTTCTGGGTTGTTGCAAACTAAACAAGGATCACTTTCTAGGTAATAACCATCGAGTTCAACGTATTGAGCTAATTGCGTGTACAATGACGCGTTTGGATGTTGGGCCAGAACTTGATTTTGGGCACGCAACATATTCACAGCTTTCTCTATGCACTCTTCGATCTTCTTTTTTGATGAATTTGATTTGATGCAGAAATAGCCGAGCAGATCTACAAACTGCGACGCCTTCCTGCCATACGATGGCAGCTGAGGCCACAGGCTCCACATCTGGTCGAGAAGGAGTTCTTGCTCTGCCGGTTCTGAGTTCTTGTAGATCGAAAGTATAAGGGCGTGAGCCTGCCATCTCATGCTCGAGGCGTTCGTCTCGAGCAAGAAAGAACGGATGAATTTTGTAAGGAGTTCTCTTGGTATTTGGCTGTTGAGCTGGCGTACGAGAGTCAAGCACTGAGCGTCTTCCATATCGCTATCGTACACTTTTTCTTTACTCGTCCTTACTACATTCGAGCTCTTGCTACTACTAGGAGCATTTTCCTACAAAAAAGAAAACAAAAATTCGCATAAATTTGTTCAGAGAAAATTAAAAGGTTAAAAGCTTACCTGGCCTGATGGAGGTGGCGGAGGAGATTGTCTAGTCGGGCAAAGAGCGCATCTCAGCAGCTGCAGTGTGGTCTGAGCGACGGGCTCTTCGACCAGGCGGCTCGTATACACCAGAAACGGCAAAACTGAGTTATCTTTTGTGCAAAACTGTCTCCAGTTCCATGTCCTGCTTGTCCCGACTTCGACGCAGGCTTTCAGGTGTTCTGTCAATTCTACAAGAGCGTCGTATGTCAGAGGTTGGACGACATTCCCTTCAAAGCATTGCTTCACGGATTTCATATGAGATTCTAGTGAGTGGAGATCTCTCAACTGTCGATACTTCTCTTTGTTGCCACATATGAACAACAGGAGTTTTCTAACTTGGCGCCGCACAAACGGAGTCTGTTGAGTCATCATGTACTCACACAGATAATAAAACCAAGTCTAAAAAAAAAAATAGTATTAATTATTATGTAATCTATAATAAATTACAAAAGTTGGATTAGATGCCTAACATTGAAAACATATTTATTTATTATCAACACTTAATTTTTGGTTTTCTCCATGTCTTATTCTTTTACAAATGTTTATACTTTGGAAAACTATTAACAAGATCAATATTGATTGATTGAAAACTTACATGCGGGAAAAAGATAGGATTTGGTGTATGCTTCTGCACTTGGTAGGGCAGGCGTAGAGCCATTTCAGTCAGAAGTTGTGGATACGCTTCAAAAACATCTGTAGCATGACCTTTAACGTACTGCCTCAGGAAAAATGGTGACATGTCCGGTGGAGACGAGGGATGGTGAGGTTTTAGAAGCGATCCGCTCACATTTGTGTTGGCCTCTTCTTGTGTATTACTAAAAAGAAAAGTGAACAAATCAATTTAATTTATTTTTCGCCTTGTAATATGTTTAATTTTTACTTTTTCCAATAGGGCAAGAGTTCTTTAAGCAACAGCAGACAGTAGTCGATTACACCAGATTGGAGAAGAATATTGGCAGATGTCTGTGATACAAAATTTGTATTTCCAGTCTTGGAAGCTGATTTAGGTCTTGACATTAACACACCTATAAAAAAGATTCATAATTTTAAAAATAAGTATTCTTGCAAATGATATTACAAACTTACTTAGTAATCTCATGACAACGATTTGAACTTCTCGGCATGGGTTCCTTGTACAAATATCCTGTACGTCTGGTTGGTTCAGGGAAAGTAGGGAAAGTACTGAGTTTAATAAGTTTTCTAAGCAGGCTTTTCCTCTTTCTTCTTCTCCGTCTAAATCGGATGTGAGCATAAGCACAACTTGCATGAAAGGTATCGCCGTGACGCCACCGACTTGTTTCAACTGGGGAATGTGTTGTACAAGTTTTTCGAGTATCGACAATCTTAACGAATGGAGAGTGGTGGCGCCTTCAAGTTCAGTATCGCCTTCTCCTTCTATCCCTTCGGCTTCTTGATTCTGGAATGCCGAAGGTACACCGAGTGAGCTCGTTTCACTTCTTGTACCGGTGGCTAAAGGTTCTTGTTCGCCGTATGCCGAACTCCTTCCTGAAACGTTATGTTCGCCAGTTATAGAATCTACACCACTACCGCCGCTCTCGGAACCTCCTGAACCTCCTTGGTCAGCCGGGGATGTTCTTAATGTACTTCCGTCTGTTGCCGCGGTAGAACCTTCATCATCAGAACCCCCGGGTGATGCAGTTGTATCAGAATAATGTCCCGCTTCACCGGCATTATGCGTACCTCTAACATTTACCCTACTACCTGCTAAAGCCTAAAATGAAAAAAAAATTAATTAATGTAATAATTTTATAAGTGTTTAAAAAAATTAATACTCATGAAAAACAATTATTTGTTTTCTCTTCAAGAAACCAGAGTTTAGAATATTATCCTTGAGAAAGAAGTATAATAAGTTCAAGACTTACTTGAAGTGCAGGCCCTGCAAGGTTGTGGAAAGCCTGCAGGTTAAGTCCGAGGTTGGGAGAACCTTCATGTTCTTGCTGGAGACTGAGAGCGATGGCGATCTGCACCATGGTCTCGTCGTCGGCGTCTGGCGGTATGTCTAGCATAGGGGGGAAGCCTCCAGTGTTCACACCTCCAAGAAGTGCCTCCATATTCATTGACACTCCACTCGCGACTGCACCCGCTAAAAGTTAAAATAATTATAATAAGAATAACTGTGAAGGTTAAAAGAAATCTAATAAAATTTACCTGGATCAAGTAGTACAATTGGTTCTACACTTTCATCATAGTGATTCGGTTCGGCTTCCGAGGAGTCCTGCGACGGTTGGGAAACTGGACCTTGTTTTTCCGACTCCACTACCCCTGGTGTGCTGCAATGTGGTGGGCTTGGGATGTACACTCGGCGTCTTTTCACTCTCGGTCTCAACACTCGTATTATTGCGTGTTTGGCGCTGAAGCAAACTGCGTGGTCAGAACACAGAAGAAGTTCGAGGTATATCTTCGCTGCAAGCGCTGTCATGGCCTCGCTGTGCTCGGCCAAAGTATATGCGTGTATGATTTCAATAAGAGAAAACACAGTCGCTTCAACATGAGTCAGACCAGGAATACAGACGCTGGCCAGTGCCATATTCTGGGGTTTAGCACTGTGCAACTTCCAAAGAATGTCAGTTAATTGGATAATTAAATGGCCAGATTCTGAAAAATAATTTAATGAAGTGAAAACATGATTATACCGAAAGTCTTGATAAGAAACATTACCTGCATCAAGAGGTTGTGAAAATTTAACTAAATTGAAAGGACGAGCGATAGCGATTGACCGACTCATTAAAACAAGCCTGTAAAACGCCTCTGTATCAAGATCTTTTGGATCAGTGATTTGCCTGAGGCTGTTCAAAGATGACATAACATAATTCAACACAGCTTGATCCTGAAAAATTTCAAAAAATTAATAAGTATTTAACATAATATAAGATCATTTTTCTAAACTTACTCTATAATTATGATAGGCTTGTCTAGAAGTGTGTAACGAAGCCATTAGTGATTTTGTATTTTTCTGCACTGTTGGAGAAGTCGGCAGAGTCAAGAAAGTTGTTGAAAGCGAGATAGCGGATGTTTTCAAAGAACCCTTCGCATCGAAGTTAACCAGACTGAAGCATCCGTCCAACACTTCCAAAATTCCCGAAAGCATCCTAAACATAAAAAATGTTTACGATGCGATCTATGTGATAATTAATATTGATTAATACCGATCAAGGAGTGGCACTGACGTGGATAAAGAAGAACTCATGCTTTCAGTGTCACTGTTTGATGAAGCCGTAGGCTGGGAAGCGTTCTGAGTTGCCGTTTGGGATTCTTCATTCTCCTCAGGCCATCCAAAAGCTTCTTTTGTTTTTCCATAACTAAGATTTTACAAATAATTAAATAATGTAAAGCAAAACTTTAACTAAACAAATTAAAATAGTTACACTTTGATAGAATCAACCATTATGATTCCATCTGGATCTTGAGATGTCCCAAATGTCAACGTTAACTTTTTATCGGCTTGGAGACTTTCTTCCCTTGTCAGAGGAAAGTCGAACCATCTGTTTCTTGCGATGTTGGTCTGGATGCTTCTTCCCCCGACCTCGATGTACGCTGGGACGCGCTGTATGTCTTGACTGCCGAGGAGGACTCTCACCCCGGTTATTACATGTGCTGCGTCGTTGTTGATGATTTCGACATTAAAGCCGACGCTTTTAGTCGAAACGACGTACATCCCTGTCGTATTGAGTCTATGCTTGATCTGGGCTGTGTTGTATATTTGCAGTAAGTCGCTTCCTCCAAATTCAACATCGTTCAAGGCGATGCAGTGCTCAAAGAAGTCAACTGGGAATGAAACACTTGCTGAAATATTAATAATATTAAATTACTTTATGTATGATAAATAAGCATGTATTGCGAGACAGCCTTCGTAATACAGATAGTCTGAGAACCGAATTCTACCTTATAATGTGATAAAACAATTTTGACTTAGGTGCCTAATTGGTTTTTGATTAGTTCTGCAGTACAATGGTGCTTGCTACTATCACTATAAGGATTTTTTTAATATATAATCAAGTTAACATAAATATGTGTTTTCAAAGAAGCATTATAGGATATTGATAAAAGAATAAAGCAAAAGAAATGAAAAATAGGAGAAAAGAATAACTGAAAAATAAGAGATAGTAATTTTAATTGATTAAATTCTGCTTGTAATATTGTCCAATATATTGAAAAAAAAATTATTTTATATATAAATTTATTAATAAAATAAATAAACAATTACCTGATGCTTTAACAGGTTTAGGGGCTTTTTTCTTCTTATTTGATTTATTTGATGGTAAACTATTAAGTGCTTGGACACTCGGTGATAGCCAAAATTCAGTCATTTCTGGGTTTGCATTGTAAATCCTTAAGCTTCCATCTTCACAGAGGATGAGGAGAGTCGTACGTAGATCAGACCCTGTAGAGAGGTGCCTGATGACGACCATGTCCATGATTTTCGCCTTCGGCGGAAGCACTTTTATCTCTTGAACGTATATTGTATCTGGTTGAATCATCAGTATTACAGGGTTGTTGCTAGCCTGCAATGTGGCACACACGATTCCAGGATGATTGGGTACTTCGGACCACAGGCAGAGCGGCTGCGGTTGAGAAGATCCGCTACTGCCTTTGTTTCCACTACTGCTGTTCGTCGTCGTGGTCGTAGTCGGCGTAGTGGTCGAAGTGGTATTCGACGCCCCCGTTGTAGCCGGGGTCGTCGTGTTGTTCGAATTGCCCGTAGTTGTTGCACTTCCGGAATTACTTGCTGCTGTTGTCCCTTTTTGCAAATTGATCATGAAAGCGTCAAAAACAGTCGTACCAGTCGAGGGGTCCAAAGGAGCAATAAATGATTTTCCATGAGCGTATGAGAAAAACAACAATCGTAATGTGTGTGAATAGTAAACTGAGACACCTCCTCCACAAACTTGTCCGTTTGATTCCTATAAACCATTTTATTTACACATTATCATTACACTAAATTACAATAATTATTAATGAGAGGTGAAGTCACCTTAAATTCCGGATGGTACAATTCAAGAGTGCTTGTAACATAAAATGCCCCATGCTTCGCAGAACTCGCTTCATTCATATCTTGTGTGTAGATATAGCCAGTAGAGGACATCAACAACAGCATACTGTTTCCTTCCTGAAATTTTTTTAAAATAAACTTATTAAAAAGTATAACATGTGATATAAGCATAAACTTTTGCATGATTTTAAATGTATACTTATAGGTGTTTGTAATTGACAAAATATTTTAATAAACCTGCACCTAACTAATAGTGAAATGATTCAATAATAAAATAACATAAAGGCTTAATTTTATTTTTCCTAAATGTAAGATGACTGACAAGAATAACTAAAAGAAAAGAAGCACTAATAAAATTCTTCTAAATATTGGAAAGCTAGTTTACCTCACTACAAACAAATGTGACATCACGGATTTTTCCAGTTGGTACGAGAAAGTAGTACTGAGGGCTCAGTACGTCTATCGAGAGGTCGTAAATTTTGACAAAGTCAGCCGTTATAAGGGCGAGTTTGGTCTGAGAACCCGGAAGCCAGACGGCCCGAATGATGAAATTTCCTATCTCAAGCTGCGGGTGAAGAACTAGGTGTTCTGACACAGATCCTCCCGATGTGAATGTCAACACGTGACAATCCTTAAGTCCGCATACGGCGAGGAAATCCTCATTCCAAGGATTGCTCGTGACCGTTAGCACAGTGAACGGTATTGGCGCAGATGAGAGTCTAGTGAGTGTAAGCTTCCTTTTGGACGAGTCGGCTTGTTTGAGCAAAGTGCTCAACTGGAGAATGGTTATCTTTCCCTTTTCATGGGCCACTGCAAGATGCTGACGTTTTCCGTGAGGTGAAGCTAAACAACACATCGCAACTCTTCTGATCATATGTGCTGACATAAGCTGACGTATTGTCTGGCCTTGCTCTCCAGAATAGTTCATTCTCACATTTTCAAAAGCTCCTTCTTGAGATCCAAGAGTAGGAACCTAAAAACAAATGTTTAAATACACAATGGATTAAATTTAAATTAAATAAATAGTGATTTAAATAATATTACCATAATCTGGTCGGAGAAAAGGAATTTCTTATCCACAGTATGTAGCTCTTTGAGAGATTTTTGTGAGCGAGAATGACAACCGACTGGGGAGTTTCTTTGACAAGTGGCTTCTACAGCAGGCAAAAGCGATTTGACCAAAGTGATAAGTGGGCCGACAATGCTGTTTTCTTTTCCAATAAGTCCGAGCAATTGGTCAGACAAATTTTCCAACAGTTTCGAGAGTGCAGCTTGCTTCACAACATCCTTCTGATGTTGCGACTTGTCGACAGAGGGCGAGGACGGACGCCTCCTCAGTGAAGACGTCAACATGTGCTCTATTCCGACTCCACTATTGCCGCCGGAAGTGGCAGTGTTCGGAGCGGATCCATTCAAGCCCTGGGATGCCAAGCCATCCGTCACGCTCTGCGGATTCCGTTTAACTAAAGCCTGACAAGACCCCGACTCCCTTGCGCCACAATCACAAAAAAAGTTACCGAACTTGGCGTAAGTTACATCATGACCACGATGGCAGACCCGGGCACATACGGAACAAACACCAACTCTGTCGATCATTTTACACGTATGACAGTGGTACCAATGTTGATTCATAAACTCCTTTTGCGTTATTGTAAATGTGCAGAGTTTATTGCATAAACTATCCTCATCCTGGAAAAAATACAAGATAAAATAGAGGAAAATTGTAATTTATAATATAAATAAATGTCGAATCATCAAACTGACCGAATCGTCACCACCACTTTCATCATCGTCATCATGGGTCAAGTCTTCCATCCAGTCTAAATCGTCAGAGTGAGGAGGCAGCACTAACTCTCCCTCCCAAGGTGGGCTGGAAGCCCTTGCTGGATTTTGCGGAGATAGGGCGTACACGATGTCGGCTATGTAGCGCAAAGCTGCACAGCAAGAGTCAACGAGGCTGCCAGATTTGTTTGACCCGTTTTCAAGGCTGGTCAGAAATTCTTTCTCGCTTATCTGGTCTTTGCTATAAACCATAAAAAAAATTCGATTAGTAATTTTATCATAGTGGCACTATCAAGAACTGAAGCACATACCAGATGGAAATCCACTGTGTAGATGCAATGAATAAATGTATGTGCCCTTTGCCAGTTCCAGCTCCGGCGAGTGTTGCCATAATGTACATAAGCTGAGGAAAGCCGGATCCTTTGCACATGAGCAACAATCTTGTGGCCATCGGTATCAACGATTCAAGAAGTGTCACCGCCACATTTTCTTTTGCCTCAGAAACACTAAAATTTAATTTAAGCATACGAGGGCGTATTATTGAAACTAATGTATATAAATATCAATTGTGTACCTGTTTTGTTTATTATTAATATATGCAGTCAAATGTTGAAGTAATGACTGATTTTCATGAAAAAGTGAGCTTTTTGTCAATTCTTTTACAGTAGGTGGAGATATATTTTCCACAAAGATTAATGAAGGGTCTTTATTCTCTCTACTCGGAGAAGTTGTAATTCCTAAAAGTAAAAGTAATTTTGATTATAAAGACTCAGGAAGATTTAAAAAAGTGAAATACCTAGAGAGAAAACAGGAGACGAGTCGCCGTTTGAGGATGCAGAACTAGTTCCTCTTGATCCAGGGCCTAGGATGACGAGATGGAGCCAATTTGAAAGCTGCGTGGGCTCGACGTGTGCCAGTTTGAGAACGGAATCACAAAGCCTCTCGAGCCCTTCATCCCCTGGATTTTTCTCCATCGTTGTGAAAAGCTGGTTGAAGAATTGGAATATCTTGACGCCGTATGTTGTTGAATTCGATGTCTTCGGACTGGCGACGGAAAGCAAGATCTTGACGAGGGACTTCTCTGATGAATTGTCGAAAAACTTGTCTAACGCCTGCCTCCCGATTGGCTTTTCCAGCAACAGGCCAAGCCATCCGAGGCATTCCTGAATTATTTTTTCATTTACTGCCTCACTGCAATGTAAGAGTTATAAATTAAAAACATCCACCAATAGTTTCAGCAGAAAGAGTTGTCAGTATAATAAGAAAATTAAGAAAGAAAGAAAAAGATGAGAACAAAGTTAAAAACTTAATACTTAATGGCATGAATATGTTACACCAATAATTGCTTGTTTTTGACCATTTTTGTCTATCGCTGTGTGCCATATCGCTTTCAGTGTTGGTCTGAAGAATTTCTTATAGTTGAGTTATACTCAATTAAATTGAAATCACTCAGACCAACCAATGGAGAAGACTAGAAACCTAAAAGTGTCTCATATACCAAGATAGGTAGTCCAAAATTATCAAAAATGACCAACTCCAGGTTCATCACCCTTCATCAACAATGTTACACTCGTTGGCAATGTTGAGACTGAGTCGGTGTTAAAAGAAAAGTGAAACCATCTATTAAAAACTTAATTATGTCAATTTGTAGACGTATTTAAGATTGTTTTACCCTGATGATAGCCTAAAAATAAAGTTAAAAGCTTGGCAGTAAATTCATCAGAGTTCGTTGTCTGATTGACCAAATAACGTTTTTCAATTAATTAAATTAATCTTTATATAAGGTATTGGTTGAGATAAAAAAGTCAGCGTCACGAGCAGGATTCGAACCCCACGATCTTCAACTAAATACGCCGCTGTTCTACCACTTGAGCTATTGTAACTTCAATCCACTCGGACACCAACTTCCCACCTCAACTTCTTGGCAGTAAATTGAATTTGTTTTTTTATCAAGGCCATTCTAAGATCCAGATTATTCGTGTATATATAATTAATAAAAGCAAAAGGTTCAAACCTGCACGGTGTAGTAGAGCTTGTGTATATCATGATAAGGTCATAAATCTGCCCTATTATAATCATGAAAATCGTCATCTGATGTTTATCACTCTCGACTTCTCCGAGCGGCTTTTCCAACACCTTGGCAACAGTTTCGTGCAAGTAGTCGGCAGTCGCGTCAATGGATAAGGGGGCAAAAACACTGACCACTTTGTCGATGACGCTGCAGCTGTCGGTGCACCACCTGGAACAGTGAGAACGGATACGTCTTCTTTTAAATAACTACGCTTAAAATTAAAAATTGATTCACTCACAGTAAGTTGTCAGAGATGAATGTAACTAAACAGTGAAGTAGGTGCTTCAGGCTCGGATTTATCGTGAATGTGTTATGACTCGACAACATTGAAATATGTGCCCTTACAACAGCCATTACATAGCTTTCACCAGGCAGAATGTTACTTGCATATTCAGACTATTATGTAAAAATCATTCAGTTAAAAAATATGAAATGCTTTAGAGTTGATGATTTCCTTACCCATGGGAAATTTTTGACTGGGATTGTTGACCATTTTTCTTGAATTGACGAAACAGCAGGAGGCAGTAAAGGTGTCATTGCGATGGCGAGGCCTTGTGTCTTATTGTTTTTTGTTGAAATGATTGAAAGTATGCATCTAAAAGCGAGCAAGTCACCTTGCGTGTAACTATTCCCTTCGCTTTCCGACAACTGGTACATCAAACTCGATCTTGTTATTGCCAAAACTACTTCTGCCAGCTTGAGGGCATACGGCATCAGCTCTTGAACGACAGCGATGGTCTGAATCGTCTTGAGCGAGTCGTTTTCCATCGAGGACATTTTGCTGTTGAAGTCAGCATAAGCCTGAGCCTTCGCGACGACAGAATTCAAAAGGCAAAGTTCCATTAGCGTTGGCAAATCTCGTTTTGGGACCAAAGGGCCTAGCAAATCAGAAATACAAGTAAAATTAAACTATCATTGTTAATTAAAATTCACAATTATTACAACCGTACCTGATAGTTCTATTGATGGCATCAAAGCAGTAATGCAATTTTTGGCGAGATTGATATCATATCTCACACTACCAACAATGTCAGCTATATTTTTCAATACTGATTCAGCATACGGAGTGTACATTCCTTGCTTTACGAGACAATCCTGCAATAAAAAATGTATTTTACCTGAGCGAACAAAGCTTTAAAGTCAAAATATTTAAATTTTGTGTTCTTAGTTGATTATTAGGTTATCAGACACCAAAAATGTTATTATTTTAAATTTTATTTAGATGGTATGCACAATTATTTGATTTCAATAATTAACGATCATGAATTGTTTAACTGAAGGTAAATCAGTTTAAAATATTACCGTCATCCATGGTATAAACAGTTTATGGGCAGTTCTCGGACCCCAGATGAGAGAGTGTAGCACAACAGGCCAGTCATTTTCCAATTTGAACCCTTGTGCTAGTTTCTCTAGGTATGGTGTAGAAGGCGGCAATTGTAGCAAGAGTCTGTAAAACGTTATAACAATTAAAACACATAAAAAAAAAAAAAAAATACAAATAGAAAATACCTCCAGCAAATGAGAAAACAATACTGAACGGCACATAAAGCCGTATAAGATATTTTTTCCGAACACCTGATCGCCGGTGTGCATTGGTCGGTTATGCTTAGAATATCTATGAGGGAGTCCAACAAAACCGGGTACTTCACGCCTTTATCAGGACTACCCAGTATGAAATTACACGCCTAAAATAAGTTTAAATTTAAATAAGAATTAATTTAGTAATACAGTTTTGGTTTTATTTTTCTAAGTGTATAATGATACTCACCAATCCGTCAAGTTTTGGCAGTTCTTGCGTGTTAACGGTTCCATAAGTGAGCGAGTAGAATTTAGGCCTCATGGAGAATTCTTCCTGAGGCATGAGCTTTCTGTAATTGTCTTCTATCTCATTCCAAGGGCAGTACAACCTTGATGCGACGTTTACACTACCCTCAACGTCACCGGCTTCCTTGATCACGTTGGTGTTGTTCAAAAGATTCCACTGGACCTGTTCGAGGAGCGTGGACGGCGCGTCGTAAAGGTGCTTGACAAGGTAGTCGAGAAGGAGTAGAAGCCGGGCGAGATGTAGGATCTGCGATTCACGCATGACTCCACGGACTTTTTCGGCAACTTGGGTGACACCGTTTGCGCACATTAAGAGCACCGATTTCTTCTGCATGAGGTTCAGAGAGTGAAATAGGAAAAGGACAAGCTGAGCATGTTCCACATTCAAATCTGAAATTCAAAACATAAATTTTTATCTTTTTTTTTTATGAGATTTTAGTCCATACCTTCATTTTCAACATCTACGGTTGTTGTTGGGTTTGTGCAAATATTATCAACAAGCGTGTTAATTAATCTGTGCCAAATACTAATGCACGCTGCTTCTTTTTCAGATTGTTGCTTCAATAAAAGTACCTAAAATACAACACGTATCATTGAATTATTTATTATATTATTAGTGTACTATTATATTATTGAGGTAGTAATCAAGCTGTGGAGTAAGAATAAAATTTAAAAAAAAAAATCTATGGTATGTATGGCGAAATGATGATGAATATACTTTTGGTCTTGTTATACAAATGTATTGATCAATTTGTAAGGTAATAAAGTAGAATTTTTATTTTGTACCATTACTGGAGAAAACTTTTTTTTACAGAAAATGTTATTTTGTCCTCAAATGTTATGAAGGGTGTATTAAATGTGGCAGTAAAGGCCTGCAAAAGGAGCAAGGTTCAAAGTGACCATCTCATATGAAAAGTCTGGCCATACAAAAAATAGTATAAAGCATGAAAAGAAGTATTATATAACAAAAAAAAATCTTAAATGGATAAAACTGAGCTTCCATCATATTCGCAAAGTATCACCGTTTTTTTCGGACAACTACCTCTGCCAAGCAATAGTCATTAATTTAAGACAAGTAGACATGCTAAGACATAAAATATTGGAAATAGCTGACTTCTTGATAGCTAAATGTTAAATACATTAAATTTTAGAGTTGGTGTTCTCTTATTCTCTTGGAAAAAAAAGCATTGTAAATACCAAAAAAGCACGTCTAGCACCTTAAAAAATTAATCACTGTCAAATAAAAGCTAAAAGTACAACTAATAGTTCAGTATTATAGACAAGAATTCCAAACCACTCAACAATATTTTCTTTTTCCTTCAGAATAAACTGGATTTGAACCCAAAACAGCTACCATTTACATCCAGATCTATCTCATTAATTAAAAATTGATTGAGTCGTGTGCTTGGTTATTTACAAATCAAAATAAAACAACAAGAACAAAATAAAACTATTTGAAATTGTTAAAATTTATTTCCGGATCGTCATACATCAAAAATTGGTAATGTTTAAAAAAAATGTTATATCCTTGTCAAACAGTTTAAACACAAACTTAAAACAATTGTTATTCAAGTATGGTCAACAAGAATATAATAACAAGAATAAAACAACAAGAACAAAATAAAACTATTTGAAATTGTTAAAATTTATTTCCGGATCGTCATACATCAAAAATTGATAATGTTTAAAAATAAAAAAAATGTTTTCATATCCTTGACAAACAGTTTAAATACAAACTTAAAGCAATTGTTAATCAAATATGTCAACAAGAATATTGCAAATAAACACAAATTTATTATCGAAAACCATGTCCTGTGGTAAGTTAACAAAACTATTATATTTATAAAACTATAAAAACAAACTGAACAAACATTAATTTTTTTTTTTAAATTACCTGTGCTAGGACAGCCAGTGTCCTTGGGTACACTTGAAGAGGCCAGTTTGTACTGTCGGTACTTGAGACAGGGCTTACGCCCAAGTGTAGCAAAAGAGTCGACTGTAACGAGGCCGATAGTAAGCCTCTTGCCAAGAGATTATGCGTGTAACGGGTCAACGCCTGTGAAAACTCCGTATAAAGCTGGCCAAGAGTCGGGCCGAAGTAGACCGAAATCGTCCCAGTGTCTGTCCTGGCGGTCTCACGGTCTAAATCGCGTATGATCGCCGCTAGCATTATCATCTGTTGTTCTGTCAATCCAGACTCGACGTATCTGGTCATGTACTCGGCTTCACTGGTGACCATGTATCTATTCATAGTGTAAAATATTTGCGTTGCCAGGGCTATAAACTAAACAAGAAAGTTTCTCGGTTATTTTCTATTCTTGATGGATTTTTATTTAATGTAACGTAACATACTCCGTTCGGCTCCCCTTTTTCTGGAACGATAGAAGAAGGCTCGTGACCATTTTTCGGTAGTGTATCGGGTGTATCTTGAGATTGTGTGTTTGAAGAATTATCACAATCAGGGACAGATATTGTCTCTTCAAACCAGAGTCCTAACAAAGGTTCACTGTCATCATCTAAAAAAGAAATTTTTTTTTAAATCTTAGCTAAAAATCGTAAATACACCAATTTTATTTAAAACACTTGGTTAATGTAAAATTTGACTTACCAACATCTGGGGAACTTTCATCAGAGCAACTCATGTCATCTTCATCGTAGTAAGTAGTAGAATCAGACGTGCTGAAATTGTCTCCTTCTGGAGGATGTTTTTGGATTCTTTTCAATGTACAAGCCTACAATAAAATAAATTATTTATGAGATAATAAAAATACTTCTCATATCGTTAATGTACCTTTCTGTAGCTGACTGTTGCTAAATAAAAAAGTGACTGGTTTAAAGGTACTGCGTTCAGAACAGTCAAGGCACGTTGTAAAGCAGTCGATTGGCTTGAAATGCTCAGCTCGGCCAGATCAGACCAAGTTCTTGATGATGCACTCTCGAACTGTACATCCTCAAGAAGGCTTCCTATCAAGCGTAACGCATGTGATGCTAATGCTACTGACAATACACCAAATCCTTGTTGCCTATAGGACGAAAAACGCCGTTAAGTATTTGTCCGAGATCTTTGAATTTAGAAAACTTACACTTTCATTAAGTTTATCCTTGATGTGCCATCTCTTGATTTACTAGGTGATTTTCCTTTATCGTCTTTGCCAGGTTTATCCGAAGGCACTTGGCTGGAAGCGGTCAACTGTCCTTGGAGTCCAGAAACCAAAAGCCAAGCCCCCATTAATGTCAAATTTTGTACAACCTTAAAATTTTATCTTGTTAAAATATCAAATTTAAAAATATAAATTTCATTGTATTTAATCGAAAATAAATTACATTGCCTCCAGCGCGTGTTGATGTTTTAATCACAGATGAAATATGGTTGAATATTTCCAATGCTTTTTCCACGATGGCTGTCGAAAGGACATCAGCATTATTCTCCTCCTCGTTCGACTTGTTGCCAGATACTATTAAAAAAAAAAAAAAGGTATTAAATCTATACTTATTCCGAGAAAACAGGGTTTGAAAAGAACAGAAACCTGTTTGAGCAAGAGGCGCAGTTTTGGGCGAAACGGCAGACGATACTCCCAAAATGCTAGCAGCTGTCGCAGCGGACAACGCAGTGTATAGACCTGTCATGACTATCGTGGTCAGTTTCTCAAGCCTGGGCTGTGTCAACGGCTCTAAAACTGGTAGAGAAAGTACACTCCAAACCACACTCAGATCACTCGCTACTGCTTGCAAACTGCAAAGGAGAAACAAAAATTAACCAATAATTTGACATGGTCCAAATTGTTTCACAGTACATTTTGGTCATTTGTGTTTCATGTAAATAATTATAAAATATGTTATATGACAATAATACCTGTGCCTAATTAATTGTGCTTCGTTTACTGTACTAGGTAAGCTGAAACCTTTTTTCGATACAGCTGTTTGATACTTGTGAATATATCTGACTAGATGAGGCATTTGGAGGCATGTGTCGACAAAGACATCAGCGGCGCCAATTGCCTGCAGGTTAGCTATATTTCTCTGAACAAAAAGCACCTTGAAGGTGGTCGAAAAAAAGAAATATTAATACAATATATAAACCATTTAATTGCGATTTAGTTTTCAATTTCTACCTCAAGTTCATTCGGTTTATCCGGCGACGCTTCTGCCGATTTCGGTTCAGATTCGTTGCCACCAGATTTCTTAGAAACACTCCCATCAAGTAACGGCGACGTGAGTTGTTCCATTATCTGATTTGACAGATCAATTCTAGCTCTGGCCTTAACATCTTTTTCATTTTTTTCTTCAGCCGATTTATCATCTAAGAAAATAAAATAACACAATATAATATTTAACGTAGGTTTGAATACAATAAGCAAACAATGAAAATGCTATTTAAAAAATAAAATAAAAACACTAATTAAAAAAAAAAAATTACCAGAAGCCGGGAAGTTCAACGAAGTCTTAATATGAGGTGGTAATTTTGCATTCTTCATAATAGAAACAAGACCGACCTGGTCGGTACGAGAAAGTGTTGAAGTTGCTGTACACATCGCTTTTATTGGAAGAAGAAGCTGTTTCACTGGTAGGTTGTTAATGGCTGAGGTCTGACCCGAAGACGAGGCAGGGAATGTCGAAGAGAGCGCGGACGCCTCTTCAGACTCACCCTGCTTCTTCAAGTTCATCAAGATGTAACGTAGTAGCACTTTACAGGCAAGGCATACAGTGCCGATCTGCCCTTTTGATACTAGACGAAAATATATTAAATTATACAACAATTTTAACATTCATGTATAATTTTTTTTTTTTAATACTCACTTGCTGAAACATTTGAGCTAATGTAATCAGCAGCAAGTGCTGTGAGTGCAGCATAAAATGTCTCATATTTTTCTTCATGATCTAATAATTCTGGCTCACTGTAACAAAATAAGTTTTGATCTGTAGATATTTTTTATATACGTAAAATAGATTAATATAGACTGTGTTTAAAATAGATTTAATTTTTTGACCATCCGAGGACTTTTGATAGATTTTATTTTCAAAACTCCTCGGCTGGTTAAAAAAAATTAAAACTTGTTTTACAATTACAATGAGAAATGGCTCTTGTTCGGTAAATTATCGGATGAGATTATCAAATGAAGATTAAAAAAAAGAGTAAAATTGCCTATTACTTAAAAAATGATAATAATAATTAATAAAATAAATAAAAAATAATAGAAGAATTAGCACCTCCGCTTTATGAAGAAATTGAATTTTATAAACAAATAAAAAAACTAATAATCATCATATTTTCAACGGTTGTTTAAAATGAAGCAATATTTAAATTGACCAAAGGTGTAAGTCAATACGGGCAATCATTTTCCTCAAATAGATTCAAAACAATTTTATTGACTTTAAACATGTTTATATCTCATTGTTGAACGAACTGGACAGAGATAAAACGAAACAAAATAATTTACACAATATAAAGTATTCATGACCTTGGAGAAGTTTTTGCTAACGTTGTCTGTAACATTTAAATTACAAAATCATGTTTGGTGTATGTTTTTCAAGATGACCTTAGTATCTAGAGCGAATCAGAAATAAGGTCGAAACTGCTGGGAAAGTTGAATGACCCGAGTTAGATTTGAATTGTGAACAATTCCAATTTTAAAGTTTTTCTAGACCCTCCAAGTAGTTTTTGGGGGGAAAAAAATAACAAGAAGAAATATTCATATAGTCTATAAACATACACAAATATCATGGGTCTTTCTCATAGATCTCAGTATTCAGATTTGTGTACATGAAGTAAAATGAAAGTCAGAAAATGTGCCATTATCAAGGGATATTTAATATTTATTATTAATTAACCATTATTTTTCTTTAACTCAGTCTAGCCGACAAATAATTTGAAACCACTTGTACATTTGGCAGTTATAATTAAAGTTGGACAGGATGTTTGTCATAACTCACAAGAGGAAAACACAGACAATTTTTATCTGGTTTATTTATATTCACACAATGAATAATGTTCCATGTAACAACTGGATACAATATCAAACAACATGCATACTTTTCCTTGTATTTAATGTTCGAGAAGTGCATTTTGGTACTTTCTTTTAGTAATAAATCTGCAATGTCAAGTAATAAATCCCTTGATGACATTCATTTTGTGAACGGCGAGGTGTTGGAGGGTTTTTAGCTTATAACATAATGTATCCTTGTAAACCACGGGATAATAAATAAATAAAATGTTTTATTGCTGCAAAAATCAAAATACATGGCTATGTCAACTAAAATACATAATTTATACTGCAAATTAAAAATTCAGGTAGGTGATAGCAAGCCCAGAATTCAACACGAATAATTTTTATTTTAAAAAAATTAAAATACCTTATTTATGTGTGAGCTACAGCCCCAAATAATCAGTCCTTAATTGCAGATTGGCTAGAAACAGCTCATATTGGACACTCTGAATATATATGTCGATAGGCCTAAGCATTCTTATAGCAAAACAAAGTCTGCTGAGTTTAGGTGCAGCTGGAAAATATGTTCCTCCCATGTTAACTTTTATCAAGGTCAACAACTGGGACCAATGAAGACTCTCATCATCTACCCAGATGCCAGCCAAGAACATATGAAATCGCTAAAACTAAGCGCTTTTTCTTTATATTAAGATCAAGGCAATTCTCCGAAAAACAAGCCATGACTTCTTCCATTGTGTGCTTAATTTTTAGCCATAAATCATCAGAATTCCCATGACGATTAAGGAGGCGACGTCTGCAGATAGAAATGTACACCCCCCCTTAATAAAGTCATTAATTAAAAATAAAAGAGGACCAAGTATGGAACCCTGGGGTACTCTGTACTTTGGATCTAAACAGACTTCTTCCCACTTAATTTTGTTTTCTGCAACTCTGCATCTAAGAGGCAAAAAGATCACCAACAACTAAAATTCCAATATTTTAGAACAAAACCATTCTTAATTAAACAATGTTAGCACGTCTTCCATGATTACAAGCAGTATGAAACAATTTCATATATTTAATACTGTTTAGCAATCAGTATTTAATTTAGAAAAACAATATGAGGGTAAAATCAAGGGACAAAAAAGCTTTACAACATAACACGTCTACAATGCAAGCAAAATACAAACTTTCACTTAAACTTTGATGGTTTTTTAGGCTTCCCTATGCAGTTCTGACGTTTTTTGTGAATAAACTGTATTTAACCATGAACTAACTCATTGTGCAAAGATTTCGGCTTATATTTCTGTTTGTAACCTTGCAATCCCTTCGATACTCCATTTTTTTAACTATATGGTACAAAGTGGTTCAATGAAAAGACATATGCTTTACTGAAAGATGTTTCCGATGATTTTTACCTTAAGGTCAACCTAAGCCAAGTGGGATGAAATTACAAAGATATTTTGTTGGCAGTCGGAGTTTAATTTAGATAAAGAAAAACTCAAGCTTTCTCTTTGGAGAATAATAAATGAGAAAAGCACTACAATATAAGGAAAATGGCAATTTTTACTTGGGATATGAAGCTTTTTAAGTTTGCCTTTGCAGTTATGGCATTTCATTGCGAATGAATGGCATGTAAATTGGAAAATGGCTCATTGTTCAAATGGTTCCAGCTTAGATTCATGATAATAGACTTGCAATCTGTTGGATAATCCATATTTTTATCACAACAGTACTGAAAATAGCTTAAATAAAACACCATCTTTTGTTTTTATAACAGGATATCTTTCATGAGTTTAACCCCCCCCCCAGGACCAAGAACCTACAAGAATATTTAATATTTTATGGCATAAGGGTTTAATTTAGATAGAGAACAAGTTGTTTAAAGGCAAAAACAATGTATATTGTTTTTATACGTTTTAGCTGGGGGAATAACAGCATAATAGGTCTACAATATAAAAAAATGTCAATTTTTACTTGGGATTTGAAGCTTTTTAGGCTTCCCGTTACCACTGTCATGTTTCATAATGATAAATGGTATCTAAATAATGGATTGGTTCACTTATTAAACAGGTTCCAGTTTATATTTTTAAGATTATAGCCTTCTTTGATTTAGACAGAAAACAAGACATTTGAGGGCAAAAACAAGGTATATTGTTTTTATCCATTTTATGCTGAGGGAATAACAGCATATGTCTACAAAACTTATTGCGGGAAAAAATGCTAATTTTTACTTGGAATCTGAACCTCTTTAAGCTTCCATTTTCAATATTACATTTTACAATTGGTTGAAGTCGTGAGGAGCGGTCAAGAATGAGCTAGGTTTAGAAAAACACCTTTTTTATTTTTTTGCCGATGTTTCAACCTTTAATCGGGTCACCTTCGGGGCATTCGTTTGGTGTCATATTGGTTTTGTGTGAAAATGTTGTGAGATACAAAACCAATATGACACCACAAGAATAGTACACTTTATTCCCTGAAGATGACCCGTATGAGGGTCGAAACATCGGCAAAAAAAAAAATAAAGGTGTTTTTCTAAACTATTTCATTCTTGACTGCTCCTCACGACTTCAACAAATTATGAAACAAGAGTCACTAAGAAAACACATTCCATTTTATTGTGAATAAATGGCATGTAAATCAGGAAATGGCTCATTGTTAAAAAGGTTCCAGCCTATTTTTACGATTATAACCTTGCAATCCCTTGCATAATCATAACTTTAGATTAATTTATATTTTTAAAAAATTCACGCTTTGTTGCTTTAGAGAATAATAAATGAATAAAGTACTACAATACAAGAAAATTGCTAACTTTGACTTGAAATCTGAAGCTTTTTAGGTTCCCCTTTACAGTTGTTGAATTTCACTGAGCATAAATGGTACACAAATCATTTTTCGAATTGTTCCTGCATATATTTACTGTTATAGATTATAGATGCATATTTTTATCACAACAGTATAATTAAAAGTATGTAATATCCCATCATTTGGTTTTATAACAGCATTCCATGATTTTGACCTTAAGGCCGACCTAACCCAATTTAGATAGAGAACAAGTCATACGAAGGCAAAAGCAAAGGATTTTGTACTTCTGTTGTATGCTGGGAAAATGCCTATTTTCACCTGGGATTTGAAGCTTTTTAAGTTTTTACTGCTGCCATAATGTTAATGGTATGTAAATCATGAAATGGTTCACTATTCAAATCGTTCCAGCTTATATTTTTATGATTATATTTCCTTTTCTTATTATTCTTCCAATCCATATTTTTCCATATTAATCGAGATAAAGAAAAATTTCTACTTTGTGTTGGATAATAACGAGTAAAACACTACAATACAAGGATATTGCCAACTTTGACTTGAAATCTGAAACTTTTTAGGTTTCATTTTTCAGTTGTAGCGTTTCACCATGAACAAATGATACACAAATCAGGAAATGACTCATTTTTCAAATGATTCCTGCTTGTATTTATGATTATAGATTCATATTTTTTTCACAACAATATAATTGAAAGTAACCCATCATTTGGTTTTATAACAGCATATCTTCCATGATTTTGAACTTAAGAACGACCTAACCCAATAGTAGTATGAAACTGCAAGTATATTTAACATTTTTTGACAATCAGAAGTTAATGTTGATTTATGCCTTCTTTGCATTGTGGTAATCCTAATGAATACAGCTCTACAGAATAATAGGTCAATTATATAAGAAAAATACCAACTTTTATGGCTTGTGGTTTTAAGGTTTTAGCTTATATCTATGATTGTAGCATTGGATAATCCAGAATTTAACCACAATTGTCCACTTCCATCTTATGCTTTTCTGGAATCAAATCTCCCCATGATTTTGACCTTGAGGTCAACCTAAACTAATTTGAAACGATAATTACGATTTTAAATGATTTTGGATGGAGAACAAGTGATAAAGGGATTAGAAACGTGGGAGAATTTTTATCTGCATTGTGTTTGGAGTAAAATTATGAGTAACGTGTTCTATGTCATAATTGGTTTACAAGACATAGAATACTACATTTTCCTTTAATTTGGACTTGTTTTTATGCTTTGGCGTTTAATTTTTGCGAATGAACGTAATGCAAATCGGGAAATGGCGCATTGCTGGCAGGAATTTTCAAGCGAGGGGTTAAAGAGGAGACGTGTGAAGAAGGCAGGCGGCCCTGACTCAGCAATCTTCGGATCCGAAGCCGGCGGATTGGGGCCGGATTGCGGATAAGGCCGCGGCCGCGGACGAGGATCCGCCGAGAGACGGTCTCGACTTTTCCCACGACGTGTCACAACAGGAAAATCGATTCCGTCCCGGAGCAGATCGCCCACCGCGGCGAAGGCCTAAATTTAACCGGCCCGTTCCGAAATAAATTACACTCAATTATGCAACGGTTGTAAAAATGGGAAAAAGCGTGTTTAAAAATAAAATGGCATTCATTTGTCAGTGGAAAATGGCGATGTCGGCCCGAACACGGGAAAAGGCCGGGGTGTGAAAAAAAGGAAACGGAAAAACGGTGAATTGGGATGGAAAAAGGTTCTCACTTACCTCCTGATAATGGCTTTGGCTAATTCCGTGATATCGTGTTTGTTAACGGAGCCGTAAGACGCGGCCAAGACCGGTTTGACGATGGAGCCCCACTCGACTCCGGTGTTCCCGACCATTTTTCGGTATGGCGACGGATAAGGCTATCGCGATTGAAAGGGTAAACGGCGGCTGTGGACCGTGGCCGGGCCGGAGTTCATCCTCGGCGGATCCGCCGTCCGTCTCTGTCCTCGGGGCTCGTCTCGCTCCCTCCTCCGGTGGTTGAGGCTGTCCTCTCGAACGTCGTCTCGGGGCCGGGGCGAATGTGGAAAAGCTTCGGCTGAGGCCGGTCAGTTCATCCGGGCGATAACGGGCGACACAATTTCGATTCGAACAACGGGGCCGAGTCAGTCCGTCATTCTACTTTTACACCTGACGACTGAGAAATAAGAGACGACGGAGAGCGAAATTCGAGCGTAGAACGTGCAAGGCTTGGATCCGGGCTCGGTGTCGCTTCGTGGAGCGCTCGGCGGCCCGATTGCGTCACGAGCCGAGCACACTTGGCAAAAACTGGCACACTTCAAATTTGGACAGAATGATTTTAAACGCCCGCTTTTTAAATATTGACCGCTTTCCAAAAAAAATTACGAACTGTTTTTATTGTTTTTGTTTTTTTAAGCGCTTCCGTTAATTAATCCATGGTGGAAAACAAAAAAATTACACCTCTCAAGAAATACAAATCAGAAATAAGTCCAGTATCGCCGTTCCCAAAATTAAGCTTATATATCCAGGGGAAATTTTGGTAAAAACACACACCTCATTTTTTCCAGTTTTGACGAGTAAAAAACCACTGGAAAATTTCCCCCGGCTTTCTTCTAATCGGCCTCTCCCCTGACCATCCTAGTCCGCTAAAATTCTTTTTGTCTCTTATCATTTTATATTTCAAAATTATCTGTTTTTGAGTTGCTAAAAATCAATTCCAGTTCACACATATACTGGTACATTTTTGCCACATTTGTAAAAATTTCGTTTTTCGTTTCAATCGTCTAACTAATATTGTCCATTTCCTCAATAGTCTGTATCAATAAGTAGGATTTGCAAGCAGTTTCTTCTTGAAAAGCAATTCAAACATTCGCTGGTTGGTTTTGTTAATTTGGGAATGACTGCTCTATTTTCTATAGAAAATAACACACCTAAATAATCTTGCTTTCATTCTGGTTCTTTCTGTTTTGCTCTCATTCTCTCATTCACTTTCTATCTCCTTTTCTCTCTTCTTCTTTCTCTCTCTCTCACTTTTTCTCTAACTAAATATTTATTTGCATACACGCTCACTCACTCATTCATTCCATTAATTTTTATCACATCACCTCCTCACACTCCACTCTCTCTCTCTCTCTCTCTCTCTCTCTCTCTCTCTCTCTCTCTCTCTCTCTCTCTCCTATCTCCTCTCTCATCTCTCTCTCTTCTCTCTTCTGATTTCTCTCTCTCCCTTTTTCTTTATCTATATATTTACTTGCTCCCTCACTCCTCTCACTCTCACATGCAAGCTCTCACATTCACCTTACAAGTGAAGTAGTTATTAAGTTTTATCATATCATCTCCTCTCACACACACTCTCTCTCTCTCTCTCTCTCTCTCTCTCTCTCTCTCTTCCATTTGATCCAGATTTATTATTTGTTTTTTAATAAAACCTTATGAAAATAAAATAAAATTATAGTTATAACAGCGTATAGATGATACATGTATTGTAATGCAATACAATGGCTATATCATGATTCTCTTTATTTTCTTACATTTGGTAATTAATGAGTGTACATTTGGTAATTAAAATAAATTCTTAAAAATATGAACTCATAGTAAATATATTATGAACACATGTTTTATTTAATGGTTACTGTTGCTATATTTATATACATATTTCAAACTGTCAAAATTAATATTGTATTTATTAGGAGCTTGTGTCATAATTTTAAATTAATTTATTGAAATAATCCACGGTAGTTGCTAAATAGAATGTTTCACTTTATTTATTTGTTTATTTATTCAAACACTTTTTTATTTATTTTAATGATGAATGATAAACAAAATCATTATTTAAAGTTCTGTTATTGAACGTTGAACTTGTTAAATCAATTATATTGTTCAAAATTGTTAAATGTTTATTTGGAGATCGTGAGATGCGGTCTGGTGTGACTTTTCTTCATCATACCAACGTATCAATCTTTATTGAGATCATCTTCAGGGCCAGGGATTCATAAACATTGTTTAAATTGTAAATCCTAGGCCCTGAAGATGATTTCAATAAAGATCGAAACATTGGCCTGATAAAGAAAATGTTTTTCTAAACCTACATCACACCAGACCGCATTCCACGATCTCCAAATTAATTAACAGTCACTAAATATCACACATTGTTAAATATAATGAATTTCATAGAATTTCAAAGGTATATATCATGTTGAATTATCATAGTTGTTACCCCCAGGTTTCTAAATGATAAAAGTAATATTATTATTTATTGAGTTTTAAAACGTGAGTCAATTTATTATTATTGTTTATACAGTACAATAAAAAGTGTATTTCATGTTTATCTATTATTTTTTATTATGTTAATATTTAAGCATACTACATTAATTTGTTAAATGTAAAAAGATATAAATTTAAACAAAACTTACAAATATATATGGTTTAATAAACATAACAGATTATTTTCTAAGAAACTAGAAAATGATCATAGTGATGATTTTTATCAAGAACACATCTAGTTTATGTTTCAATTTTAATTAAATTTAAAAAAAATTAGTTTAAAAAAAAATTTTATATCAATACCATATCCAGAAATTTGGATAAGATTTACAAAGACAATTTTTTCAATATACACCAAATCTCGTCCTTTTCATTCTTTATTCTTCATCTCGAAATTTTTGATGATGGTATTTTTGACATTGATTTGCATCGCTGAAACCTTTTTGAAGCCTAGTATGCATTCTAAAGCATTTTCATTATAGGGTTACAATTTAATAAGAAATGACAGAATCAATGTTTGAAAAGGTGGAGTCGCAATTTACGTTAAAAGTAACTTAAAATTCTCCGTATTAATATGTCACCTGCCCAGTACGCTGCTAAACCTGAATTTATCCTAGGTGAAATAGAAACAAAAGGCCATAAAATACTGATAGAAGTGGCACAGAAACCATTGAAACTAGGTTTCTCGGCACGGTTTTCAATATCATTGCATCTTATAATTTAAATTATAAAGATGTTATAATAGTTGGAAACTTCAACGATGATTTAAGTTCTAAGCTGAAAAATGCTTATGCATCATAATTACTAAAGTTAACAAAAGGTGTTAATCTTGAAATTTCACCATCCTGACCTACATGTTATAGACAATTATTCGAATCCACTTTGAATGTAATTTTTATAAATAACAAGGACAAATTACTTATCAATGACTAGATGATATTTCATCCGAGATTTGCGGATCACGGCCTAATTTTTAGGTGTTTTAAAATCAAAAAACTAAAATCAACTCCTAAAATTTCAATGGTCAAAAAATACAATAAAATAGATTAATTAAACTTAATTAAAGAAGCAGCAGAATTTAATTTTGATAAAATATATTTACAAAATGATTCAATCACTAAAGCACAAATGTTATCTGATTACTTACAAAAATTAGAATACAAATTTCCTCTAATAAGAAAACTACGTGTTTCTAAGAAACCAGCACCTTGACTCAATAAAAATATTTTAACACTAATAAAGGAAAGAGAGAAGGCTTTAAGAATATTTAAAAAAGACAAACAATTAGCAAACTGGGGGGGGGGAATAAGAAACAAAGTAAAAAATTTCATCAGAAAACAAAAATACAATTTCTACCAAAATCAAAACATACCAAACTCCACCGAGTACTTTTAATGTGCTCAATTATTCTGTAAACTAGAATATTTTTTTCAATAAGCAATTTGAAGTAAATACATATTTAGTGCAATGTAAAATGAATAGATGTAACGTATTGACCACAAAACCAGGTTATTTGAAATAATTGATGTTTACATCATTAGAAGTAGAGAAAACTTAAATGTACAGTTTATTTCACATTAGATGTAAGAATGGTCCTTGAGACCAATTCTTATGTGATTGATAAAAAAAGCATGCATTCATCGTCATCATCTTTCCACTGGTCTAGATGATTTTAATAGCTTTTCCTGACACAATGTGCTTCTTACTTGACTAAACCTCTAATGTTTATATCTAATTGTATATTCAAATTTGGCGTCCACCCAGTAAAGCTAATAAGAAGAAAGGTGCTTATTCATAAAAAGAATAGCAGGCATGATTACAGACTAGATGCCCCGTTATCTATTTTTAGTAAAGTCATTGAAAAATAAATGCATGACTGCCTCATTGAAAACAAATCAAACCTTGCAATGAAATCTATTAGGAGGTCCACTGAAGATATCTGAGAAAATAATAGGTTTAAAAATGAAAAGCCTTTTAGTGATAGATATTGTTATAACTAAGCCCTTTGATCTTGTCAACCATGTTCACTTGTCTGTCCTCACTCTCTGATTCTCTTGCCTCCATTTCCCCCTTTCATTCTCTCTCCCCTCTCACTCTTATCTCTTTATCTTTCTGCCTCCTCCCTCGTGAACGTGTAGAAATATTTTTGAACTTTCAGATACAGATTTTTTCTTGTACTTAAATAAAGGGGCTTCGGTTAGGCTAAACCAGCATTACTCAACAGTCCTACGGTGACTGTCGTATCTACGCGCCGTAATTTTGTCCATTTGTTAATAAGATGTTTAATAAGAAATAAGCTTTCCCACAACAAGCACATGTGTCTTTATAGTGTAATTTACCTTCCTCTTAATTACGTAAATGAATATTTTTTTATTTATTACTATTTTGTTTGAAATCATCTTTTATTATGGTACCCTTATTCTAGTAAGTAGATTCTAATTTTCCAAGTTCTTTTTAGTAGAACAGAAATAAATTGGCTAAGGGTTGGTATTCCCCTTTTATTAATTACACCTTTTAATTTTTGCCATGTTCTGGGATCTAATTTTATCACCAATCTCACACAAAAATGGATCCCAGAGCTCAGTGTGGAACTTTAAAGATTCTTAAATTAGCTTTCACCTTGTTTCCAATTTACACATGAAATCAAAACAAAAACAAAACCATTTTTAGATACACTCGTGATTAACCAGATGGCACATTAATCACAGATCGGTATTAAAAACCTAGCTACACAGATAGCTACCTAAACTTTACATCACACCATCCCCTTTTTACAATAATAAACACGGCCAAAGCCTTCACAGAATTATTACCCTGAGCCATGAATCTGAGAGATAGATAAAAACTAGGTTTGCAAACTCTGGTCTGTGAGTCGTTAAACACAAAACCAAAACTGTTAATAAATCATTCTCAGTAAAAGGTGCAATAAATTTTTCAAGAATATTTGTACACATAAAACTATGTAAAAATTATCAATAATTTCCAGAATAATCTTAAAAATCACCTCTTATCAAGCTATGATTGATGCTAAAAATTCAATAGCATAAATTTAATTTATTCTTTATATATTATTATTTGGTGATTAAAACCTTTATTTTTATATTTATAAAATATACAATTTATTAAATCTATGTAAGGTCTTGCTAGTAACAACAGAAAATTGATTATGCCAAGTTAAGTAATTGTGAATCAATTCCTAAAATTTTTAGAGGGGAGAGAAAGAGAGAGAGAGCGAGTGAGAAAGAGAGAGGGAGAGAGAGAGAGAGAGAGAGAGAGAGAGAGAGAGAGCTGCTCCAGTGCTCCCGTTTAAAAAACTTAATTCTTCCTTCTAAGATTTTAATTTTGTATTTATCTCATTTTACTTTCTACGTCCATTTGAGTTATTTTCATCCAAATCAGAGATATGTAAAAAAATTAATGTTACGCTGACAAAATTACGGCGCTTTGATGTGAGTCTTAAAATGACCGTTGAGTAACGCATGTTTAGCATAACCCAAGCCCCTTTGTTCAGGCAGTTCTTTTTTTGTGTTTAAATGATGCTACCATCTTGTAGAGCAGTATAGAAACTGTAGCAAGAGAAGTAATTTATTACCCTAAAATAAAATGTAATGCAAAAGAAGGGAAGTGTTTTGAGTTCTTTTTTTCAACCATAAATATTTATTGTTTATAAACAATTTTAATATAACAACACTGACATTTACCTAGGAAGAAACTGCCAAAAGAAGGGTGAATCTCCTAAATTTATATGAATGAGAGTGACCATTAATGTGCTGCATTTATATTAATTGGTAATAATACCAATTAATAGCACTAGTTTTACATCCTTCATTGTGAAGTAATTATTTACATAAACTGCCTCATAATCATAAGCAAAACTGAATATATTGATATTAAAAAAAGCTTCGTTTTCAGAAAGGACTTCTTTACAGAATCTAAGACATTTTTGCATTCTTCTGACTTCAATGAGGAAAATAAAAAATTAATTAATGTAAAATTGGAAAAAATTACGCCACTGAGGACAGAATTTGATAATATACAAACTGAAAATTAACCCTGAAAATGAAACAAAGTTAATTCAAAGAGAAGATTTTGAAGAAGAATTTTGTAGATTAGTTTGCAGGGCTAGGATACTAATACAAACTACTGATACAGATAATAAACTGACTATCATTAAGCAACACATCAAGGAAATTAAGTTTCCGGATATATTATTACCTACTTTAAATGAAAAGTATGAAGATTTCCTTTTGTTTAAATAAGATTTTAATTCTGTAATAGATGAAAGAACAGATTTAGCACCCATTCAAAAATTTAAATTTTTAAAAAGAGCATTCATTCAAGATGATGTAGCTCCAGCTTTAAAAAGTATAGACGTAACAAACAATGATTATAACTTGGCATGGAAGCTACTTGAAGAACGCTATTATAAGGAAATACACATTGTATTTAGGCATATAAAGGCAATCTTTGACTGAAAATGTGGAAGAAGGTTCAGCTTGTAAATTGTAGAACTTTGTGAATGATACTTTAGCCAATTTAAGAAACTTTAAAGCTCCACACTGAGCACTGGGATCCACTTTTGTGTGAATTTAGGCAGAAAATTAAATCATAGAACAGGTAAAAAATGAAAAAGTGTAATTAATAAAAGGGAAATATCAACCCTTAACCAATTTATTTTCGTTCTACTAAAAAGAACTTTGAAAATTAGAATCTACTTACTAGAATAAGGGTACCACAATAAAAGATGATTTCAAACAAAATAATAATCAATAAAAAAATATTCGTAATAATATATACGTACGTATAATTAATACGTAATTAAGAGGAAGGTAAATTACACTATAAAGACACATGTGCTTGTTGTGGGAAAGCTTATTTCTTATTAAACATCTTATTAACAAATGGACAAAATTACGGCGCGTAGATACGACAATCACTGGACTGTTGAGTAATGCTGGTTTAGCCTAACCAAAGCCCCTTTATTTAAATACAAAAAAAAATCTGTATCTGAAAGATCAAAAATATTTCTACACGTTCACGAGAGAGGAGACAGAAAGAGAAAGAGTGAGAGGGGGAGTGAGAAAGTGAGAGGGAGAAATGGAGGTGGACAAAATCAAAGGCCTTAGTTATAACAATATGTATCACTAAAAGGTTTTTCATGTTTAAACCTATTATTTTCTCAGCTATCCTCGGTGGACCGCCTAATAGATTTTATTGTAAGTTTGATTTGTTTTCAATGTATTAGGCGTTCATGTATTTATTTTTCAATGACTTTACTAAAAATAAATATCAGGGCAATAGGTCTGTAATCATGCCTGCTGTCCTTTTTATGAATAAGCACAACCTTTCTTCTTATTAGCTTAACTGGGTGGACGCCAGATTCGAATATACAATTAGATATAAACAAGGTTTTATATACATTTTAGTTTATACAAAAGAGAGAGAGAGAGAAAAAAGAGCGAGAGAGAGAGATAGAGAGAGAGAGAGAGAGAGAGAGAGAGAGAGAGAAAGAGAGAGATGGAGGGAGAATCCAATTTATCCTGCTCCAATTTAAAAAAACGTGATTTCAGATTCCAATTCTTCCTTCTACGATTCTAATTTTGGATTTTTCTCATTTTTACTTTCTTTGTGCATTTGCGTTATTTTCACCCGAAACAGAGATATGTGAAAAAAATTAAAATCGGTATGACAAAATTACGCGTTGATACGACAGAGTAATGTAGGTTTAGCCTAATCCAAGCCCCTTTATTTAAATGCAAGAAAAAAGCTTTAGAACTGAAAGCTGAAAAGGTTTGTTTTTACATATTTTTTGGATTGTTCTCTTGATTTAATTTTCAATAAAAGGTGTTTTTATTTTTTACGGTCTGAATAAGTCTTATGGTCTGAATAAATAATCGTTTTGAACTTGAAAAATGTATAACAGTCTTTTTCATTTTCTTAATGCCAAATTTCATATAATAAAGCAAAATTATCATTTTGAAACTGATGAATCGTTGTTAGTTGTTGTTCTTAAAACTTTAAAAGAGTTATAAATGTTTCCTTTAGTGACAAATTGAAGATTAAATGCATTGTTCTTCCAATAAAAAGAAACCATAAAATGTCCATTTTTACATAATTTTTTGGTTGTTCTCTTGATTTATTTTTAAAATAAACGCTGCCATTATTATTACAGCGCAGTAAATGTTTAAATTTGTTCTCTAAAATGCATTACTTTATGTAGTCTTTTTCATTCGCTTAATGACAAATTTCATCTGAATAATCCAAAATTATCGTTTTGGACTTGTTATTTGTTCTTAAAAGTTTACAAAAAAAGATAAATATTACTCATAGTGACAAAATGAAGTTTGATTGAAGGATTACGTTTTTCCATGCTAAAACATGACCAAATATAACTTTCAGCCACTTCATTTTTTGGTCTTCCAAGGAAAGAAAACCTTGAAGTGTCTGTTTTCAAAATTGTTTTGGGATTAAAATACCTGATTTTTATATCATTTATTTTCATTTGTTTAAGGCCTGATTTGGTATGTTAAAGTAAAATTATCAGTTTGGTCATGTTACTTGTTATTCTTAAAAATTTAAAAGAGATGTAAAAAATATCAATATTGACAATAAAGATTGATGGGAGAATGTTGAAGATTCTTTTTTTTTATTCTTCCGATGAAAGGAAACCAAAACGTCTGTTTTTACGTAACTTTTGGGTTGTTCTCTTGATTAATTTTTTTAACGAAACGCTGCCTTTCTTCTTTAGAGGGCAGCAAATGTTTAAATTGTTTTTTTTTTGTTTTTTTAAATGCATGATTTTTATGCAGTTTATTTTCATTTTTTCAATAACAAATTTGGTTTGATGAACACAAAATCATTGCTTTGGAGTCTTGAAATTCATTTTTATATATATTTCGTTTTTTAATTTACGGGCTTTGCATTCTTTTGAGTAGAAAGGGATTAGGAAAGCCATAAATCTACTTTCACTAAATTCTCAATAGTGAACAAGCCATAAAATGAGTCACGTGGATTAGGGACAGTGCTGGCATCTATAATGGATGTTTTTATTTTTAAAAAAGTCGTTTAAAAACAGATTTCAAAGTCGAAATAAACAAATGTACAATCGTTAAAAGGTTTAAAAGGGCGAAATTGGTTTGAATTTCCGTTTGAAATCATCTCCCGTCTTATGTCGTTTATCGGCTGTGATGATGCAATGACCCTGGTGGGCGCCACCAGTCAACAACTTTCGAGCTTTACAGTCGACATCACTCCGTCGATCCTGCTTCGCATCATCCAGTCATCTGTTGTTCCCGTCTTTATTTTCTGTTTTTCTTCATTTTTCTCAAAAAAACACGACAAACCAATAAAAAAAATTAAAATGAGTGCTTAAACCGGCGCAGGATGTGAAAAAACCATTGTGTTCGACCGTTCTTTTATTGTGAGTATGCCTCTCTTTCTACGTTTGTACAACCGTGTCGATTATTTGTTTATAAACAAACAATTTTAAACTTGACAACAGCTTTACAAGCTGTTTGTTTGCAGTTTAAAAAATAAAACTTGCTCGTGTACAGGTCAATCTTTTAGCCTCAGGGCATATCTTAAAAGCTGTCGAAACTTCATAGTTTTTAGTTTCAACAATTCTGATTAAACTCGCTCATTCAGTATACTATGAAAAATTAGAAAACATTGTTTATTACTAATACGACATACATACATGCTCAGTTATAAAATGTCTTCATGTGAAACTACATTGGTACTGGTGTTTGTCATTTCAGCTGTTAGGTTAAGCTAAATATCTGTCACTAGTGTATCATTGATCATTGACTGAATGACACAACATGAATTGCACATTTGAAGCTTTCACTTACAGTTCTATCGTTAGATTTTATCCTGCACTCTCCTTTGAGCCAAAAACTTATAATTTGGTTGTTATCTCTGCACGACTGAAAACGCAGACCAGAATGATCAGCATCGACCAAATTACTACTTTCCTAATGATTATCCTGTTCTGCAAATGAAGTTTGATTGAGCTAAATATCTGTCATATGTATCATTGATCTTTGACGGTTTTTTCATTTTCACCGATAACAAGGTTGTGGTGATTTAGGCCTGAAATGCATCATGAGTTGCACATTTGAAACTTTCACTGTTCTATCGTTAAATTTTATCCTGTGTTCTGCAATGTCTTGAACTTATAATTTGATTGGTTCTGATCATGCTGTTTGCATTTTAAAACTTCGCTACCTGTTAAATTAACGACTGAAGCAGGCAGATTGCCACAAATGCAGTTTGATTGAGCTAAAATATCTGTCACTGGTGTATCATTGATCTTTGACCATTTTTTTCCATCTCTTTTATTTTCACCAAAAACAAGGTTGTAGTGATTTAGGCCTGTAATGCATTATGAATTGCACATTTGAAGAGATGTAGACGTATTAGTCGGGTGTACTATACTGCGCCCTTTGAGATCTGTTGCATCCCCGGGCTGGGCCTATAGCACACCGATGAGTCCTATTTCATCAAGGGACTTAATTAGTAGGCCTGGTTTCAGTGGCTGAATTTCTTCTACGGTCAAACACTTCCACCTGCGGGCAAGTGTAGCACGACACTTTGTTAATAGGTGTTGGTGTTTCCTCTGCTTCTTTGCAGAATCTGCATGTGCCGTCTTGGGTTATACCAATCTTCTTTAAATGTCCGTTTAGTTTGCACTGTACTGTTAACAATCCTGTTAGGATTCGCAGTTTTTCCTACATCTTTTGATACATTCTATTACTTCTTTCCTTCCGAAATTTGTTAGGATAGGAGGTTCTTGGATTATTTGTGTCCAATGGGTGAATTCTGTTGTTCCCTCATTTTCTTTTTATCCTTCTGTCTGAGGTACTTCTTGATAGCTATGATAACGTGACGTGATAGCTCAAGTGGTTAGAGCAAAGGTGTATTGAGCTGAAGGTCGTGGGTTCGAATCCCACTTGTGACACTAATTTTTTAATCTTAACTAAGACCTTACATAAAAAGAATATGTAAGGTCTTGGCTTACATAAAAATAATATTTAATACTAATTATTTATTTATTTTCTTTTTTTAGCTGAAGTAAATATGAAGGAGAAGCACCACAAGAGCCATAAGCGGTCACCGTCTTTCGAACGCCACCATAGCCGCCACCATCCCCGTGATGGGCAGGTTGATAGCGATGACGATGAAAGGGAGAGAAGGAGGCCTAGGTTGTCGGACGACAGAGATCGTCGCAGGTCGCCGGATAACAAACGCCATGAGCGGAACCACTCTCTGGACCACAGGGACAGGAGAAGATCACTATACAGTGAAAAAGAACGAAGACAGTTTTCGGGAGAGAAGAAAGTCTGCAGAAGAAAACAGCGCCAAGAGGAAAAAATGAGGGACGAAGACAATATAAAGGTGGAAAAATCGCCACCCGATCATCGGACGAAAAATTCTAAAAGTGCAGCTGAAAAGTTAGACATATTTTTACAACCAAAATATTTTTTTTTAATCAAAACATGAATGTTAAAATTTATTTATTTATTTTTTTTACAGCACATCAGGAGAAAAGTGGGGCAAAAATGATGAGAACACAAAGAAAAAGCCAATGGAAAATAAAGCTAAACCTGATTTTGGTCTCTCAGGGAAATTAGCCGAAGAAGTCAATACCTACAACGGTGTTGTAATTAAGTACGCAGAGCCTCCTGAAGCTGGTAAACCAAAAAGGAGGTGGCGCCTTTATCCTTTTAAAGGAGACGAAGTTTTGCCCACACTTTATATACATAGAAAAAGTGCTTATCTCATAGGTAATTAAAATAAATTTGCATTGATTATAAAAAGAACAATAAATAAAAATATAACTTTTTTTTTTTCAGGAAGAGATAGAAAAGTGGCAGACATGCCTGTGGACCATCCGTCCTGTTCGAAGCAGCACGCCGTCCTTCAGTACAGGATAGTACCGTACACCCGAGAGGATGGAGTCAAATCACGTAGGATACGACCTTACATAATAGACCTGGAATCAGCAAATGGGACCTACATAAACAACAAAAGAATAGAACCAAAGAAATATGTTGAGCTTATGGAAAGAGATGTAATTAAATTTGCGTATTCTTCAAGGGAGTACGTTTTACTTCACGAACACTCACAAGACGATGGTGTTGAAGAGGACGATAACATTTAACAGTGTATATATGTAGCCTTTTTTTTCTAATTTTTATTATGTAAATAAAATAACATAATTTTCCAATTTGTTTTCTCTTTTAGACCTGTAGCCTTGAAATATTTTTTTGGTTAAACATATAAAGTGGGGGGGGGCATCGGTGGCCGCAGCGGTTTAGGCATTGACCCAGCGCTCATCACTGCAAGGTAAAGGTCTTGGGTTCAAATCTAGAGGGCCTGCATTCAAACCTGGCATACATACAAATGGGCTACAATAGAAATTTATAACCCTTGCCTTTCTGAGCATATGGAACTTTTTGCTTAATAAATATCCTTTCTACGCAATTGAAGTTCAAGATAAAGATCTTCAATATCAATTGAACAGACAAATATTTTATTAATTTGATCAAAGTATATTCATATAGAAATAATAGTAATTAGGTACCAATCATATAATTGTTTGGAGATCGTGAGATGTGGTCTGGTGTGACATAGGTTTAGAAAAACATTTACTTTATCGTGCCAACGTTTTGATCTTTATTAATATCATCTTCAGGGCTTGGGATTTATAATTTAAACGTTTATAACCTATAAACCTACGTCACACCAGACCACATCTCACGATCTCCAAATAATCATTAATTAACGGTCACTAAACACCACACACCAGCCATATATTTGGGCTTTCCCCTTTGACTTTTTATCATGCTATCACATGTTCATGTTGAGATTGTTTTTATCTTAGGCCAATTGATATTGTCACAAAATTTACATTGGCGTATGGATAATGGAAGATTTTCCCACTACTAACTAAAGGGAAATGAACTGTAATTAACCAACACCAAGATACAGTTTGAACACACAATAAAAGGTAGAATAAAAAATTTTTATATAATGTTAAGTTTTTCTATGACTAAGAAGAAATACACAAGATTGCAATTTTAGATGCAAGATTTTAGTTCAAGATTGCATTGCAATAATAGGAAAAATACATTTCAAGTTAAAAAAAAAAATACACAGTAAGTTTTAGACAATTTATATGATTTGTAAATTATTTACAGTTTTGATAATGTATAAGTTGATAGTGTTCAACAGAATAATTAAATCTTAAAAAGTATTACAATGAGAATGTAACAAGACATTGGAGTGAAATCAGTCATTTTTCTCATTTTAACAATGGTTGAAGCAAATCAACTGGGAAAACTACTGTCTGTTTATTTTCACCAACCATACTATTGAGGGATTGCAGATACCGAAGCTGAAAAAAAAATTATAATTTACTCAGACGTACATTATTATTTTTTTTTAATGTAATATACTTGAAGAGCCATTGGGTCTTCTTCAAGTTCTTGCGAAGCCTCTTTCAGATTTTTCGCTGCAAGTATTTCGCCTTCTGCAACGATGAGTTTGGCTTTTGCTTCTCTCTCAGCTTCTGCTTCTGCAGCCATTGCTTTCTGCATTTGAGGCGGCAGTCGTATCTCTTTTCTGAAACAACCACACAAGTAGAGGCATCGAAAAATTGTTTTCTGACTTATTACATTTCAACTCGCTCCACTTTGATTCCCCAAGTTTCAGTTGCTTTGTCCAAAAATTCTTTCATTCTCTGTGCTATTGATTCCCGATGTGACATAACATCTGACAACGATTTCTGCCCAAGGACAGTACGTAAAGTCGATGCGGCTAACTGACGGGTGGCCTCACTGTTCAAAATTGTTTTAACACTTTTTATAATTATATTGTAAATACTTTAACCTATGATACCTGTAATTGGAAACACGAAGCGTGGCAGGAAGAGGATGTTCAATATGGTAAATAACAACAGCACCGACTGATACACTGCATGAATCTCTAGTTATGACCTAAAGTACATTGAATGGATTTGAACACAGATCATAAATTAAATAATGAATTGTACCTCCTGTTCAGGTATATTCATTGATACAGTACGTAGATCAACTATTTCTACACTATCTATGCAAGGCATGACAAAAAATAATCCGGGACCTATTGCACCTCCTTCTCTCATCTTCCCTAATCTGAATATTATCGCTCTCTCGTACTCTGCTACTACCTTTAAATAATTTAAAATGATTCTTGTACCATAGGAGAATAAAAATATACTAATTTACCTGAAATACACATAAGATTGCCAGAGGAAATGTTAAAATGACAAAGATGTAAGACAAAATAGTCAGTGCTAATTCAAGCCGAGGATTAGACGCTTCATTTGATTCTGAAATATTACCACTGTTAATTCAAATAAAGTTAATTTACAACAAAATGAAATTACCATGAGTTGTTGGTTCTTGCAAATCTAAGCTGTGATACATATTTTTATTTACAGCGATGAAACTGTAAACTGGAAGTGTTCACTCCTCAACTGTGGTGAAATTAGAAAAAATTAAAGAATTGAAACCCACCTGGTAAATATGATTGTTATTTTTTATTAAAAAAATATGATTAATTATCAAGTGTATGTGTAATTATTGGTCTACTTCATTCTTATTAAAAATTGAGGAACATTAAAATTTAACAGGGCCAATAAATGAAAAGAATCTAGTCCGTCTAGAAGTTTTTATAAGAAAATTAAATCAATGTAGGTGTTTTTTGAGGTGTTAAAAAATTGCAAAGAGGAATTTCTTCTGTATGCTTTTATATTATTAATATGCTTTATGATTTAAAGAGACCCGGCTATAGAAGAGTATTTCAGATGGTTTTTATAATTGAAGAATTTGTCAGAAAATATCAGGTCATTATTTTGAAGTCTTATGTTTAGTGGCGGTTATGCGGATTTCATAAGTTTGTACGGTACATCCAAGTTCTAGTAATTTTAAACCAGAGAATGCAAATAAATCGTCGCTGTACATTTTCTATTGAATTACTTCATATTTTAGACTTAAGGTAAAATGTACCACAATGTCAAGGAAGTTAATTAATTGTTTACATGAGTTGACGAATCGAACTAAATTTTAAATAATTCTTATTATAATTCAATTTTTAAAATAATTTTTTTGTCTGGTGTTAAACTATATGCACTTATACAGATTTCATAATACGGTATTCATAGTACAGTAATGGTACGATACATCCAAGTTCTAGTAATTTTAAACAAGAGTGCGAATAAATCGCTGTACATTTTCTATTGAATTACTAAATATTTTCTGGCGACCAAACAACAAATGGTACATAGCTTTAAACAGTGTAATCGTTGTTCTAAAATTTTTTGTAGTTCTAATGGAAGAAAACTCAAATTTTCTTTGCTTTATTAATTAATGGGGTGCAATGCAAGTTATATGTCTTGTTGTTTGTTAGACATATACGACTGTGTTGAGAGTTGTTATAGAACAAGTGAAATATTCCTCTTTTGAAATCAATAATAATTCAAGGTTTTTCGCCTTGGTAGAGGAAAAAAGTGCCAGCACATCATTAAAAGACTGGGAATGACGTTTAAGCATTTTCCATGCTTATCAAAACAGAAAGAGTCATCACCCCACCCGTTTAAAGTTACATAATCACTTTTCCAACTGATTTGTTAACGGGGAAAACTTTTTATTTTATAATTTATATCCTCTCTTCTGTAATAGTGAATATTTTAGCCATTTTTAGTCTATTTATTTATTTTTTTAAGTAAATTTTAGCGGTTTGAAATTGAAACACGAGTGCCCTCTGTTAGGAAACGGGCCCAACTTTGCTTTTGGTTATTTAGAACTTGGGGATCGCCTGTTGTCGCTTAGTACTTTGTCGTCCCGCGGAATTGACTGAATAGACGACACTGGAATTTCCATAAATATTTCGTTTCACTTGGTTAAATCTCTGATCCTCGATCCAAGGGTAAGATCCGTTTAAATTGCAATTTGAATTTTTAAAAAATAAACAAAACAACTCAAGGATTGTTTTTTCCTTTTATGCTTAGCGTTGGTCGTTATCAGTAAGGTGAAGGGCAGAAAAGCAATACTCTCCCATCACTAACAAAAGCATTTATTTCCTTTACCAACTCGATCTAACAATGTATTTATTTTTATTTTATCTATTTATGTGCAATAATTAAGTCATTAAAGTTTTTAAATTAATGAAAATGAAAAACAATAGTCAGCTTTCTAATACAAACTCATGTTTAAAAATAAAATCAAGCAAGTTAAATGGATAAAACACATCCTGTTATGATCATTTTTATTTATTCATATATATAACTTACTTTCTAAAAAATTGTTAAATTATTTAATGTTTTATTTTTATTTTATTTATTTATTTACGGATTATTAATCCTTTGATGTACAATTCATATAAATATAAAATGTAACAAAAGCCAAGAACAAAAAATATATCAACTTTTTGAAAAACAAGATAACTGTGCATAGTACAAAACAAATTACAGGCATATAAGCAAAATATAAATGTACTTTTTTTTTTAAATTAAATTTTAATTTTTTTTTTTTTTTTTTGTGGAATGGTAAAAGAAATAAAAGATACTAGTTCAGAACTGTCTATATGATCATGTAAAATATCATGTATCACAGTTGAGTCAGATAAAATATGCAAAGTATAAGATATAAATGTACTTCTCAGAAAGATTAACTGGTAAAATATTTATTTTTTAGTAAAATAATTTTAATAACAGTTTTCTTCTAAAAATTAATCTACATAAACTAAAATATTAAGATCTATTAAGATTTTTTAAAAATAATCAATATTAAGAATATCTTAGTGATCTAGGAATAGATGAAAAATAAGTGTTTTTTTTTTAAAGAATAAAATAGAAATAAAAGTTACTAGTTGAGAACTGTCTATATGATCATGTATCGTAAGTCAGACATTATTCTATGCTCCTCGCAAGTTATTAGACTAAATTCTAACATTAACTGCTTGCAGTCAATCTTATCAGTAGGAATAAGTTTTTCGTATGCTATAAATCGTAAAAATCAATGTTGATCACTTTCAATCATATTAATATGTTTTAAATATAAAGGAGACCAAACGGGGGAACAAAATTCAAGATGTGGTCTAACTAAGGATGTATATAAATGTACAAGTGTGTCTTCTTAAGCTCTTTATGGTTTGATTAATTTATTGATTTGTTGATTAATTGATTTATTAATTTACTAATCAGTTTGAATATTTTTCTTTCTAAAAGATACATTGGGGATGAGGCCAGGAAGACAGAAACAACATTTATTTTCTTGTCGAGCTTTCGGCAGAATATATCACCTTCATCAGGACTCTGTTAAGAAAAATTTTAAAAATTGTATATTTGAAAAGTTACTTATGTTAATTTGTTAATACAGAATCCCAATGAAGGCGATATATTCTGCCGAAAGCTCGACAAGAAAATAAATGTTGTTTCTGTCTTCCTGGCCTCATCCCCAATGTATCTTTTGGAAAGAAAAATATTCAAACTGAGAAGGCTGATCAATCACTAAAGAAACTAATTAGTAATTAAGTCCATATCTGAAAAGTTTAAATCCTTTATTACTGTTTGTGGTTTTTCGTTAAAGTTTTCCTCAATCCTTTTTAAATATTTTGGACTGTGTCTTGGTGTATAAAAATGTTACCGAATATTGTTACGGGATGTAATAGTGCCGGGCCATTTCCGCTGCCACTCTAAAATTTACTTGTTAAATAACAATGTACAAATTTAAATTGTATACATTTAAATAAAAACTTGAGACAATAGTGTAATGGACAAAATTGCAAACAAAATGAATAAATGAGATGAACAATATTGCAAACAAGAACCTTAAAAAAAGTTTTAAAATATTTAAAGAATTATGAAAAATATCGATTTAATCAGGGTATCCTTTTAGAAGCTAGTGTTTCTATATTGCAAAGGGAACATAATGACTCATATTATACACTGATAGACAAAATAAACGAATTGCTCTTAAATTTTAATGTGTTTAGGTTCATTCATGTTTTAAATACTAAAAATAGGTTTGATTGCAAAAATAAGGCGTTTAAGAACAAAATGAAGTGAAAATTAATTAATTCTAAAAAAATTAGTGCCATGTGCCACAAAAAAAGTTTTAAGAAACCTCTAGCACAAATCATATCTGTTGGAGTATAAGTCTAATTAGTTCTGTGATAATGAATGAAGAAATAATTTAGATTTCTAAAGTTATAGATGTGGGGAACCTTTGGATTCCTTGAAAAGAATTCTGGTAAAATCTTGAGAAATTCTTTCCCATTCATCAAGAACAGGCAATATTACCAACTATGATTATTTGGAGATCGTGAGATGCGATCTGGTGTGACGTAGGTTTACAGAAACATTTTCTTTTTCATGCCAACGTTTTGATCTTTATTGAGATTATAAATCCCAGGCCATGAAGATGATCTCAATAAAGATCGAAACGTTGGCACGATAAAGAAAATGTTTTTCTAAACCTACATCACACCAGACCGCATCTCACGATCTCCAAATAATCATTAACTAACCGTCACTAAACACCACACATTACCAACTATTCTAAGGTGTTTAGATGTAATGGTCCTGGATTTCATTGTTGTATTCGTCGCTTAAGTTGGTCCCAAATGTCAATTGTGTACTTATCAGGACTTCGAGTTAGCCACACCAAGCGCTCAATTCCAACTTCATTTAGGTAGTCATCCCTCAATATGTGAATTTAAGGGGCCTGGCATTATTCTGGTCTTCCTCGCACGAGAACCAATTTGGTGCGGGCGTCCAAGGAAATGCCACCCCAGAACATCAATGGCCCTCCGTGGAATGTCACTTAGAGCCTGATGACAGGCGAATCTATCATCTCTTTCGTATGTAGACCTAGATCGACCCTGTCGGCCTTTTTGTGTGAAGCCCTGTTTCTCTAAGTGCTGAAGAACCCTTCCTATGATAGAGTGACTCACACATAAATCTACTGGCAACTTCATGCTCGTTGTGTTCTTCCTTTGACCATCTCTGATCACCCTTGACCAAACAGTATATAAGCAGACAATGTTTTTTGTACACTGAAAAAATAATAATATAATCATTGTACAAATTAAAGACCCTAGAAATTAATTCAAGTGTTATTTTTCAGTAAAATGGCCCCAGACATATTGGACTGTAACCAGAGGGTGTTATTATGCCAACAAATGCTTCTGCCGAAGAAAGTGGATTCCGACGTCATAAAAAATGTTCTCATCGGAATGAACTGGGACAGTAAGTGACAAGAGTGTTTAGTTTGATTATTTAAATAAACAGTTGTTTTCAGTTGCAGAGACGGTGAAATTCCTAGGAAAATGTAATGTAAAGAACACTCCCAATATGAATGTTTCAAAATCTGGCAATAAGCTGCATTTCAATAAACCAATGGAAAATGGCAAGATGCATCATAGAGCCTTTAAGAAAAAGGATTGTCAAAACATTCTGGATAAATCAAAACTTGCATATAAAAGGATAAAAATGATTAATTCTCCATTGGCGAGAATCGAAGAGTGTATCAAAGCTAAATTTTGTATTGTTATTTTACTGCGTGGATGCCCAGGCAGCGGGCGGACGACCTTAGCTAAAAATATACTACAGAAAGCCGGCGTCATAGATCAAATAGGACATTTAATCAGCGCCGATAATTATTTTTTTGACAATACGAATAAATATAACTTTAACAAGAACGAACTACCTGCAGCACACAGCTGGAACAAGAGGGTCATGCTGCATTTGCTCAAAGAGAGGAGAAGTCCCATTTTTGTAGATAATATACACTTAGAGGTATGGGAGATGAAAGAGATGACGGAACTGGCCGTCTCTAATAACTATTTAGTCGAGACGCTCGAGCCGGATACACCTTGGAAGTACAACGTGAATGAGTTGTCCTCAAGAAGCCAACATAGAATAAGCATCTCGTCGATGAAACGACTTTTGGACAGGTTTCAGAGAAATATTTCTGGAGAAGAGCTTCTGAACAGACTGAATCTTGCTTATGGCAAATCAGTACCTACAGCTGCTGCTCCATTCACTCCTTGTTCAAAAAATGTGATACAGCTGTTAAAAAACAGGAAATGTGTGAACAACAAACCTAAAAAAATGGACCAACCCTCAAAGTTGCCCAGAGCCAATCTTAATAAGTATGAAGACGTTTTGAGAATTTATAAAGGACTTCAACAACAAAAGAGTACAGAGCAGAGGATTTTCATGTATGCCAAAAGTGGAATATCTGTCATGATTTTCATGAGGGGTTGTCCAGGTAGTGGTAAAACGACTCTTGCCAGAGGATTCTTAGCCGCTTTGGGTGCCAATCCTTCCGGCCATCTATTCAGCGCAGATGACTATTTTACAAACCCTAACAATAATTTTTACCAGTACTCGCAGTCGCATATCAGCCAAGCTCATGCTTGGAACAGATCTCTTGTTTCGAAAGCCGTGAGCGAAGGCAGAAGTCCAATATTTATCGATAACACACATTTAGAAGCTTGGGAAATGTTTGACAATGCTAAAGTCGGTGTTGCCAATGGTTATATAATTGAAACTCTCGAACCGGACACTCCTTGGAAAACTTCATCATCAGTGCTTGTTTTGAAAAATCAGCATGGGGTGGATGAAAATACCATTTCGAGATGTATGAGTAAGTTTGAACCAAATATTTCAGGAGAGGAATTGTTACGAAGGTTGGATGCAAAATACACCTACTGTAAGCCCCCCGTGATAGCGAAAGTAGCCATGAACGCGCCTTTGTCAAATGATATGTCCACTCTCTTAAACCAAAGGCTTCAGAATATGTTTGCAATCGATAATGTAGAGGATATGCTTAACATAGACGGTTTGCCTCTTCTTGTTCCTCCTGTTCAGCCTACAGTAAAATCTAGCTCTGATCCTGCAAATCTAGATGTATTAAGTTTGAACCTAGAGGATACTAAGAAAAACTGGTCAAATCTCGAAGACCTAATCGGTCTTGATTTAAGTTCGGCTTGGTCGAAAATGAATGCCAGTTCTTCAGGGGTGGAAGAAGACTCTTCGTCATCGAATGAAGAACGTTTTTCCGATGTCCACAGTTTTATACCAAGCTTGTCATTGTCATCACTCAATTCAGAAATGTCAAGTTTAAACATTCGACAGCCACCTACTGACAGAAGGCCTTCACCGGAACCAGGAAAAGCTCAAGTCAATGACTTAATTGATTTAGATTCTCCTTTAAATAAAAATGAACTTGACCATCTGGTTTTAATGTTTCCCAGTGTAGCTAAAGAAGACATTGAAATAGTGTTTGAAAATTTTGGGAGTAATTTTGATAAAACGGTCAAGGCACTTCTGGACTCGGGAGTCGAGATGTCGGAGGAATATCTCAAAGGGATGACTCCCCGGATCACCGGTACCGAAGAAAAAGTGACAACAAACCCACACAAAAAAAAGAGGCAAAAAAAGAAAAAAAGCCAGATGTCTGAAGAGAAAAAGCAATTGGCCAAAAGTATCGAAAGCAAATTTCACTCTGAAATCCCAGTTTCTAAATACAAAGATGTGAAGAAAGTCCCAATAAAGACAGATTTGAATTCTATCTCTGACGAAGAGTCACCGATAGAAGAGAAGGTCGAATTCATTCCGCTCAACCTCGACAAACAATTTGTTTTACAATTACACGAAAGATTCGCTACTCTGATAAACCCAACAATGATAAGTGAGTTTGTCTCATGCTAAAATGTTTTGCTATAGTGTCTGATGTTGATTTTGTTTATTAAGATGAAAAAACAATGGTTGAGGTTCCAATAGAACTGGCAAAACAGCTCCATGCTTATACGGTAGAATCTGTTTATCGAGACATTGAATACGAAGAGTTAACACTTGAAATACTCAAGAAAGAAACAGATTTGCAAAAGCCAGGTGAGGTGTTCCAAAATCAATGTAATTATTTTAACCATTTGTATTTATCCTGCATATATGTATAAATTTTAATTTCAACACATTTATAGATGAAAACCTCATGGAAGAAAGTAGCGAGAAGCCCCTCAGCTTTCTAGAAATAATGGATTCTGAAATTGCTCAAAGATTAGCCAATAATGAAGTATTTTCAACATTGTTTTTAAATTATTTGACTTTTCATTTAAAGTTGATTTTTTTTTATTTGATAGAAGAAGAAAGATGGTGCCCAAGAGGCAACGGTGGCAAGCAAATTGTCAATTAATTTACTCGCAGAACGATTTCCTACTGTAGACAAATTCGCTCTGCCTATGATGCTGGCAGACATGAACAACTCTTTACATGAAGTGACTGCGCTTTTTATCAATGCAGGTCATATGCCTCAATTTTCACAACAACCCTCTTCCTCAAAAGATGTAAAATAAGTTTTGCCTTTTATTAGAAAAAATAATATCTTGTATACAATTAACGGCTCTTGTCTTTTTTTTTCCAACTCTGACCAGGAAGTGCAAAGTCTGGATTTTATTGATTATTGCTCTCCTGAGGAAGCTTTGATCGAAGCCGAAAATCATAGGCTCATCGCAGAAAAGTTCTACCAGCAGAGGAGAGAGTGCATAAGCAAAGCTCAGGATTCAACTGGCCACTCAAACTTGGCGAAGATGCAGTATTACCTTCAAATGGTGCCATTATTATACTCCCCGGGGGGTAAATCTCTCAATTTACACTTTTCCATTTGCAGGTCGATTGGTACAAACGGCTAATGGAGAAAGCCAATTCAAAGGCGGCTAAGGCCATGTTAAAGGGCTACGAGGGTGCCACTACGCTCGACTTGCATACATTGAGCGTCTCCGAGGCGACTCTGTTGCTCGATCTTTTCCTCGACGAGCACATCCGCTTACTGAAAAAGAAGAATAGTAGAAAAGAAGTACTGTACATTATCACAGGCCGCGGTGCCCATTCAGTAGGAGGGAAGCCAAAAATCAAAAACGTCGCTCAACAGCGTCTCGCCGCTCGTTCTGTACTGTAAGATTAACTCGTTTGTCACTTTATATAATCAACTGTTTTAAATTTTATGAAATTTGTCTAGTTTTGAAGAGCAAAACCCAGGAATGCTCAAAGTGATAATCAATCGGAACAGCCACTTCGTCAATTCGAGCAGAACCGACTCCAACAGCTAGAACATACAACGGTTTGACCTTTCTTTTTACTTCACTTAAGACAAATTTTTATTCATACATATAAAATTAATCTGTTACCAAAAGGATATCTCGTTGCATTTATTCAATATTATCTTGTCCTGGTGCAACAAATATTTCAACGTGCAGGACAAAAAAAAAAAAAAAAGACAATCAGAATGTTTTATAAGTATATTTTTTCTTCATTTTTTAAATTTATATTATTATATGAATGTTTAAACCCAGTACACATTGAATTTGCTATTTGGTCAATTTTATCAATATTTAAATATAAAAAAATATTGGATTTTTGTTTTGTTGGATCTCCTCATATGGTTTTTGGGTGCTTCCAAACACATTATTATTGTTACATAAACTGGATATTGTTACATGTAAATAAATAAAAAATATTTGTATGAAAATGTGTAAAAAAATATATTGTATTGTATAAAAACAATCTTTTCAAGAAAAAATAACAATAAAAATTTATGAAAATATAGTTTTATAGTGTGACTCTCTTTAGTTTACTTGGGGTTGTTTCATGTTAATCCAGTTGATTTTTTAAAATTATTATTGCTTTTATGGTATGACTTATTAAAAAAAATGTTACATTATATTTTGTTTATTATATGCCAAGTTGACTGAAATGTTAAAATAAAGTCAAAGACAAAAAACTGGACACATTGTAAATTGTTTATTTCAAATTATATGTATTTTCATTTCAATTAATTATTCTTTTCATCTAAGGTCTTGATTGGGATGAAAAAGTGTAATGAGTGGGATTTGAACCCTTTTGAACTTTTTCTTCGAATTAAGACCTTTGATAAAAAGAATAATTAATACGGTCAATTATGGCCGCTATGGATGGATTAAAATTTAACAATTTGTTTACCAACTTTTGCTCTCAGTGTATTAAGGGCAAAACCAGGTAATAAATTGTTAATTATCCCAGTTTATTAAGCAATGACCAGCCACTACTACTGAAGAGGTTGCTAATTGCATTTTTTCATTGTTATCTGCTCAAACATATTTTTGACCAAAATAACTCAAAATACAACAAATAAATTTTCTGCTTTGAATCCATCTTTGTGCCAAATTTTGGATACAATTGTGATACCATGATTGATGCGAAAATCTCTCTGAACCCACTTTCTGTGATTAGTGTGAGTGATTATTAGGCCCAGTATGTAGGACCGAAAGGACTGTCTCTAGCAGCAAAGTGTGGCACAACAATCAGTTTTTTCATACAGTCCCTTTTTTTAGTCAAATCGCACAAGAAGTTTTTCTCTTTTTTTAAGTCAAGAACCACTGATTCCCATTGCTTTCCAACTCTCACCTCGTCTCCTTTCCTTGATTGATGCTTACAGATATCTTTGTCCAAACTACCTTCGTTGGTTTAGTCTGTAATAAAGTGTTAGTCAAATTTTAATTTATCACTAAATGTTTTACGTAATTTTGGTGAATTATCTTTCAAAACATCATATTTACATGGGTATCCAGTTTTTCGTATTTGAATCCATTTATTGCCTTAATTTCCATTTAATTACCAAAAATCTGTTAAATATGTATATTTAACATAAATATTTACATAAAAAGTTCAATTGTATAATGTGTAATGTTATTTGTTCTTGTATATTTTTGTAAACACATTAAGAAAAGTATGTATATTTTAATATTTACATAAAAAGTTAATTGTATAATGTTATTTGTTCTTGTATATTTTTGTAAACACATTAAAAAAAAAGTGCGATATGTATTCGTTTTCCCTATATGATTTGATCCCCCCTCTCATTATTTCAATCTAAAAAGCGAATTAATTTATCAAGACATCGAGCAACTCTTTGGTCAAGGATGCGACTATATGTTGCGAAAGCTCGGCAAATTGCATAAATTTGTAACTTCATTCAAGACCATAAACCTGATCCTCTTCAGCATTGAAAAAAACTGGTCGATCTCCGTAACTTTCATCATCCGGTATCACATCATGGCATTTTACCAAGACATCGAGCAACTCTTTGGTCAAGAATGCGCCCTGATATGTCGCGAAAGCTCGGCAGATTGTTTGCATAAATTTGTAACTTCATTCAAGAACAAGCTGATCCTCTTCAACATTGAAAAAACTGGTCGATCCTCCCCGTATCACATCATGGCATTTTATCAAGACACCGAGCAACTCTTTGGCCAAGAATCTGCCCGCTGATGATGTAACTATATGTCACGAATTGTTTGTATAAATTTGTAACTTCATTCAAGACCATAAACCTGATCCTCCAACATTAAAAAGCTAATGCTGACTTTTGTTAATTATTATAATACTAAATATTGGGTGGTCCAGTTTATTTATTTTTTTTATCAAGGCTCAGTATCCGTATACAAACCTAAAATTTCTTGATAAAATTTATTTAACACTTTTTTTTTAAAGAAAGGAAACTTAAGATTTGATTGGTGACAGCACAATTCAAAAGTTGTTTTCATGGTTGCCATCAAAGATTAAAAAGGATAGCTGAAAATGAGCATAGTACTTTAATGTTTTTTCGAGCTGGTATTGCATTTATTTTATGTGTGGAACTAATAAAAATAATATATATAATATAATATTTTAATATGATTTAATATAATATTTATTATAATAATTTATAATATATATAATATAAATAACTAATAAAAATAAACCCTCAGGGTGCCGGTGTTTTTTTTTGTTGTTGAAAAAAAAATCATTTGTAAGTATGTCGAGTTCGAATGCAGGGCTGCTGGATTCGAACCCGGGACCTTTACCTTACAATGATGAATGCCGTGTCAAAAACTAAACCTTGCGGCCACCAACACCCCTCTATAATTTTATTAAAGATCGATTTCGAGGCATCCGCCTCCCCTCACCATCTGATGAGTTTTTCGTTTCAGATCTGAATTATGTGTTTCCAGATCTGAGAAACTCAAGACTGATGAAGGGAATCAATCACTTTAATAAAAAACAATTACTTTCACACATAAAATAAAAGGTTCTTGAACCTTTTAATCTCCTTGGCACTATTCAATAGCCACAATTATGCTTGTTGTAGTTCCATAAGTACCAGCTGACCCATATTCGGTTTCGGAGCCATCTGTGTACCAGAAATGATCACCCGACCATTTTAGAAAGACTAAGAGATGTACTCTGTAAGTTCAATGGACTACTTATGGAAAGCAGTTTTTTTTAAATCCTAGTGGATCCTTTTTGAAAAGAACTGACAGGGGATGAAAAATGGATTCTGGTCGATGTTACTCGGAAGGGTTTGCCTAGATTGAAACTGTCATCTGTGGAAAAGGACGGTTTGCACATGAGAAAGATGCTCAGCATTTGACAGGATTGGAAGGTAGTGGCACTTCAGTCTCTTTCAAGAATAGCTGGCTAACAGGAAAGGTGTGATAATGAAGCCGTCAAAAAGATGGTATACAGGTTTGTTGTTCACACACCTTTAATAAAGGAAAATTTATATAGATGAATCATATTATAAAAGTAAAGTAATTCATGTCATACCAGATGACTCAATGTCCAACTGCTCATTGGGTGTCGCTTACAAGTGGCCAAACCACTTTAAAATACTTCTTTCATACTATTATCAATTAAAAAACCATGAACTGTGGCGGGATTCAAACCCAGGACAGCTAGCATGACGAATACGAGTTGGACGTCGACCTGAATCATACAATAAAAGTGTAAGCAGTTTAAAATAATTCCTTCAAGTTAAAAAGTTTGTTCTATTTCCTAATGAGATCTCGCTGCTCTTTGCTAAAATAAAAGATTCAAAATTTATGTCAATTCAAAAAATGGTGGACAAACACGTCCAAGAGTGAGTAGAAATGTGACTAATAAGTAATCCTTAAAGATCCGACTAACCGCAGGGTGTTGGGGACAAGGAGGTCAAACAAACCTTTTCACAATATTTCTCATTATTCTCAATTGAAATTTCATGGGCCAGGTTGAAAACCCGGGCGAACATGGCACGAGTCGGATGCCCTAACCTCTCGACCACTGCGGTACTCTTATACAGTAGTAAAAAAGAGAGAATTTTGGTAAGAAAAATACATACCTAATTAACCGATAGGAAAAGATTGTTAGATTAAATTGATTTAATTACCGTTAATGAATATGTAATTTAATCAGAATTTCCTTATGAACTTTTCAGACAACCCGATTATCTTAGAAAATTACTATATTCTCTGTATAAAAATATTTTTTAAAAACTTATGAAATACTGGTAACAAGATTTTTAAAAAAATCATCAGTGTCAATTAATATATAATGTCTATAATTTTTTGTCTGAACCAGGTTTTTTTTTTTTAGATTAGAGTTTTTGATTAGAGCGGTTGATAAGCAAGACAAATTGAACAGCTTTGAGAATAAATATTTATTTTCTAAATTGGTTTTATCATGGGCAAATGTAAATTTTATCATACGATTGATAATATGAGTATTACATATTTTTGTTCAAGATAACACAATACAATTATTACTAAATGATTTTAAAAAATTAAAAATAAATAAAAAATTTCTTTTTAATCAATAATTTATAAAAAAAATTTAATTTAATGCTAGCAGGTCTTTTGTGCAACAAAAAATGTATTTTTTCCTTTTTTTTCTAGAGAAAAAAAGCATGGATAAATAGTTTATTTTAGTTGTCTATATAAAATAATAATACTAAAGCTTAAAATCGAGTTTTTAAAATTATACTTTAAGAAGAAAAAACCACAAACTACTTACACCAGGTTATTATTGTTCTTTTTTTTTTTTTATAAAAAAATTCTTTTTATTGCGAACATAAAATATTTACAAGGAGTGAGAGAGAGAGAGAAAAATAATAAAAATTGTATTAGAACCAATAGAAGATAATTTAAAAGAAAAAGAAAAAAAAAAAAGAAGAAGGCCTTTGCTTTGTTCCAGCCCCTTTACATCAAAGAAGAGTTGTCGTCGTCGTCATCGTCACTGATGTACTTCTTCCTCTTACGCCTCCCTCGTCCACCCTCCTTTCCTTTCTTCACTTTCAACTTGACTTTGACCGACGAAGTGTCAGATGCGCCGTCGTCCATCTCAGCACCTGTTTAGTCAAAAAGCTTACCTTTAGAAACTGTTTTTTTGATTCGATCTTTCCACTACATGTATCTTCTATGTATAAGGAAAATAATACAATAGGAAGTGAATGTGGATTTTTTTTAAATGCATGCTTTTAATTGACTGGAAATTCATTAAATTAATCATGGTTTTTTTTAATATTTAGTGCATGACATTTTTTTTTATTAACAAACAAGAGGATCGAGGATTGAAATGAAAACAAACATGCCTTAACTACACGTAATAATGGGGGGGGGGACAAAAGGTTTATTCGAACAGAAAAACATTTCAACAGGAAAAATAAAACAAAAATAAATAAAATATGGAAGTTAATATCTGGGAATTTGGCCAAAAAGTTAATTATGCATAAACATTTATTATTCTAACGTTTATTTTTACCTTAATTGGATGCAATTCTTTTGACACCTCTTCCGATATTTTTTATTTTATTTTATATAATTAATCTTTTTGCCATGCGACATTAGAAAAGTCGTCGTTCTTCATTGGGGAAAATCAAATCGATTGTTGGATTTGATACATTTATTGACAATAAACTACATTAAAGGTAGTTCATAATAAATGACAATCAATGAAATAAAAATAATGACAATGGCAAAGTGTAAATATTAAAAGTTTTATGGAACAAAATATTACACCTTTAGAAACACCAATACACTTTTTGCCTGTTCAAAAAATTAAATAAAAAACCTTTGTTTAACTTGTTAAGTATATATTTGTATTTGATTGTTTATTATATGCAGTTTTATTTTTCAGTAATAATGTTTCTGATTTTGAAAAATGACAATAATTTGATATTTTCCTTTAAATTGTGCATTGTTATATTGAGAAGTTCAGATTTAAAAATAATGATATCTTGAAAAAGAAATTGTACTTTCTTTTAAATGCGAAGATATCCATGTACGTAATATTGCCTAAATGATAATTATATTATGGATGAACATTAGATTAAGTGTCCTACCTTTTGTATATTTAAAGTTTAATTAAAGTCCTTCCAAGGGAGTCAAGCACAGGGACATTGGAGCTCAAGAAACTTAAAAAATTGCCATTGAACTATTTAGTCTGAAGGATGAGACTTAGGCTAGTGTCATTTTGAACAAATGAATTATAAAAAAATATCATCTCTTAGGGCAGGGGCCTGCAAACCTTTTTAGAAAAGGGCACATCTTTTTAGAGAGAAAAAAAAACTTTAGAAAAGGGCAAACTTATGAAAAAACTGTATTCTTTTAAAAGGTACTTAGCTAATAATAACCTGCGTTACGATTTTATGAAGTTCATCGGATTCTACAACCTTTGTCCCAGTACTTAAAAAATAAATGCAGCTTCCAGCAGTTTGCATTTATCATACTCCTGATTTCACATAATTGTACAAATTGTTAAGAAAAAGTGATAGTCGGATGGGGCCAGGTCTGGAGAGTAAAGAGTGTGGTATGACTTCCCAATCCAGTTTCATTGTCACCTTGTTTGTCATTTTGACCATATTAGGCCTTGCGTTGGTAAAAACAATAGTATCTTTTCTGTTCATGAGAGCAAGTTGTTTATAGGCCAGGGCAAGAGATACTCGTTAGCTTGAGTTTCTGCGGTTATGGTCTGGCTACATGGCAGGAATTCGGAAAATGAACTCAAAGCATTGGTTTTTGCGTCATTCGATAACTGCCAATGGTACGATCTATTGTGCTGTGAAAGCTTGATACATGTGTTACATACATGATAGGAAATAAAAATATTAACGATTTAATAACAATTTTTCCCCCACAACAAATTGAAGTAAAAAGGCAAGGAAATATTGTAAAAACAGAATTTAATAATTTTCAGCTGTTGCATTACAGAGCGTCATCCCCATGATTTACTTGCAATATTTCCATGTTAATATGATATTAACCGTGAGCCAGATTATACTGTAGTTTGCCAATCCCCGTCTTAAGAGATGTACTAAGTAATTTAAAGTTTCCAGGATACAGGATTAATATTATTATTTTTATATATCATTTAATACATCACTAACCAATATATATTAATGTAAAATAAAATTTATATACCTTGTAATTACTAAAAAGTCTAGCGGACGCAAAATTTTAGGCAAAAAGTTTTATAGCTTAGCTTCCAGGTTTTTGGTTTTTTTTCCTCCACTTCCTCCATAACAGTTAATGAGTACACATTTCAATAATTTTATGTACTTTTATTTTTTTGTTTAAATTTTAATAGCTAGCTGGGAAACAAATATAGAGGATTGAGGTCGTAGTAACACCGAGTTCACTATCACTGATAGATCAACTATTCAAATCATTGGATTTTTATATTTTCCCTTAAAATACTAGTGTTTCTACAGTTTATTCTAATAAAGAGAGAGTAACAAGAGAGTGATAGATGGATAGAGAGAGAATTTTTTTTTATAAAAAGAAAAATTTTCAAAATAAAAGTACTAGTCAGGATTTCGAATTAGAAACTGTAAATGAACATATCATTCACATGAAAGAGGAAAATTTACGAATGTAAGAAACCCGTCCTCCACCTTAGATTAATATTATTTAATTAGAAAAGTTTGTAATAACCTTTGGAATCCTCATCATCTGAAATATTGGAATCTTGTTCAATTCGCTGTCTGGCATTTGTGAAGACGCTCTGCAAAACGATCGAATCCTCATGGATAAGTGACGCCTCTTCATTGTACGTCTGTGCGTTCTTGCACAATTGCATGAAGTCCTTTTCGAGTTCGGCAAAGTCGATGTACTAAAACAGATTTTTTTTTTTTTTGCTCTCGAGAAATATTTCTTGAATATTTTTTACCTTGTATTCTTCGACCTTGGCGAGTATCTTTTTAATGTCTATGGGTTTCTTGATCAGTTCGTAATAATCTGGATATTTGTGCCTTGGTGGCAACTTCATAAAAGGCTCACTTAATATTCGCCCATCGCTAGAAAATATAGAAATGATTAGGACAGGAACAAAGCTACTTTAAATTAAAAACACAACTAAAAGAAATGAAAATTGATTATAATAAATATTAGTTAGACTGACCAGTCGGTGTACTTCACGACTATGCTCATCAGATTTTTCATCTGTTTCCGCAGTTTGTTTTCTGATGGTGTCACACGTTTCTTCCTAGGCGTGGGTTCGTCGTCATCATCGTCGCATCGCCTTTTCCTCTTTCCACGTTTTTTCACCTTGATTTCTTCTTCCTCTTCGTCATCATATTCCTCTAAGCCTTCATCAATGGCTTTGAGCCATTCTTTTTCGGTCAGACTGTCTGTGTAGTCGACTTCCTTCCTCTGTCGGTTGCCTCGGCCCATCTGAACCTCATTTTCCTCGTATGTCCACCTCTCGACCTAAAAAATCATTAGGGTTAGGTTCAAATTTAATGAATTAAAATTGGTAGGGTTTACCTCATCATCGTCCTTGACAAGCCAATCTGGGAGCTCTGCCTCTTCAACAAGCCTGGACTTACGATTTGGACCGAGTTTGGCCTCTTCCCTTCTTCTTTCCAAATCCATCCTTTGAAACGTCTCAAACTCTGTCTCACTCCTTGCTATCATCTGGTTAACCGTCTCATCATCCGGGACTTCATTTTCCTAAAAACAAAATTAAAAAATAATTTTTTGTTTATATTTTTTATTAAATTAATTAATAAAAAAGATAATGTACCTCATCATCGGCATCGTCCTGGTGAAGGATGGTCTGAAGGAACTGCTGACGTTCAGATCCTGTGGATTTCTGGTCGAACATACCGGCTTGAATAACTTTTTCATCCATGTTGAGCTTGTAACGAGCTGCAGCTAAAATTCTTTCTTCGACGGAATTGACAGTCATGAGTCGTAGAACTCTGACCTCGTTCTGCTGACCGATACGATGCGCCCTGTCTTGTGCTTGTAAATCCTAAAAATAATTAAATAAATAAAACGGTAATGGTGAATATGGTGAATTGAATGAAAGTACCTGATGAGGATTCCAATCGGAATCGAAAATAATAACAGTGTCAGCTGCTTGTAAGTTGAGACCAAGACCACCAGCCCTTGTCGACAGCAAGAAGATAAAAAACTCGCTTTCTGGGTTGTTGAACTTCTTCAACAAATCCCCTCTGTCCTCTGACTTGGTCGTTCCGTCAAGCCTCAGATACAAGAAGCCCCTCCAGCCGAGGTAGTCCTCCATGATAGTCATCAATTGTGTCATCTGACAGAAAAGAAGCACTCTGTGCGAGGTGGCCTTCAGCTTAGGCAAAATCCTATCCAAAAGCTCAAACTTGCCAGATACACGGAATAGGTCAGGACTGTAAAATTAACATACAAAAAAATAAATTGATTAATCCATTAAAAAAAATAAATAAATAAATAAAATGCAATTTACCCTGAGACAACGCCTCCACTCGTCCCAATATGATCACTGTACTTCTCTTCAATATGGTGAAACATAAACGGGTGGTTACACAGTTTACGCAACTGGACGATAGTATTCATAAGAGCCTTTGCTCCTCCTTTTCCTTGTTTTCCTTTTTCAGAACCATCAGTGAGAAGAACCCCTTTACTCTGCATATGTCTTAAAAGTAAAAGAACATAAATTAAAAAAAAAAAAAAAAAAACACGGTAGAAATTGTTTATAACAACACTGGTTACAATGGACGACCGGTTATAATGTACAAAAACTCAGGTCCGTGAAATGTCATAAGGCAAAGAGCATAGGGAAAATGAACCATTAGTTATATCAGACGCCATGCAAAAGTAACCCCAGCTGCGTAATGATTCTAAGAAAGATTCTTCCCCCTTTTCAACTCTGTGTCTTTAAAAAATTAAAAATAAATATAATATAAATATAAATATGAATAAAAAAACCACGACCTTAATTGAAAAATGCATGTTTCTCGGACCAAATGGGAAGATTATGTGTGCAGTCTTGCAAGTAAAATGGGGATGTCTCTCCAGTTATGGCACTCTCGACACGACACGCAAGAATGACACAATTAAACAGAAGACAAACACTTTGAGCCCTGAATATGATCTCAATAAAGATCGAAATGTTGGCACGATAAAGAAAATGTTTTTCTGAAACCTACATCACAACAGACCGCATCTCACGATTTCTAAATAGATATCGATTAACGGTCACTAATCACCACACAAATATCAGGAAACGTGAAAAATAAAGAAAAAATAATCAAACAATTTAATAAGTGCCATAAAGTTAAAAAATGCGAGCCAAAAAAAGATGACAGATTTTCCCTATGGTGGTGTTATCCATTTTTTGGGAATCGCCTCGCCCTGTGGGGCCGGAGACGGTGTGGAGGAAAGAGGGGATATACAGGATAAACAAACTCCTCAGCTGACATAGTGAGGCATTTTCGAGATATATGACAACCAGAGGTCCAGTTAATAAGTGGTAACAACTGTCCAACAATAAAAATTTTTGCGGCCATCTTGGGACGGCAGACCTGGGATCCCGGAAACTCAAGTCTACATGAGGTGCCTTTTAGACGTATTTTTAACCTTGATTTTTGTCAAAGCCAGTTAATTTCAAAATTATAATTTTTGGCCGAAGTTAAAAATTTTGTTAAAAAAAATAAATACTTTTTTTTTCTTTGCTTAAAGGAGTACATTTTTAACTTCATTTCTAATTTCGTTATTACACTTTATTATACAATCCCTTTTCTTTACTTTGATTTGATAAAGCATTGTTTTAACAAGCCTACATAGTTGGGCGCATATGTGAAGGCAGATTTTTAGTGGATAGTCTTCTCTATACATTTCAAAAGAAAAATCAATCGTATAATTGAAACTGACCTTCACACAGATTACATAGTACAATGATACTAAATACTCCATTCACATTTGTACATATGTATTTACATGTATTTTAATGTTTGAAAATATACACGTAAATAAATTACTTTAGCAAGTTAGTATGTATTTTATACTTCCTCATAAAGCTGGATAAATTATATAATTACTTATTTAATGAAAACTCTTCTGCTATAAATGTACGTGCCTATCAATTGGATGAAATGTTCAGTTATATCGAACTGTTCACCGCTATTAACATATAAAATTTTGTTCCCCTTAAGTTTATTATAAACAATTTATCAGTACATTGTTTTAACATATCTAAGACATTCATATAAAAGAAGATTTTTACCTATAAAGCACTCTTTGAAGTCCTGACATATCACATTTGATAATATACTCGACTTTGTCTGGCAACTGACTCTCGACTTCTTTTTTGAGCCTCCTGAGCAAGAAAGGTCGCAAAACCTTGTGGAGACGACGGATGATCAAAATAGTTTCTTCCTCATTCAGTTCGACCTGAAGAATTAGATGGTTTTAACCTCATCGGTTAAGATTTTTTTTTTTTTTAAGCTATTACCTTTTCACCAGTTGTTGCAAATGGCGCGTTGAACCACTGCTCGAAAGTCGAGCAGGATTTGAAGATCGAAGGTAAGAGGAAATTAAGAAGGGCCCATAGCTCAGGCAATTTGTTCTGAAGTGGTGTTCCAGTCAACAGGAGGCGATGGGGCGCCAGATAATGCGTGTTCAACACCTGTGTCAACTTACAATGATGATTCTTCATCCTATGACCTTCGTCTATGATCATATATTTCCAATGGATCTGTAAAACAAACAAAAAATGTAAAAACAGTATAGATTTTAGTGTAAAAACAGTCATACCTTAGCAAGCACGGCTTTGTCTTTAATGACGTATTCATAAGTAGTGAGGAGAACGTTGAACTTTGTCGACCTCATTTGCGATTGTAGGGTCCTTCTCATCGCCGGTGAGCCCTTATAGGCAACGACAAAAACTGTAGGAGACCACTTCTCAAATTCCAGTACCCAATTTGATAAAGTCCTTTAAAAGAAATACATTTAGATCATAATATAATTGAGTAGATTTAATCAAACTTACGATAGCGGAACAATGATGAGAAAAGGACCGTTGACTTTTTTCTTTTCCATCAGATAAGTGATCAGACCAATAGTCTGAATGGTCTTTCCGAGACCCATCTCATCAGCGAGAATTCCATTAAGGTTGTTGTTGTAAAGAGAGACAAGCCATTCCAATCCTTTGATCTGGTACTCTTTCAATTTACCGTTAATCATTATCGACGCCTGCTCAGTGACAATTTCATGCACAGTGTGAGCAATACTAAAAATAAAACACAAATGAAGGATAAACTTTATTAAAAAATAAAAATATAAATATAAACCTGTAATATGTGTGCTCCTCAGTTGTGTTTTTATATTCATCATCTTCAATTTTGGCCTTCTTCATAACTGTCTTAGTGTCCACTTCTTTCTTGTCTTTATTTCCTGAAAAAGATTGTTTAGTGAACTGTTTTAGCAGGGCCATAAGAAAAAAATACCTTTTCCTTTTTCCTCATCGTTTTCATCTTCGCTTTCTTCCTCGTCCTCTTCTTCATCACTGTCCTCCAATGGTTCCCATCCAGGATGGGCATCCAACCAAGCTCCAAGCTGGCTGGCAAGCGGAGCCTCGTCGCCTTGAAGTTGCCTGCCTGTAAGTTACAAATACATTTCTGTTACACATATTCAAATTGTTTTGCAAAAAAAAAATTGATTATGGAAAGTGGATAAGAAAAGTTTTGTTTCAATTATCAACAAAACAAACATAAAAAAAAAATTTTACCAGTGACTGTTTCAACAACAGTAACATGAAGATCAGACATTTGAGAGCTTTCATCATTGTCAACAGCCTCTCCACCTTCTCCGACCTTCTTCTTCTTCTTTTTCTATTTACATTTTAAAAAAATAAATAATAATAATAATCAAATCATTCAATATTTTTATTAAAAATAACCCTACCTTTCTTTTCTGCTGTTCTTCTTGTTCCTGTTTTTTCTGTTGTTCAATTTTGTGCTGCTTGACCATTTCTGTCAAGTTTGCGATATATTCATCTGTCTGTGATAACAGGAAAGCCAGACGTTTATCTTTCTTTTGATCGATAAGTTTCCTGTACCCTTCTTCATCCTCTGCCATAAGGCGCCGCATACGCTCTTTCTCTATTCTTTCCTGTTCCTTCTTCTGTTCTCTCTCGGCGTTGGCATGGTAGTTCATAATCGCCTTGTTGAGACGGCCCACTTTGGCCATATTGTTCCTATGGTATTCTCGGAAGTCTTTACAGTGCTGGAGGATAGTACTGAGGTACTCTTGGTGTTTCTGTCGTTTCTTTCTTTCTGTTTCAAGTTTCTGCTGTTTCTCCAACTTCTCCGTGGCCCTGGCCTCCCTCAGGCCTTGGCGTTTCGTGCGCTTGTACGCTTTGACGTTTACCGCTGTTTCTAAAGTCGTGTCTTTCCTTGTGCAAGCAATCACTTCACTTCGGAGTTGCCTCTGGAAATTCAGGACTCGGAGCGCCCTGAGCTCGATTTGAGCTTTTAAACGTAAATCTTCAGGCATAGTCGCAGGGAGATTCGTCAGCTCTTCCATTCTGTGTACAATCCGTGCAGCAACTCTGTTTTCTCTCTCTTGTAGAATTAATATAGGATCGAGACCAACGGGCCTCGGCATAGTGGTTACTCTGTTTTGCTTCTGGCCCTGGCCTTGAGTTTGTGGCCCAGCAGCTCGAGGCATTCTTGGAGGTTGTTCAGCCAAAGGTGCAGGCGGCCTCACGCCAGCGGGGGCTGGACCAGTAGGCGGTGCCATCTGTCCAGTCATAGGTGACTGAGTCGGAGGCTGACCGCCCGGTGGGCCAGGTGTCCTCATAGGCTGTTGCATACCTCCGTTAGTCGAATTGGCATCAACTGTCTCTCCTTGAACCGCTAACGCTAACTGCTGAGAAAGAGGCTGGTTACGAGCCAACAGGCGGTATGCCATTATCTGCACTCGTAACTGCTGAAGCTGAGAAGGGCTGAAACTGTGTTTCGCACCTTGCGGAGGGCCTCCTTCTCCAGAAAACCCCTATCAAAATAAATAAATTCCATTTATAAATGCCCAAAGCTAGGAAATCTCTATTTTAAAATATTGCAAACGTACTTGTGGAGGAGGTCTTGGAGGTTCCATATTCGACTGTCTCGCTCTCAAAGCTAAAAGTTGAGAATAACGCGGATCCTCCTGTAATCCCTTTTCCTCCATGGAATCTATTGCTCGTTGAAGTGCCGTTAAATTTTCTTGAGGTCCACCACCAGATTGCTACACCAAAATTTATCTTCTATTAGAATGTAGTAATAAATCCATTGTTTGTTAATATTATAATAAAACTATAATTACAGTTGGTAGAAAAATATAAATATCACACTTGAAGGAAAAGTAACTAACTGAAAGAAATACAGTCTGAGACAAAAATGTGACTCAACCAAAGATGAACTATCAACTTTCTGGTTATACTTCTTTCATTTGGCATAAAATCTTGAGAAATGATTGCATTTTAATGACCTAAAAGCTGAAATTTATCTGGAAAAAACTCAACAGCGAGACACAAGATCGGAAACTAGCAAAAAAAATGTTTAATTTAATTCTGAATGACCAGATTATACTTCGACCAAAATTGTAAGAAGTGGAGAGAAAATAGAAATGATAAATGGTAAAGTGAGTATGTTGTTCAATCTTTATATAAAAAAATAGTTCCTACTCACTGTTAGTCATTTTCAACATTCCAGATTTTAAGCTTATAACTCATCATCAGGTTGAAGGAATTTACAGCCACTTCTCTCGACATGAATTGTAAGAGTTTCTCTCTCTAACGTCTCTTAGGCTTGAAATTCTGATCATTGAAAACAACTAACTTTTAGGAATTATCTTTTCATAAAGGGTGGAGAGAAAAGTCTTCAATTTATCTACGAATAATTTTGTTTTACTGATAATTCTACTGGTTATGATTAAAGTGAATATTTTACTTTTCAATAGTTATTCAGATATCGTGAGATGCGGTCGGGTGTGATGTAGGTTTCAGAAAAACATTTTCTTTATCGTGCCAACGTTTCGATCTTTTATTGAGATCATTTTCAGGGCTCAAAGTGTTTGTCTTCTGTGTAATTGTGCCATCCTTGCGTGTCGTGTTGAGAGTAGTTGCCCAGTTCACGGGCACTCTCAACACGACACGCAAGGATGGCACAATTACACAGAAGACAAACACTTTGAGCCCTGAAGATGATCTCAATAAAAGATTGAAACGTTGGCACGATAAAGAAAATGTTTTTCTGAAACCTACATCACACCCGACCGCATCTCACGATATCTGAATAACTATCGATTAACAGTCACTAATCTCTAAACATTACTTTTCAATCTAAGAATTTGTCAATCTTGTTAAAAATTCAAAGAAACCATAAATTACTATGACTTCAGCAAAACATACACCATCCAACAGAACATTTTGTTTATTTAGTACAGATAATCCTTTCAACCAACATCCTTATCTTACCCAACAGTATACTCAAAAGACAAAAAACAATACATAAATAAAAAATAATAATAAAATAAAATGTCACTCGTATTGTGATGTTTATTTCAAACTATATTTATTTTTATCATTGTATTAATTATTACAACATACTTATTTGAATGAAAACAACTTAAACAAGATCAGAAATTCATGAGTTTTAATTAAAACAAAAATTAATTATGATGATTTGAATAAAAATTCACCGGAAAATCATTTAGTAATAAATGATAGATAAAATTTAACAAACAATTTAATTCCTAATTTTGCTCTTAATGACAGGTATGACCTCGGCTTTGTCTCCTAGATGTATAAGTAAATAAGCAATTGAATTTCGTCTTTTGAAACAGAATACCATTCTCGTAACCCGTCTCTCTATCATGTCCCATAAAGTGTTCTACAGTATTCAGGTCAGGAGAACGAGTTGGTCAACACATTGTAGTAATCCCTACATTCTAAAAGCAATGGGTGACAACTCGATCTACGTGCATTAACACAAAGTTTTCCTCGATAAATGGAGCGAATGGGACCACAGCTTATAAGAGAACTTACTCAATGTATCTTAGTGCAAAGATCTGTTCTACATGATAATCAGTTGGTACAGGCATGGAATCGATTCCACCCTATGCTGTAACTGACTGTCTTTGAAAATGCTTTAACTCAGTTTTGGAGCTCCTGCTAGACCCTTACATTATGGACGGTTTGGAGATGACTATTCACAACGAAAAGCTGTTCTGTAGTGCAGTAGGAACAATTTTTTTTTTACTTTAATTTATTGTTTCATCAAAGAAAACGATTTTCAAAACCAAATTAACTCACTGGACATGTTGGCTCTGGAAATGATTGAAATGATTTTCTTTAATTTTAATCTAAAGAATGTAAAAAGATTAGTAATAAATAAAGGTAAATAACAAGTTATTAATGTTATATATGCAAAACAAACAAATAAGTACTAATGTCTAATATGGTTGTTTATTATGAAACGAAAGGTATGTAGTTAAACTATTTTTTCTACACTTTTCATCTTTTAATTTTTTTTAATATATAAAAAACAAGATGTTTGTGAATAATAGTTGTTCAGATTAAAGTAAGTACAGTAGTGTGCCTTGATGCCCTTGACGTTTTATCTTCTTGACCAAAAGTGGGGAGATTCAATATTTAGAAACTTGTTTGACAAAGGTGAATAGGAAAAAAATCACGAATCATTAAAAAAATCACTATATATAAAGAGATCAAGTACGATGTACGAAGTGGATGTCGATTTATGCTTCAATGTTGTTAAAGAAGTAGTTTCCAAAGCTTCCGAGGTATAGTATTTCACTGTAAAAATCAACACAATCCAATAAAAAAAAATTTCCGTTTTATAGATAGTTCTTGAAGGACATGAGTCTAGCTTGGAGGTTATGACAAAAACGTCAAAATTCGACCTGGTGACGATATACGACAAGAGGACGGAAGAATTCCTCATCAAAGCATTAAAAGATGCTTTCCCAGACCATAAATTCATTGGTGAAGAAACCACGGCTAATAATAAACTCACCGAAGAGCCTACATGGATTATCGACCCGATTGACGGGACGACCAACTACATACACGGGTATCCGCATATAGGAATTTCTCTGGCGCTGGCGGTCAATAAAGAGATTATTATCGGTATTGTGAGCAATCCTTTGTTAAAACAGACTTTTACAGCGGTTAAAGGTCGTGGGGCGTTTTTGAACGAGAAGCAAATCCATGCTTCAAAAAGCACAGGTAGCATATGACTATGCAACTTATATAAGTTTTTTTTAAATTAATTTATTTAATTAAAGAGTTACAAAGTTCCTTGATCGGACTTGAAGTCTCAGTCGGTTCTATACCAAAATATACGGAAGAGTACTGCCAAAAGTACAAAAATATTGTCACTCAAATACAAGGGTGAGTCAGAGCTGAGGTGATCAAAAGGACTGTTTTAAATTTGTTTTAAAAGGGTGAGGTCCCTCGGGTCAGCAGAGCTCGGCTTGTGCATGGTCGGATGGGGTGTTTGGGACGGTTACCATGTGAACCACCTACAATCCTGGGATGTGGCAGCCGGCTCTCTCATAATCACAGAAGCTGGTGGATGTGTACTTGGTGTCGATGGTATGTCAAACTTATCAGTATTATTTAAAAAAAAAAAAAAACATATTTAAAATAATACTGTTGCTTATTGATGATTGGAATCAGGAATGTGGTCCAAAATGATGTAGTTGTACCTTTTTTTGCCTTTAATGAGTTATTTTGTAAATGCAATACCCCTCTTTCTGAATTTCTTTAAATAATTCTTCATTGGCTTTCATGACTGTATAGTAAGAGATTAATAAGTTTCTAAGTTAAGGATGTAATAACATTCCAAAAATGGATGGAATTGACTTTCTACTGCACTCACTCGCTTAATAGTCCAGACCTTGCTCCTTCGGACTAATTCTTCCGCTTAATTGCCTATTATCCCATAAGAAAAGCCTTTCGTATATTGAAATGTGTAAAGCCTAGACATTTTCTCGATCAAATGTAGCAGCAGGCCTCAAGATAATAATTATGAAAAAATACATTGTGCTTTCGTGGTTTAAATTTTTAAAATTTTAAATTATACAATAAATTTAATTTTAACTCTTGAAACAAATGATCACTAATTCCTCTAAACCAAACGAGAAATTTGATTATCATTAATAATTAATTATTACCATAATTTCAGGGGTTAGACAATAAAACAAACATTTTATATTTTCAGGAGGAAAGTTTAACTGTGAAACAGGTGGAATTATTGCAGCTGGGACAGAGAAACTTTGTAAATTACTTGTCGAATTACTTAACTGTAAATAAACTAATCAATTTACTTTAGTAAATGAAATATAGATTTAGAATACTAGTAGTTTTTTTAATAATAAATATATGTTAATTAAATGGTAGCAATATGTAAAACGTCATCACAAAAATTTATTGAACGTGATGTAACATAAATGAGTCAACAATATAATTGCAGCCATATTTTACATTGTTTCACTTTTATCTTGAATAAAACTTTAATCAAAAATGCACCTGGAAAATCTCACCACATCAAGTTATTTTGATTAATAGAAATTTTATTCAAGTGTAAAACTTAGACCTGATTCACAACTGTGATAAATTGAAAATATCCGAGGAGGGCAATATTGAATCAAAAGAAATGAAGATGTTCAGCAGTTTGGGACCAAAGATTATGTAAAAATATCTAATTTATACAAGTGAAACTTTATGGAGCTTTAAATAACAATATTTTACTCATTTACAAGATCTTGTGTTTAAAAATTGGATTGTGTTAGTGCTATTGCCTTTAATTTAAAATGAAATAAATAAATAAACAAGTGTGTCTAATATAAACTCAATCATTCAGGCAAGAGTTAAAACTAACCTGCTGGTGCGGAGGCATCGGTGGGTGTTGCTGGAATGTCTGCGTGCCCTGCTGCATAGCTCCGTTAGGGCCGTTCATGTGCTGGGGAGGCGGCCCTTGGAACGAGTTGGGGCTATGCGGGTGGTGCGAAGGGGGTCCCATCGGCGGAGGAGGGCCCTGGCCCGGTTGGGACATCGGCGAAGGTGCCTGCTGGGGCGGGCCCATGGGTGATGGGGCCTGTGGCGGCGGCATCGGCGAAGACTGGCTCTGCCCAGAGGGGCTGGCCATTCCGCCACTTTCCCCGTCCATGTCTTCAACGCTCCAATCTGTAATCGGGCAGAACAATTCAAAATGAATGTCAAATATAGAAAAAACAAACAAATAAAAAGAAAAAAGAAAATCAGATTGAGTATTAAAAAAAGAAAAAATATTAAGATCTATTTTTTTAATTGATTAATAATTTAATTTATAGTATAATTAAAATAAGGAAGATTACATCAATTTTTATATAAATTTTGTTTCAATTTTTTCTTTCTTTAAATTTATTTACTAACTCCAATCGTCACAACAAGGTCAAACGAAACATCAAAAATTAGATTACTGAAAAATAATTTCAAATGCCCCCGTAAAATTAGATTTAGAAGAAAATCAAAAAGGAAATACTAAAGAGAGAAAATCAGTCATATCTGACAAACTGTCATAGTTGAATTACCTCCTTTTTCCTTTCGATAATAGAATTTTTTCAATACAGGCATCCCTGAATGCTTACACGCACTGTTTAAGACTCTCCCCATAAATCATGGGGGGGAAAATATTAACAAAAAAAATATATAACAGGTAAGAATGGTTTTCCAAGATGTGAGATCAAAAACCTTCCATTTAACACATGATTTTTTTTCCACTTTTTTAAATTACAGATATAAATATTGCTTTGGTAAACCACAGGGGATTTTGAGTCAATAATGAATTTTCGCTAAAACAATAAATGTAGGAGCCATCAGAACGGTCAAGAAGCTGGAAAATGTGAATCAGACCAAATACAAAACGGGGGAAATGTTTTGTTACAACCAACAAGTAAACAGCTACATATATTTAGCTATTTCTAGCTAAACGAGTAAAATATTTTTAAAAATACAACAAAAATAAAATGCTCCCAGCACACAAATCATCACCAAAATTGGATTAAACTATTGATTAGGGCAAAAAATTGTCTATTTTTTAAATTTATGGTTTAGAGCTTGTACGAACAATTGAGCATTCATAGAAAGCCAGAAATATGCTAGCAATTACAAAGCACTTTTTTTTTATTCTAACAAATTATAAGAAATTGAAATTGTTCTAATTTCTGAGATATGCTTGAGCAAGTTTAGAGATATGTATTTAAACCACAAATTTAAAAAAAAGAATAGCATAATTTCTTATAAAATGTAAAATAAAGGAATGTATTCCGAGGCAAAAAAAATTAAATATTATGCTTCAAATCGTATTCAACAATTTTTGAAGAGAATTTTCCTTGGGGTCTACAAAGTGATGAGCGCGTAGTTAGGTCGTTTTTTCTAGTTTGATTAATCCAAATACATTTTGCCATCTTCGGTGTTCGGGCGCCTGTAACCAGACCGAACCAGAGGGGTATATGCAAACCGAAATGAAATTACCAAATTTATGTATATTTTAAATATTTTTTTCAATTGTTTGAGGCCCACGAAGGAGCCATCGCCCTCTGAGTATAATAATGAAGTTTATTGAGAACATGATGGTATTTTGACCAAAATCTCACAAAAATCATAGAGTAATATCAGAATGAATCAATTGCTTGACAGGATATGTTAAGAAAATTTGCATCAGTGGACACAAAAGACAACTGGATTTTGAAAAGAAGCAGAAGAAACCCCGACATATTTCATAAGTGATAAAAAAAACGGTCATGATCTGTGTATGATGGAATTTCGAGGGTACAGACCACTTTGAGTCGGTCCCCAAAGTTCAAGTAATACTCCTGCCTGCCCAAATTGAGAAAGTACATTCAGATTAAGTCCAACAGTATCCAGCCCTGTGGAATAGGAAACAAGACCAAAACACAAATTAAAACTCAAGGAGTTGGAATTTTATCTTCTTCCTCGACCAGAATACATATCAAATCTTGCACTTTCAGATTAGCACCTATTCCAGTCCAAAACTTCCAAAAGTGGGCGCAAAGAGTTTTTTGCATCAAAACTCTTCATGGTATCATAATGGCACAAAGGTGGCTTCAAGTCTTAGAAACTAATAGTATATATTTTGGGAATAAGTTGTTGGACAAAAATATATTTGTACAAATAACAATGAAAATGTGTAGAGTTTGCAAACTTGTCAATAGCAACAGCCAGTCGTTTCTTGAAATACAGAGACATTTTGCTTGGATTAAACTTTATATTAACATAATTATTTATATTTTTATTATATAATTTTTAAAATAAATTTCCCGGTCAACATGTGTTTGTAACCCAGGCCTTGAAGATGACCTGAATGAAGATCAACACTCGGCAATAAAATAAAAAAGGTATTTTTTTAAAAGCATTTAACCTGACCGCTCCCTTACTACTTCAATCTATCTATTACAATGGTCATCCTGGTTTGCTTCAAACAGCCTGAAACAGACTAAGGCTGTTTTGACAAATCCAGTGTGTTTGACTTCAAAAATTTACTAAGAAATGGTGAACTGTGGCATTTCAAGTCATGTTTCACCTCCAAAGGAATGACAAAACTTGAACGATAAAAATTTGACTGTTACAAACTTTAGCTAATCAACTAAAAAGTTGATCAAGTCTGTTAAAACAAAGTAAAGTTGAACGATAAAACTTCAATCGAATCTTTTAAATTGTTGATTTAACGACACATTTGAAGGAATCCTAAGATATGCAAGGAAAATATTTTATAAAAAAGGCTTAAATACAAAATTTAAAAAGCAAGAGGGCCAGTTAACAAAAGAACTTGACGGTTTGAACAGTCAAGGCTGAAAATAATTCAGTCCTGAGCAAAAATTGACAAATACATATAAATATATATATTTGTATATTTTAAGAATATACACTCATATGCAAAACTGGACATCATATTTTGTTGTTTATTTCCAACTACATGTATTTTTATTGGTATATTAATAACAACATACATATTTTAATTTGAACTAAATTAAACAAGATCAGAAATCCATGAGTTTTAATAAAAATTATTTAATTATGACGGCTTGAAAGAAAATTCACCAAAACACCGGAAAATCAGTTAATTAGAGATTAAATTTAACTAAAAATTTATTACCCAGTTTTGTTCTTAATTAATATTACATCCTGTGGCATTGCAGAGAGCCTTAAATCTCTGCATCGAATAAATAAACAATCGGATTTTGTCTTGTGAAACAGAATCCTTTTCCGTCTTCAACATATGACTACATTATTAATCCTTTTGATGAAAAGGTATCAATCTTGTCCAGCAATTTTGGCCCAAAATCCAAGCCTAGCTACGCCCGTTGAGATTTATTCTGGCTTGAGCAACCTATCAGTCTACCTACCGTTTCTGCACAGTCATATTGGCTGAAAGATTGTGAAGAATTGTGGGACTGCAATCCTGTCTTCACCATTATTTTATACGAGGATGTCCAACCCACTAACCAGGACACGGCCCAGCGAGGAGGAACTTCTGGGACTGTTCATTATCTTCGGCAAACGGACCAGATCAACTACCAAGAGGTTTTGGACAACCACCCAGCCAATCTAGCACTCAGTTCAAGAGAAGGTTACATCCACATAAAAGAGGCATAATTGGAACGTGCTGGTCTGTTAATTGTGGTGATCTTTCTATCCACAAAGTAATTAATGGGTGACATCTTGACATACACACAGTCGAGCATCATGCATGCAACACAAAGTTGACCTCAATAAATGGAACTAATGGGTCAATAGCTTCCAGAACTTCTTCAATCCTTTTTAAAAAGATAGTTCCTACTCACAGTAAGTTGTTTTGCAACGATCCGGATTTCGAGCTTTTAGCTGAAGAGTTCTACAGCCTGATGAGCTAAAAGCTCCAAATCCGGATCGTTGCAAAACAACTTACTGTGAGTAGGAACTATCTTTTTAAAAAGAATTGTACACCACACACACTCCACCATTAATCATTTCTATGAACTTCTTCAATGTACCTTAGTGCAGACAAAAATACATTCTGTATGAAATCAATTGGACGTTGATTCACCCATACTTTTTTTTATGGATACCAGGGACTGGAGGAGTTCCCTCCTGATCACTGCAGCTGAGCTGTACAGGGTCGCAACACAAATGTGAATTTGAGCCCCTGTGGTGCTTTTGTTCTTCCATAGAAGAAACTCATTTTTGAAGGGGGTTGGGACCAAATTCAGGGTCGCTGAGATCCAATCCCGCCCCTTCCACTGATGAGTGCCGTGTCAATTTCTTTCAATTGCAGCCATCGGTCCCCTTAGGCATCAGAAAAAGTCCAGAGGCGACGGTGGGGATTGAACCCACGACCGCAGGATCTACTAGCCGAGAGTCTGACGCCATAACCACTCGGCTACCGTGGCCCCCCACCCCATACCATAAATGAGTATCTTTGAAAAGGCTGTGACTCATGTATGGCACATGAAGCAAAGCAGGCTCCACACTTTTTTTCTGAGGTTCATTGTACTTTTGTGGTGGAACTTCATTATCGAAGGTTGAATTTTTATACGTTCCAACTGTTTAATTAGTTTATTCGGTTAGTTAAATAGTTGAAACTAAAGACTTTATTGATACCCAACGTTATCCAAGTCTTACTGTTGGCCTTGGTCTTATCTTTGGCCAAAGCATCTCAACTTAAAATTATGCTTTTAAGAAGATATTTAAATTGTTTCATTAAAAAAATAATAAAAACCAATTAACTCACTCGACATGTTGGCTCTGGAAATGATAAAATTCAACTTACTTTCTTTATTTTTAATCTAAAGAAAGTAAAAGGATTAGTAATTGTCTATAAAGGTAAACAGTAAGTTATTAATGTTGTGTTTACGTTTTAAGTCAACAATTATTCTTTATAGCTAGTTATGAAAAATAAAGAAAAGAAATACATATCCGGTTTTTTCCTGAGTGTATATTCATATATAATGTTTTGAAACTGTAAAAGCTAAATTATGCTGTTTTCATCGTGGGAAAAAATATGAGGGAAAAGAAAGAACATAGCTTCACTTTTTTCCTTGTTTTATTTGTATATATTTCGTGTCTAGCTATTTTTATTTATTTATTTTTTTTAATGAAAAAGAGTTTTTTAATGTAGGTTTTGGCACTTTTTCTAGAAGATTTAGCATTTATAAGAGAAATAACAAAGTTGAGTGCGGTATGATCGATTGAGCAAACAGCTTTCGAACAAGGGGAAGGAGGTGAGCTTTTTCCTCTGTCCCAAAGTTTCTATTTCAACAGGATTTGATAGGTTTTAGAAGAAAGTATGTTATTTTTGCGTTGCGGCCCGTTTAAATGTGTAAAAAAGAGAAAATAGCAAACCGAATCTGGGTAGGGAGTCTGTCCGGGGCGTCGTGTGTCCGTGCTCCTGAGCTGGGCCGTGGGTCGAGACGGTGCCGCGGCTCCTTCACGCTTTTTCCTCTTTCCCTGCTCTTTCTTCGATGCGGTCGCCGGGGTTTTTTTTCTTGCCTCTGTCGTCTGCAATCCGCAGGCCTGGAAACTATCGAGGCCGACTCCGGCTGGAATCCGCTTCCAACATGGCGAAGCGGCGTGACGTCAACGGCTTGCAGACACCACCGACAAGAGCGCCCCGGCACTGCTCCTGAGACTCCGTAAAAACAAAATCCAAATAAAAATCATATATACAAGTTTATAATTTAAATTAATATAACATTAATATAAAATTAATATTTAAAATATACTCGCTCAACAGTAATGTTAATATTTAACAAAAAAAATCACCCAAAAATTAATTTAATTATTCTCTTTTTTAATGTATATTATATTTATAACAAATAAACAATATTTTTACTGTGGGAAAATGTCTAGTAATATGGTTGTATATAAAACTGTATCTCAGATGAAGAAAATTTATAAAAATAAATTAGGTGTGAAAACAATTAGGAAAAAAGAAAACGGTGTTGGTAAAGTTTGTAGTACTCAGGTGCAAGAAAAATATTTTAAAGAAAAGTTATGAATTCAAAGAGAAAAGAGTATGGACAAAGCGGATGATAATGAAAAGAGAAAGAAATAATAAAATATATAATAAAAAATATTCAAGATAAAAAGAGAAAAATGTTAAAACAAAATGCCCGAAAAAAAATAAAATAATTTTATCCTGGCTGCCAAAAATTACTCCACTACTACTACTACTACTTATGAGATGGGTTGATTATGATAAGAAAAAGAGAAAAAGAAGAAAGAGAAAGAAAAAATATTCGAGATAAATTTATTGATTTTTTTTCTTTCCATAATCATCTCGTTTCATAATTTTTTTGAATATGTTTTAAATATAGGAATAATTTTTGTTAGTCATGGTAAAATTGTTTTACTTTGTTTATAATAACTATAAATTTAATTCTTATTACTGTTGTATTGAATCATATGTGAAAATTTGCCAAACATTTTTCTCTCTTTATCTTGATTTTTTTCTTTCTCTTTTCATAATCATCCCATTTCATATTTTTTTAAATATCTTCTCTAATATAGGAGTAATTTTTGTTAGCCAGGAAAAAATTGTTTTATTTTATTTTCCATATTTTGTTTTAATCTATGGTTTCATGGTCCGATTGACCAAATAAATTCTTTTCTATTAATTAATCTTTAATTAAGGTTTTGGTTTTAATAAAAAAGTCAGTGTTATGAGCGGGATTTGAACTCACGATGAATTTTGTTTTAATATTTTTCTCTCTTTAACTTGAATATTTTTTTCTTTCTCTTTTCATAATCATCTCATTTCATAATTTTTTAAATATGTTCTCAAATATAAGAGTAATTTTTGTTAGCCAGGTTAAAATTATTTTTCTTTGCAACATTTTGTTTTAAGATTTTTTCTCTTTATCTTGTATTTATTTTTCTTCCTCTTATTATTATAGGCTGTATCAATACCTGAACCACTGTGGCCACCGACAACCCTGTGCTTGTAGTTTGGTCCCTTTACCGTCTTTGAGCCTTCCATATGCCATATAAGAGCTTCATATCAATTTTTTTTAAAAATGTTTATAAATACCATTGGAGAAAATTTTAATTATTCATTTTATGAAAAACAATTTGTATAAATCTAATGTAGAGCCACTGAATCCAGTGGTATTCAGTGACCCTACTCCATCAAATTTCTACAAATTTGTTTGTCTACGAGGCCCACACCGTTGTTCTCATCTTAATTACTGTGATCCATTTTATGTGTTAATAAATTTTTATGATCAACTATGAGAAAATGTATAGTAATCAAATACCAGATCTTACAAAAAGTCCTGTTGGTGTTGCTTTATTTTTACATTTTGTTTATTTGAACTTAAGTGTTTTTGTGGCTTTTATCATAAAGCGACCTTGTCTAAGGTAAACTCTTAATATTTACAGGTTCCAGGCGTGCGTCAAGCATCCAAATATGTTAAAACTGTATGGTTAGGTTAATTATTTCAATTAATTATACTTTTTATCTAAGGTCTTGGTTGAGAAAAAACGGTATTGTCACAAGGGGGATTCGAATCCACAATCTTTGCTCAATACACCGCTGCTCAACCACTTTAGCTGTCAGTGGTAAGAGCAGTGGCCTATTGAGCTGAAGGTCGTGGGTTCGAATCCCACTCGTGACACTAACTTTTTATCTCAACCAAGACCTTAGTTAAAAATTATAATTAATTGAATTAATTAGCATGGTCAGTCATGACTGCTAAACATATATGGATAAATATTTGCTTAATGTTGATTCCCAAAGTTTCTATATTTTGTTTTATGATTACTCAGATTAAAAGGGGTATTCAGAAAGATTTACTTTTTTTTTTGGCCAATTCCACTTTTTTCCTGTAAGTTGCTTGGGACGTGGTGATGGATTGTGAAACAAAACACCTATTATTTTTCTTTACACTATTTTTTATTTAGTGTCTTTTATTTAAATGAGTACAAAAGTAAATTGTACAATATAAACATTTCAATCAAAAATTTAGTGATGAACAACAGTAAAGATTTCGATGGTCAATTTGGATTTTTGTTCTCAGACCTTTTATTTTATTTTAATAATGTAACTTCTGTTATCTTTCTGTCACAATGACACAAATTTAAATTGAAAATCACAATTACAAACATTGGGGAGGTGGGAATCCACTTTATCAATTATAAAACAATCGTTTAATATCATTTTGAGTTGTTAATAGATAAATTTTAATATGAACGTTTATACCAACCTCAGTAACGATTGACGGTTTGACACCGTTTGAACCTCTATAGACTATATTCATAAAAATAAATATATAAAAACAACAAATCGTTTATTTTTTGTTAATCGCATGAAAAAGTTTCATTTAAGAATAGTCGATTGTACTAGCTATAGAAAAATACAATTTCCCTTAGTCCCCAATTAATAAGATTTGAATCGATTAATGCAGAAAGAACAGTATAGAAACAGGAAAAAAAGAGCATTGGAAACAAACCTATATACAATTATTTCATAAATAAATATTTGTACAACTTAAATTTTTTTCAAACAATCTAAATTGCACTTTTTAGAAGAAGGTGTTTCGTCTTGAATAACGATTTGGTGACAGCTGGATCTTACAAGAAGCACACACCTTCTAAATGCAAAATAAGTCCCCACGATCACTCTTATGCGCTTAGAAGAGGAGTGTGCTCATTCCGCCCATCTCGCTCTGTTCCTTGACGAATATTTCAAAGTATTGGTAGATGATGGTGACGGCCAAGAGGATACCTGTTCCGGAACCAATTGCACCCATGAAATCGGCGAGAACCGAGAGAGCGCCGATGCAAAGCCCGCCGAAGGCTGCAGCTGTAGGAATGTATCTATTGAGCTCGTGAATCATTGAGTTGTCTCTGTGCCCTCTCATGACCATCTGTTGTTCCTTTAGTTGTTTTGCAACCTACGTTAAACAAAAGAATCGATAAAACAATTCTTACGTTAAAAAACCGAAGGACTTACGTCTTTAGCCGATGAGCCGGAAACATCAATCCAAGTTTTTGAAAAGAAGGCACAAGAGCCGAGCATGAAGATAATGTACAAAGCGGCATGGATCGGATCTTCGAGGATATGTCCTAGATTTTCAGGGGGTGATAAATAATAACACAACCCTCCGACAGGATACGCTCTCGCAGGTCCGCTCCCGCCCACGTCGGCCCAAACACCCAATAGATTCACAAAAACGTTCCCATGGAATTTCACTGCCAACATCTAAAAATAAAATTTAAAATATAATTAAAAAATAATTTAAAAAATATTAAATTTTTTGTAAGGTGTATTTACTTGAGAAATGACGTAAAGATTGGAGACCAATGCTGATTGAAGGATAATTGGAATATTCGAAGTGTAGAAAAGCTTGATGGGATAGCTGCTGTATTGTCCACGGTAGCGGGCTGATTTGATGGGAAGGTCTACTCTGAATCCCTAAAAATTAAGTGGTAAATGTTAAACAAAATCATCTCATAGATTCAGATTTAAATTTATACGACTGTCTATTTTATACCTGGAAGTATATGACAATAGCAAATACGAGGATAGTGGCCAAAAGGTTCATCAAATTGGGAAGATTCTGCCTGTAGAAAGCTTCTCTTAGAGCCCTGACTTTGTCTTGTCTTGTCGCTAAGAGATGGAAAAGCGCAATCACAGCGCCTTCAAATTCAGTGCCTCTTCCTTTATTGAACAAATTTTGTTAAAACAATTTTCTAGTTAAATATATTTTTTAAATGTACCAGTGTTGACTGTAGCAGGGCTGAACGCCTTCCAGACGATGGTTTCACAGATATTCGTTGCGATAAAGAGCGAGATTCCTGAGCCAAGACCATAACCTTTTTGAAGCAGTTCATCAAGAAGTAGGACGATGAGACCTGCTACGAACAGTTGCAAGATGATGAGTAGGCAAATACCAGCTCCGATTTCAGACGGGTCGCCGTACATCCCTGTCATGACATACACGATAGCCTGACCGACTGTTATCACCATGCCGAACACTGCAAAAACAAAAATTAAGGTCAATTTTCACAATTTAAAAAAAAAAAAAAGTTTCAACGCACATTTTTGCGCTCCATTGAACAAAGCACGATCCTTGGGTGTGTCGCCGACTTCTATGATCTTAGCGCCAGCGAGGAGCTGCATGATCAGTCCCGAAGTGACGATTGGCGAAATTCCCAGTTCCATGAGCGTTCCTCTGTTCGAGGCGAGGATGACACGGATCCAGTAGAAAGGATCCGCTGAGTCTGAGCTCATTATGCCAAAAAGTGGAATCTGAACAATCACACAAGAACACACTGAAATATCGGTGATAACTACACTATTAAATTTTTTTTCTGAATTTAATTAATAATCTATTTATATATTTATATAATGACACAACAATAAATTACTTGAGTGATATGTTTGATAAATTTTAAGTAAAATATAATTATTCATAATTGACAATTAGTTCCGTTGATTGCTGGAAAACTAGATTGTAAGTCTTATCAATTGTGGTAGAGCTTGATTATAAATTGAGTTTAGTGAGAGAAACTTGGTAAAACTACTATATTTCCATGGCTGACCACAAAAAAATTATATAATAGCCTGGCCAAACTATTATATTTCCGTGTAACTTTTGGATTTAATAAGTCCAAGATTTTATGATTAGAAAAATCCTTCTCACCCATTACCAGGAGGTCTGAACCCTTTTCTAATCGTTCCCTTGGCTTAAAAATGAATCTCAAATTGACGTTTAAAATCTTCTCATTTTTATTAATTAGCTTCGTTCTTCTTATCTTCCTTCTTTAATAAGTGTCCGTACATCATTTTGCAATTTTACTCTTTTAACATTTGAAAGAAGCGAGTTTTCAGAAGCAAACACACTAAAAGAACTATTAAACTTCTAAGAATTGTTTGAATTTTTTTCTGTTTATAGCTAGTAGTTTATTCAGATCAACAGAACCAAATTTTTGTCGTTCCTTTCTTCTCAAAGAATTTTATGATTGTAACAATAATTACATGAATTAAGTTTTACTATATTTATAATGACTTTTTAATGTTTGTCATTAACTTCCTTAAAACTACTGGGCAAAGAATCACATTACAGAAAAAAAATGCTATGTTGTATTTTAGAATATTTTATATATTTCAATGAATCTCATAAAATACATATATGTTTAAAATGAAATTAAAAAAAAAAAATATATATATATAAAAATCGATCTTAGTCTGTTTTTTAATTTTAAGTAAAGACATTTCATCCTTGTAATGCATTCTTAATTCATTCATCATGGCAATTAATTTTTTGTCCAAATTATCTTTATAAAACCATATATGTATTTAGTAGTCATAACTGACCGTAGTAATTAAAATATCTTTATAAACTCAAGCACCAAAATAACTGTCAAATGCCTGAACAATTTATTCCTCTGCGAAAAAGAAGCTTTAAAATGCCTACCTACGTAACTGCCAAAACATGTTCAATGACCACAGGACAGGATATGTGAGGAAGAACTTAAAAAAAGTAACTCTTTTTGATGACAAAATGGTTATCATTTCTCAGTAAAAGATTACATGCTAAACCTGCCTACATCTTCCGGAATGTTCGTCTTAAATTTGTTTTATGCTCAGATTTTGTGCATTAAAAATCCTCAAATATACTCTAAAAAAACCCTCAAATACGTCATACCATATGCACTAAAAAAAACCCTTAAATATGCCATATAATTTGCACAAAAATGTTTAAAATACGCAGGATGAATGTCAGAAAAATCACCAAAATAATAAAATACTTTTTTTTTAAACTAGTCTATTAGAGAACTAGACACATAATCATTTTGAAAGGAGAGAAAAAAACTTAGTTTATGTAAAACTAGTGTTTGATGCTGAAAATTAAAAAAAAAAAAAAAAAAAAAAAAAAAGTTTACGTAAAACTAGTGTTTGATGCTCAAAAAATATTTGTACTGCCTGTAAAGATTTAAAAAAAATATTGTAATATAATTCCTGCATCACCGGGGATTTCTGCTTTGTGTTGAAAAGAAAAAAAAAAAAAAAAGTTCCTACTATTAACATTTTTAGGTTTACTAGGTTGGAAATGTGAATGAGGACTTACACTGACTATGTGTGCTTTCAAATGAGGCCTCTATTTCCTTCCACAGCCCAACTACTTCAAAAAAAGTTTGTGATTGATTAGAAAAAAAAATAAATAAAAATAAAAATAAACTGGAAGAAAGTCAAGAGAGTAAAATTTAATTCGGATTTCAGTTAACTTCCAAGAAACAAAGATGTAAACAGACCAACACAATAGAATTATTTTGAAATAATCGGCATCTTAATTGAGGCTCCCCATTTCCAAAAAAAACTTCTAGGCGCAGTTTTTTTTTGCCTTTACTAAAAATATATTTTTCTGAAGCAGACCGGTAGTGAAAGGAAATAGAGGCCTGATTTGAAACACAAAAATACTGACAGTCCTTTCATTCATATTCTCTCCTTAATAAACCAAAAAAATGCCAAAAGTGGGAATTTTCTTCTAAAAATAAAAATCCTTGGGAATGCAAGAATTATATACTTTTTGAGTGATAAATGCTGTACTTTTACAGAAACTAACTTTGAAATGTACATCACCGTCCATTTTAATTCAGATTAACTTAAGCTTAATTATTTATTTCGTATATTTTAAATTATACGATTTTTTGTGTAACTGAAATTTTTCTGTTCTACTTCCATACAAGATGAACTTGTACTAAAAAAAAGGCTAGATTAAAAAAAAAGTTAATTATTAGTCGGGTGAGGAGTCTGACATTTTTCCAGTTTTAGTGTAAAAATCATCTGGCATATATATATATTTTTTTAGTGCATATAAATCTGGGCTTTAGCGATATTGCTCTTTAAACTCTACTTTCTTCTCTTTTAGGCTGAAATTCAAAGAAGCAGCATGTTGCTTAAAACAATAAACGGCATTGGGATTTCCAAATTTCCCACTTAGCTATAGCTGAAAATAACTTGAAACGGGAAGAACTAAAAAAAATGGAGTGCGATATCACGCTTAGAGGTAGGATGCAGACCGTCCTGAATGTATTAACATAGTTTTAGTATTTGATAGGCTAATTATCAAACAATAAACATTAAAATTGTTCCAACAATATGAGAATTCCTCGACCAAAACTAGGCAGAGTGAAGTTAAGCCTTTTCTTTTTATGTTCTACTTATTACGCATTATACAATAAAACAAGATATACTCACTTGACAGCATACTAAAAATATAAAAAGTGTAATAGCAGTCCATAGAACTTTTTCCCTAAATTGTATCTGTAAAAGATTAAAAGAAATGTCAGATGTCAAGTAGAATTTTTTTTTTTAATATATGAATTAAAGCTCACCTTGCGTTCCGGCTTTGCAATCTCCGGAAGTATGCTACAAAATGGTTTGATGACTTCTAAAAATTTGACTGGAACAAAAAACAATAAGGATGAGTTTGCGTTCTGTTAATTATATTATTTAATTTAATGTTATTAGTAATAATTATTGTTTTAATTGAAGGGAGGATGGTGTTTTTTTTTAGTTTCCATATTTTTAGTTTTTTCTACAAGAAGGAAATAAGGTAGAGTTGTGTTTTTTGAGGGATGAAAAGCGACGCATTTCAGGGTGGGTATTAATCAAAAGCCCAGTGTCAAAATTCCTCCACTTACTTGCCATAGTGGACAGATCCTCCGGCTGTGTTGTCGTCGAGTCTCGCTTCTTCCAGTTCGCCTCCTGTGACGGTCCTTGCCAGTTAGGGGCGAGATGCTGATTTGGACACGGCGGATCCTGACGAGGTCCGAACTGCTCAACTTCGCCCCCTTTCTCTTTACACGTCGCCTACAACGGTACAGTCGCCTGGCACACGTCGACCCCCGGGATTAACCGATCTTCGACGTTTGGCACCACAGGCTTCAATCCGGGGTTGAAAAGCGTGAAAAACGTTTTCAATGACACGGAAAAAACTTTCCTTTCGAAATTAATACAAGGGAAAAATTTCCAATCTAAATTTCCAAAACTGTCGGCCCTTTTCCTCTCAACGGCGAAAAGGTACAATATACACAATTAACTGTTTAAAAATCCCTCTAACCTACGGACAAACAATTCACTGACAAAAAATATAAAATCCCACTTTTAAATTATAAAATTTTTAAACAGTTAGACTGAATGATTAAAGGAAATCGGCTTAAAATGAAAATAAAAATGGAATGAAGATCAAAGTGGCAGAAACGGTTGGTGATGGATTGCTACCTACCAAGTTACGAGGACTCCGTCAAATCACGTCATCAAAAGCTCATGATCGTCATAAAAAAACCCATAAATGATAATTTATTTTACGGTTTCCCAATTACAAATGTATACAATGAAAGTATAATTATAAATTTAGAATATTAAAAAATATATATTAAAATAAAATGAAACAACTTGAAATCTATATTGAAACTATTTAATTATGCATTTATGTCTAGTACTCTAATTGACCATATACATTATTTCAATTAATTATTCTCTTTTTGAAAGGTCTTGGTTGAGATGAAAAAGTTAGTGTCACAAGCTGGATTCGAACCCTCAACCTTTGGCTCAATACGCCGCTGCTCTACCACTTGAGCTATCGTGACTTCCATCTCCATATATAATTGAAAAATATGGCAACCCGGTCACGATAGCTCTAACTGCAGAGCAGCGGTGTATAGAGCCGAAGGTTGTGGGTTTGAATCCCTCTCGTGACAAACTTTTTCATCTCAATGAAGACTACATAAAAAGAATAATTAATTAATATTGATGATACAATATTTAATTTTTTCAAATGATAAAATTTTATTTCTTAAGCTGGCATTAAAAATATCTATTATTTCATACGAGTTTAACAAATTTGTTGTTCTTGGTGTAAATATTCAGTCTTTGTCAGGCAGACCTTTGTTAGTTCGTAGTCTGTCTTACCTTTGTATGGAAAGTCATCTCCTATCTGGAGATTCCCTCGTCTTGGACTACGATTTCCTTGTCTTTTGTGAGGGGTTTGACATTTTTTGTGGAACACCATTGCACCGGTTATATGAGGCATTATATGCTTAGCTGTCTCATTTCCCTGTGGTTTGGCAATTCTTGAAGGGTGTGACTTTTCCCAGACTCTTTACTTTTAAAAATAAGAACTTATTGCTCTACACTGAACTGACTTTAACTTATTCTTTTGATTATATTTTGCATGCTTAGGACTGTGACTGCCTTTTTTTTGTGTCTTGCCTGTAGTGTAGATATAAAACTGAATTTGGTGTTCTATGGCAACAAATGGAGAATGTTATTTGAATTCTGTTATAATACGAAACAAATTCGGTTAAGCAGTAAGTCAATTATAGTTTTTAAAAGTATTCTACTAAATTCCTTGAATCTAACATTTAAAAAAAGCTTTAAAAAAATTATGACCACAAAGAAAGTTGTCAAAAGGAAATCACAATAGCTGAAGTGGTTAGACCAGCGGTATATTCCGCTCATGGGTTCAAACCCCACTCGTGACACTTGCTTTTTCAACACAACCAAGACCTTATATTGAAAGTATAATTGATTAAAAGACCGTATGGGAGTCTACCATAACTGGATCCCAAGAGCATCCTTATAAAGGTAGGGAGGAGCTCCAGGAAAGACAGAATAAAAGGCAGTCACTGAAGATGGTCTATTTTAGGCTGAAACGTATCTCTCTTAATAAATGACTATTATGGAATGATAATTTTGTGGAAAATATTCTTTCCTACCCACTGTCAAATTATGGAGTTCCACAAAATCAGGAGATTCACCACAAAAAAATTCCTATATTTTAATTCTTCTATTTATACATTCTACAATCAAGTTTGCAGATAACTTAAATCTTGAATTATTATATTTTAAGTAATTAATTTATGATTATGTAAATTTTTATTTTATTATTCTCTTTCATAATTCTATAAATAATAGTTTGAATTAAACAGTAGTACAAATTTGTATAAAAAGTAGTGAAAGTTAAACAATATCGACTCCCATTAACACTATAAAAAGCCCACGACCCTCACCACCAAGATGGGGGGGTAAATGTTCATATGATGGAATAGAAAAGATACAAAACACAGGTTTTTAACGGATTTTTTATTAAATAAAATCTATTTATTACAAAGAAGCATCTCGGAATTCAAAATTGACTTCCCTTCCGGTAAGTTTCTTGTACACCCAGGTGAAGGTCTCGACCTAAAAAAATTCAAAATAAAATTTTGATAAAATGATTGGAATTATTTAAATTTTACTTTATGCTCAATGTTCATCTGTTGTCCCTTGTCTAAGTGTACTTTAATCAGCTGCTTGCCGTCAGACTTTATACGGATCCGCTTGCCGACGATCTCAGCAGGGAAGACCATGTCTTCCAAGATACCGTCATATACGGCAGTCAGAGTACGGCTAAAGCGTAAATTGTAAATGAGTAAACACAGTAATTTTAAAACCTTCGACTGTCTGTTTATCATTTATACCTCCTCGGCCTTTTCTGCTTGCTCTGAGTCCTAGTCTTCCTCGTCGGCTTGGGCAGGATTTTCCTATCGCCGACAAATATGACGTGCTTCCCGGAAAATTTCTTCTCAAGCTCTCTAACAAGCCTCACTTGGATCTTCTGGAAATTTTTAAGCTGGGGCATCGGGACGTAGATGATAATTGACTAGAAAAACAAAATTGAGTAAAAAACAACTGATCACTAAAACTAAAAAAAGCAACTAAAACTAGCTTAATTAACCTATTTTATTAGTATAAAATACAAACTATAAAATTTTTATAACTTATGTAATCACTGTTTTTATTTCACTTGACTTACGTAATAAATATATATTTCTTTAGAATTCCTGCGGTTTTAATAGATACTTGTAGAATCTTATTTAAATTAACTGTTTCAAATCAAATTATTGTAGTGTAATATTAAAACGACCACAATGGTAAGGATTTGAACTTTTGATATCTGTCCTGTTTACTAACTTGTATTTATTAAAATGACAAGTGAACAATAAGGACAGGTTTAGGGATTAAAATACAATAAAAGTAATTTATTTTGCTAAAATAACGCTTTGATTTTTTTCTGTTTTCAAATCAAATTATTGCAGGATTATAATTAAAAGACCCACAATGGTAAGGATTTGAACTTTCACTTTATGTCCTCTTTACTAACTTGCATTCAGACAAAATGGCAAGTGAACAATTAGGACAAATTTGTGAGCTTGCACAATTTTGAAGAATTGGTTGAAAGTTGGTTCCTGGGGTCAGAATATACACTGACTAAAAAACTATGCGATTCTGGTGAACTGCAGGAATATTGATCAAAAATTTTCCTTACCACCTTACCTTTTCACCTTTAAAAATCACGATGTTGAATTATTACCATAAATAGATGTTCAATTTATTGTAAAATATTAGGAAAGCATTTATTAACCAAATGTAAAATACAATATGTTTTATTAACAATTATGTGGCTGAAATAGTTCTTAATTTGAAGTACTGTTTTCTTCCTTCTTTGAATATTTTTCTAATCTCTGTCTCAAATCATAATGGTCACAGTTTAATTTTTATAAACTGAGCTGGTAATGATTCGAATTTTGATTTTTGTCCGTTCATTCAAACATTGCTCATTGAAGGAACACGAATGAACGCTCGGACAGCACAAGCAATCATTTTAACTGTTTTACCTTCTGTAGAATTATTATAAATATTAAAATGTTATATAATGAATTAAAATTATATCTTTTTTTTTAGTTCCCAAAAACATAGGTGACAGGTCTGTAAATCTATTAGTATTATTGGGAGGGGGAACAAAAACTATTCATTTACTTAAAATATCAATTTTGATTATGGGCACTGAAGGGTTAATATTAGAACATACTCGTAAGTACACAATAATTAAATGCCATGTTGCAAAATCAAGTTTGGGGGCTTTGTCAATTTGCTCAAACCCCACATAATATGATTTGCATTTATATCTGTCCAAAATAAACTTGAACTTCATGGATGAAAAGTACAAGTGAACAGTGGACATTCTGATTTAAAAACAATTCAAATTTAAGTTTTTTTTATAAATAATTTCAATCAATAGATGGGCATATATTTATGCAGGTTTGCATTAAGAAAAGCAAATAATTACTCTTATCCTTCCCTATATTTGTACTTAAGACTTAAAGTTAATGTTGCAGAATCCTGTTTTGAATTTAGATAAATTTCGAAACCCACAGAATACCAGGATTTGCATTTATATCTGTCCAAAATAAACTTGAAATTTATTTATGAAAAAACAAGTGAACAGTGGACAAGATGTGTCATTCATATGTCAAGACTGATCATATTTCTTTACTTTTAATGTATACCTAATTATAATCACATTTTTATAATAGTGAAATCCAGTGCAATTCACAATACAATGAATATATTTAACAGTTTAACTTTTAACCAAATTTTTATATTTATTCCTGTCTCAAACCTTAATGATCACAGTTAAATTTTGCCAACTGTGATGGTAATGATTTGAATTTAATTTTCGTCCAAAAATTCAACTTGTTCTCATTGTTTAGAACAATATGCCTACCTATTTGGACGGAAACATTAAATCATTCATATTCTCAAGTAAATGTGAACTGAATCTGTTTTGACTTTTAACATACAATTAATGGAAACAAAAATTATAGGTCATTATACAACTCAAGTTCATATAAGGAATAAATTGAGCCAACGTATGACCAATAAATTTAATGTTGCAAAAAGAATCCTGTTTGGATTTTTCCAAATCCATAAATAACAGGTTTTGCATGTTTAGGTTGTACATTAAGAACTCGAACTTTATGCATGAAAAACAATACCTTTTGGCTATGAAAGTCAACAATCCCCACCACTCTTTGTTAAATAATTTTTGTTTTTTTGTTTGTTTATTTATTGTTGTTATTAACCAACATTTTTACAAAATAGAAAAAAAAAGCACAAAATAAAACATACAAATAATTGGATAAACCGAGGCAAGAATAAAGACTAAAGTACCAGCATTGCAAAAATTTCAAACATAAAAAATAGGATCTACATTTATTACGTTTGTACTTAATTGATAAAATTACAATCACCTTTTTGCCACTAAGGTCGATCTCTTTCGCCTTGGTCATGTGGAGCTCCCTGAGGTGCTCCTTGAACTCGGAGTTAGTTTCAAGATCTTGCAGTGCCTGTGCAATTGAAGTCTCAATCGAGTCGGGCTCTGCATCCCCCGCTTTGCGGATCTTATTTGAGAGAACAACCATCTCTGGAGACATAATTGAATTACAATATGTTTAAATAACTTGAGAAAATATGCAATTATTCTTAAATGAAATGGCTTAAAAGCACAATCATTCATTGTTCATAAAGATAATTAATTCCAAAGGGGAATATTTTAAAGATACATAGAAGAAATGGGGAAAGGTCCTGAAAAGAAAGAAGGGGTGGAAAGAGCCTGTAGGATTTGGTTTCGCCTGAGATGCTGTTGGAAATGTTAGTAGGTTATTTTAATACATGTATAAAAGCGGGATTGTCCTAGACTACTTTAAAAGTTCCATTATTTTCCCAATTCATAAGAAAGGTTCATATAATGATGCTAATAATTGTAGGGAACTCCCTTTTCGAATACTGAGGGCAAACTTTTCACAGGTTTGTTACTTGATCGTTTAAACATATGTGGGTGGAACAGCAGGATTTTCTTGAATTTCAGGCACAATTCTTAAAGTCTTTCTCTCCTAAACATGAAATTATCTACAAATAATTGTAAATATTATATTTCCATGTCAAAAAAACACACACAATTTTGAGTCAATTATTCCTTTCAAATTGCAAATTAAACTAAACTAAACTGAAAGAAATGAGGGTTCTAATAAGGAAAAAAGTTAATGGAACCCCAGAAACCCAGCGTGCAGATTCAGTTAAAATAATCCAAAATAAATTGGGGTTCTGATATAAAAATGCAAAGAGAAACGAGGCAAACATATGTGACTGGGCAACTTGGCCAAGGAGCCTGCTCATAGTATGCTTCATCACCCTGTGTTCACTAAACACAATATTACATCACAAAGAATTGTAAATATTACATTTTATAGCATAGTTTTCTATCTGTAAAATTTTGTGTCCTTTCCACGCCAAAAAACGGACACAATTTCACGTCAATTGTTGCTTTAAAGTTTATGGCTTACTCATCATTTACCATACTGTGAATGCTACACTGATATACAAACTAATGTGCTGTATGTACCATTTTGTACCCTTTCCATTTAAGAAAACACACACGTCAATTATTGCTTTAAAGTTGAAAATAAATTAAAATAAAATAAAGTGATGGATATGCCTGCGGCAACTGATCACTGATCAGCCTTACACCCCATCAACAATCCATATGCAATGTAGCTTAAATAAAAGGCTTTTTAAAAACAGAATTGGTCTCTAAAACGCGAAAATAATGTAAACTTATGAGGTTTTTAGAAAACAGTTAAATTCTCCAGGCTATTCTTGCCCTAAACCCTAAAAGCCTGCCTATCGGGCAAAAGGGAATTTAAACTCAAGCACAAAATGCAAAATAACTTTTATTAAAAAAAAAGCTTTTATATTCAATAAATCAGGTATCAATATTTTTATATAATATGATTAATTAATACTAAAAAGGAGGGATAATGTATAAAATAATTAACGAATGATTGGTTGTCGCTTCTAGGTTAAAACGCGTGACATTAATGTTTATTCCTTTAGATATTTGACTTTTGAAATCAAATCCGGTTTGTAAAACGTGCCGAGTACGAAAAATTACTGTAAATATTATTAAAAAAGGTGAGAAATTGTAAAATATTCCAGGCCCTTACCTGTTTTTCCTCGGAAAACTGTAATGGCTCGATTCGCTAACACGTGCCGCGTTGTTGAAAAAGGAGAGACGGGTGGCAGCCGCAAAGGCGAGGCGAGCGGCGATTGAAAGGATTTCCAAAGGACGTCCGCTTTATGACGTCATCGAAGTACACCGATTATCCAATTTGGAATTGAAATGAATTTAAAATGTATTCAACTGCAATAACAAACTTAAAAAACAGAACGTGTGAAAAATTAATAATAAAAATTTGAAGTAAATTAAGCATTAAAACAATAGGTTTTATGAAAACGTTTTGTTCTCACGAATAATCCGGATCTGATTATGGACTGGATGAAAAAATAAATTCAATTATCTACCGAACTGTCGACCTATTTTAAGGCCATCATCAGGGCAAAATAATCTTAAAGATGTCTAAAAATTGACTTAAGTTTTTAATGCATGAATGGACTGTGATGGTCCTTAGCAATGTTGGGACTGAATCAATTTTTAAGAAAATTTGAAAACATTTATTTTCGTTCTGTTCTGATTACCTTAAAATGGGTCAAAAGCAGATGACAATTTAATTTATTTTTTTACCCAGACCATACCGATATCCTGAATATTTGTGACTAAGAGAGGGGTTGATACATCTAACACTTTAAACAGAAATTTTCACTCTGTAACAAAGAAGTTTTAGCCAAATCTTTTCACTAATTCCATGTTAATCTGTTATTATTTTAATTTTTTTAAATTTACATCATTTGTTTTAGAGTGTTTTAGCATTTTTTCACTTATATGTTACTAATAAACTAATTTGGTTTTTACCAGGTAAAATTATTAATTTATATAATTATTTTTTGGGTTTTCTGTTGTTTTGGGTGTTTGTTCACTTATATTTTACTAATAAAATGTTTTTGGGTTATGCAATGTAAATGTAATTTATATATTGTTATTTTAGCATTTTCTAGCAATTTTTTCAACATATTTTACTGATAAACTGGTTTTCTTTTATACCAGGTAAGATTATTAATTTTTATAATTATTTTTTAGAGTTTTCTAGCAGTTTCTTCACCCATATTACTAATATACTGGTTTGGTTTTATACCAGGAAAAATTATTATTTATATAATTATTTTTAGTTTTCTAGCTGTTTGTTCGCCTATATTTTCCATTTACATGGTGTATAATACTTTGTTTTACTTACTTAACTGTGTTTAATTGTTTTGCACTACATAAATAATAAAGTGTATTATTATTACTCAAACCTGCGAGTGAAGAAGGACCCAATAAGTGCCGGGTGAGTTCACCCAGCATACAATCGTAGATATGTGATTAATGCTTAGTATATATCTGATTTTTTTAAAATCTAGGGTTCGCAACAGCAGAGGTCGCATCAACCCTTGGGGTGCTGATAAAAAAACAAAACAAAAAAACATTTGTATGTCAGGTTTGAATGCAGGGCTGCTGGATTCGAACTCGGGACCTTTACCTTACAGTGAAGAGGGCCGTGTTGACCGATTGCGGCCACCAACTGAATCATCGAATGACCATGATGCATGCTAACCGTGGGATATTTACTAAAGGAGGGATATTTTTTTTTGACAACGTTTCTGTAACCGCAGAAAAGTTGTTATTTCTGTTAGGTCCATGCTAAATATGTTCTTAGTGGTTTTCAGTGGATTTTATTGAGATGTCTGTCGGGTGGTGGAGAGCCGTCTGCAAGGCGAGGTCTTGGCATGCCCAGGATCGCCGTTCCTATGCGATGAAGTCCATAATTCCCATAAAATGGAATCGCCCTGAGAAAATCCCCTCATTCAAACCGGCCAAAAGCGGTGACCTGGAACCCCTGAGGGAAGTGGACAAAAAACTCCCCGTCATAGAATTCAGGGACTCCGAGGAGCTGAAGACGTGAGTGCAATCCTGCTACCGTCCTAACTCAACCTTGCTACAATCATCGATGAGATGGCTTATCCATCTTATCAATATAACATTGGATTTACAGTTGACTCAAGAAAAGACTTGTGTATGAAAAACCACAGGGCACAGTAGCTTTAATCATCCTTATTCATTAGTCTAATTTACTATCTCTAGCCTCGGATGCACATGGATGCAGTACGTCTTGACAGGAACCAAACCGAATTGTGATTGATTTCTACTCCCTAGATCTGCACCATTTTAAAAATGTTTTGAGAAGAGAAACCAACAGTGCACAAGCTTTATTTCTTTATTTTTGTTTAGTTCATAAAATAGGTATGCCACAGGGTGGTAGCAAATTGAGCCGATCTCACCGCTACCTGACATGGTAGCCCCACCAGCCTTAATCCCTGGTGTGATGCCAAAGAGAACTGAGTTGGGCAATGATCATGTAAATAGAGGTGGGTAAATAAACCCGGCTGAGTCTAAGGACAGGGCAAAGATGTCAAACCATCGATGTTCGATGTTATTATATTCATTCAGACATTCATTATATATTACATTGAAACCCTCTCAACATGATCACAATCGTGACACATCTACACTGAAAACACACACTTTGACATAACAAAGATCGAAAAGTTGGCACGATAAAGAAAATGTTTTTCTAAACCTACATCATACCAGACCTTATCTCACGATCTCTAAATAATCTTTTTTATATTTATTTTTAAAGGCGTGTGAGTGCGAAATGTACAGGGCGTTCGGCTACTCGTGTTACAAACTTTGCCAGTACATTCTACATTCAAAATTGAACCAAAAAGGTCCTAATTAACTACAGTCCTAATCTTAACAGTTTAGGGTAATTCCCCTTCGTCTGATTTTTTAAAATTTCATGACCTTGTTGCATATAAACAATGATAACTCCAAAAGTAAAAAGTTTTGGAGTAATCCGTTGACACCATTGAAAACTACGTTAAATTTCCAATAAAATTTGTTCGATTCTAAAATTGTAAACGCTGGTGAAATAAGCGTTTTAGTAGCCTGAACTTTGAAAAATAATTTTTTTTAAAATGTGTGGTGATTAGTGACTGTTTGTCAATGATGATTCAGAAATTGTGAGATGCGATCTGGTGTGATATAAGTTTCAGAAAAACATTTTCTTTATCATGCCAACGTTTCGATTTTTATTGAGATCATCTTCAGGGCCTGGGATTTACAAACATTGTTTAAATTTAACAAAAACATGTAGGATGTGGAAAAAAGTGAATTTATACAATGCAAATAAATATTTTTTTTTATAAAGTATTTCTACTCACGCAAAGTGTTTGTTTTCTGCGTCAATGGCACTCTCAACACTCAAGAATGGCACAATTAAACAGAAAACAAACACTTTGAGTGAGTAGAAATACTTTGATTGAATATTAAAAAAATATTTATTTGCATTGTATAAATTCACTTTTTTCCACATCCTACATGTTTTTGTTAAATTTAAACAATGTTTGTAAATCCCAGGCCCTGAAGATGATCACAATAAAGATCGTAACGTTGGCATGATAAAGAAAATATTTTTTTGAAAGTTGAAAAACTTACTATGGTGATTTTAAACTACTATTAACAAACCTAGAGACCGCCGAATTTCAGAAAACGTACTTCATTTAATACCCTTTTTAGTGGTGAAATTGCTTTTTTAATTACTTTTTTCAAAGATGAAGAAATTGATAAAGGAAAGGAAAAACGTTTAATAAATTCGTTCAATTTTTAAAAAAAATCTTTTCACCTTACCAATCCTTCAACTACGGTTTTTTCCTTTCCTTACATCCCCTCTTACAGTTGGTTATTTATGCAATGGGGTGCAGAATAGACTGTGAATCGTCTTGCAGGACGCAAAGAGATTCTGGGCTATGAACTAGCCGACAAACTGCCCAGAAGAGGATCTGCAAGAACACCTATAATCCCAGAACCTATACTTGGGATTACAAGATCAATCATCTCAGAACGGGTCCCCAAAAAACATGTGGGGGATGTGGACAAACACCAGAGGTGCCAGACAATAACACACAGAATAAGTGGTATAAGGATCAGATATCCTGATTGAAAGGGTAGTGATGAACCTGTAGCTTGGTCATTACCGATCATCCTGATTCATCTCTCTTCTAACAGATGATGGGTAGGCAGATATTTGGAAATGACTGTCTAGAAGTTCATCATCCTATGCATATATCATTCAACAATTTTTACACCAAAAAGCTTTTTTAAAAATACTTTCTATGCATTTTATACTATTATGATTATTTTATTTTTCATTTGTTTCAGAGCTAATGATCTTGTAAAAAGGCTGTTTAGTTTAGAGTTTGCTCCTTATAAAAAAACAGTCGAACACTTCAGGGAAGAGTATCTGAAAGAAGTGAGACGCCACAATTTAGACACGATGTCTCCAGAAGTGAGAGGTAAAAATAAATACAAATATGATTTAAACTGTTGATTCATCATGAAATTTTAATTATAGTGGCGAAAATGACTGCTAATATAAGGGACATGCAAAAGTATGTGGAACTAAGGCCTCATGACAAAAGGACAAAAGTCAGATTGAAAGAATTGGTCGACAAGAGAAAGAGCCTGCTTAAAGAAATTCGCCAAATCGATTATAAACTTTTTGAGTGGTTGCTCGAAAAAATGAACATTCAGTATAAATCATTTCCTGACCCGTAAGTGTACAAAACAATATTTAAAATATCTTTAGTAGATGTATTTAGATGTATTAGTTGGGGTGTGATATATTGAGTGCTGTTGTATCTCCCATTCTGTGCTTATAGCACACAGATGAGTCCTGGTTCATCAAGGGTCTTGATTATTTAGGCCCAGTTCCAGCAGTTCAATCTCTTCTACAGTTAAATAATATGTCCCAAAACACTTCCTCCTGTGGGCAAGTGTAGCACCACAGTTTGTTAGTAGGTGTGTTGGTGTATCCTCTGCTTTTTTTGGCAGAATGTGCATTTGCCAAGTTGGGTTATGCCAGTCTTCTTCATATGTCCATTTAATTTGCAGTGTTGTCCTGTTAGGATTCACAGTTTTTCCTGCTTCCTTTAATGCATTCTGTTACCTCTTTTACTTTCAACGCTTGTTAGGAGGTTCTCGGATTTTTTGTGTCCAATGAGTAAGCTCCATTGTTACCTCATTTTCTTTTTATGCTTCTGTCTGAGGTGGTCATTGATAGTGTGAATTCCTATGCCACAGAAGGTCTCGAGTCCATCAGCAGTATGGCCCTTTTCTTGCAAGGGTATCTGCTTTCACATTGCCTCCTACTCCCACAGGTCATGGGGCTCAGCAATTTTGTAATTTAGCACCATTTTTGAGCTAATGATGTTTGAACTTAGCACTTTGAAAGCTACTTGGTTATCTGACATGATAGCTATATTCTTGTTTTTGACCTCAGCTTGGAAGACACTGGTGTATTTAGTTTTTGGCTCCAGGAACGAATACTCATGCCTCCATAAGTTCTTACATTTTAGATCCATCTGCGTACCAGTAGATAGTGGTACATTTTTACATTTTTTACATTTTTCAAGGAGGTGTTTTTCTCTCTTTCCCATTCTTTCTTGGTACCTAAGTTTATTTAGAAATTGTGATTAAACTCAAACTTCCTGTTCATATAATCTCTTGGGGCCATGAGTATCGGTTTTTTAATAGATTGTTACTATCTTTTCATTTTCCTGGAGCAGCTAGGGAACTAAACAGTCCCAAAGGAGCATGATGAAGTAAGGCTAAATACTCTGAGGTCGCCCGACATCATTCAGCACAGTTTTCATAATATCTTTGATTAGAGCAGATGCTGTTTTTTGTCTAAGCTCTATATGGGAACGAGTGGATGCTGACGGGAGGCAGGACTAATGGGTTGTGTGGTTGGTTGGAGTTTGTTAGTAAGGAATGATTGGAGAAATGGGTTAGGCCACTAAAGCACCTTTAGTCTATTGTACAGTACCATGACGGTCAAGTTGTGAACCATCCCGTCAGCCTGTGACAAGCATTTTCCAGGGTTCACTACTAAGAAGGGGGGTTAGTTTTTGAATCCTAATACATACAGTAATGTTATAATATGTTTTTAGAGATGAATACTTGAGAGTCGAGAGGAAAAGATCGATACGGTTGCTCACAGAAAAGCATTGTGAAAATATAGTCAAATCCAAACTCGACGAGTACCAAGATTCTCTCAAAGCGGAACAAATAGGTTTTCTCGAAGAGAAAATCAAAACATTGAAGTGGATCATGAAAGAAGAGGCTGAATGCAACGTGCCACCAACTGTGACAGAGGAAGATGTCAGAAACACGGAAAAACAATTGGAAGAATTAAAGAAAACCAAGGAAAAAGAAGTCAAAAATGAATTAGACCTTGATGCCTAATTTTTGCTGATTGTATTTGATTGTAGTTGAAAATATATTTGTTTGATTACTTTCTATTTTTAAAAAATTACATTTCCTTCTTGTATATCATTACAATCTGGTCATTCAAGATTTGAAATAACACATTCCAATAAATTAGGAACAACAGAACAAATTTAAAATGAATTAGAAGTATAAGAAAATTTAAGTGCTTTATTTTTTAAAAAAATTTATCACCCTCAATACCAGACAAAACAAGATGAATCAATACACTTAAGTTTATTTACTTGCTGATCCTTTTTAAAAAAGGAAAAAATAAACAATAAGTTTATCCCAGTGCAATATTTTCTTGTTGGCAGCCAGTCTAGGAATGAATTTTTAGATTAATAGATTAATAATATAGTTACCCTGGAGTGCTGATTGAAATACTAAACTGCTCAAAAACAACTAGAGATATTTGAAATTTATTCTTATTCTATTAATTTTAATTAAATTAACCGATGTATTTTTGTTACAATATTATTATGAGAATGAGTCATTGAGGTCACTGGCAAAATTGGCTTTAGCCTGATTCCAATAGACTGGAAGTGCCAATAAGACGCTTGGTAGTGGATCTCAGCGCATTCCGATGCTAAGATAGGACATAAATATTGTCATTGCTGCAAGAAGGAATCCTTTCCATAGTGCCCGCTAGATCCTAAATGAAGTAAAAGTTTTGGCAATGCCTTTATCAACACAAACGATTCGTAATGATTTGTGGGAAGCTAAACATTGTATGTTCTCTATAGTGATAGCAGGTGCCGAAGAGTAACGAGACCAGGGGGATGCGTACAATGCCCCAGTTCGTATTCCTTCAGTCAGCTTGGAGGAGGTGGTGTAATGATCTAGGCTGGGATTTACACTGGAGGATGAACTGGACTCCATATTATTGACGGCAAACTGCAGTCCGTTATGTCCAAGAAATACATCTCTCAAATCAGGGATCTCATTGTCAGGCATTTTCGATTTCTGGATGACAATGCCAGACTTCATAGAGGCAGAGACGTTCATCATTGTTTAGAAAACCTGGTAGTTTTCCATCTGCCTCTCCAGTCTTCAATCCCATGTAGGATGCATTTCAGAGAAGACTTTTCGATCACCATCCAAAGTCAGTTGATCTGCAACAACTGAGTGCAACATTGCAACATCTATGGAGTGAAATTCCTTATGAAATGAATGAATATAAATATGAATAATATATTAACAGCATGCCTAACAGGCGCACAGAGATTTTACCAAAGGATTATACACAGTATTAATTGTTTAAAAAAATTATTCTCCAACAAATATCTCCTTTATATGCTCAAGATGTGAAAAAATTAGAGCAAGTGCAAAATAAGTTTTTAAGATTTGTAAGCTTTAAATTTTACATTACTAGGGATCCTCATTGCTGTACACTGATCTTGTTATTTATGAATGTAGTGACACTAGAACAACGGCGAAATATGTCAGATCTTTTATTTTTGTATAAATTGTTAAATAACTGTTTAGATTGCCCTAATTTATTATCTAGTGTAAATTTTAAAGTTCCTAGTTTTAATTCTAGAATCAAGTCTATTTTCTATGTTCCTAATCTTAGTAATAATTATAGAAAAAAACCAAGCTGTGATAAGAACTGTTATGAGCAAATAAATTAGATTTAGTGATTTAACTATTGATTGGTTCTGTTACAGTATACGCCAAATCAAAAAATTGTTCTTGGATATTTGTATAGTGAAAACAATTGTACTTACGTCTAACTTATGGGCTGTACTCGTTAACTACAATAAATAAATAAATTTATGGAATTAAAACCTTTTATTTAAAAATTTTTCAAAATACCTTAATTAAATTTTCCTTCAGTAAAGAACATAACAATTTCTAATAAATTTTAATGCAATTTATAATAAAAATAAAATAATAATGCTAGGGAAAATAAATACTACAATAATAACCCTATTCATTTTTGAGCAGTTTAGGAAGAACACCTGCAATCTAGCATTGCAATTTCATAGTGTCCATAAATTTGATTTAAAAAGTCTAAAAAAAAACCATATATGCGCATACTTCTAATATGTATATTTTATACCAAAAAACTCGGTATTAAAGGTGACTAAAACATATTTTTGTATTTTTATTTGTTTTGGAATTTTCTGTTCTTTTCTCAATTATTGTTTTATATCTTATTTTTACAATCAAACCTATTTTTGGTATGCAAAATATGAATAAACCTAAATACATTAAAATTTAAGGGTGGTACATTTAATTTGACCATCAGTGTGTGTGTGTGTGTGTGTGTGTGTGTGTCTGTCCGTCCGTCTGTTTGTCTGTCCGTCTGCCTGTCTGTGTTTTCCTCATACCAGTATCCCTGGAATGAGGGAGTTTATTGTTGATTTATTTACATACTTCCATTCCAGTGATTATATGTATTTCTTCTACAAAATTATCTATATTTATATATTTCCTATTAGCTGTTTACATACATTTATTTCTCTGACAAAACAAGATAGTGAATTTATAGTAAATTAAAATCTATATTGTTGAGAAATTTGCACGAATACTTCATATATTTTTTTTCAACCATTGATTCTTCTTCAGAGGCCAAGATCCCTCTGAATCAAGGGTGATTCCTTGTATTAGAATGCTTCTTTCGATGTCATACATTGGGCAGGAGAAAACGATGTGATCCCAGTCTTGAATCTCGATATGTGTGTGTGTAAATTGTTGGATGTATAAAAATTGAACAAGCCATCTATGAGATGTAAGAGAAAGGAGGTGAGGAAAAACTTTTTTAAAACTTTATTTATTTGTATCTGTAACTATACATGTTTCATATATAACCAGCAGATTGGATGGTCATAATCTTTTCAGACGTTTACATGGTAATGGTGGGGAATGGAGTAATTGTATTTGTGTATTAGTGTGATTTTGTAATTTACTATGAAAGCGTCTGAAATATGTTTTGATTGGTGAAAAAAAAAAGTTACAATCTCTGTGAAGAGTGTTATCGTTTACGTAAAAAGGGGCAGAAACAGTCTTAAAATTTTGGATTGAAAACTATTTAATCTTCGAATATTGGAATATTTGGACGATCCTTAAGCTTGGCATTAAATTACGTGCATCCAAATAGGTTTGAGTAGGTATGTGTATGTTGAAAGTTTTGATTTTAATGATGATTTTGATTATTGGTTGAGTAGGTAATAAAGCATTTTAAATCATTTGTTGAGTGTCTGTTTTTTAAATTGTGGTCTCCGAGTTAGTATTCTATCAAATGTAAATCCTAAATCGTTAACTTTGTCGGATTAAGGAACAGGTACATTTTACATGAATATCCTAGGACAAGTCTCACGGCAGAATGTAAAAGTGATATGTTGTGACTTTGAGGGGTTAAACTTTATTTTCCAAAGATTGCTTCATTTTTCAATTGTTGGAATATGGTTTTGTAATGTAAGTGAAACTTGTGTAGAAGAGGGATGACTTGTTAATATGGTGGGGTCATCAGCATATGTGGCGTTAAGGGTCTCATTTGTGGGCGTATCAGAGGTAAAAAAAAGAAACAGCAGCGGAGAAAGTATTGTTCCTTGAGGCACACCTGCAAGAAGCACTTCCTCCACCTCAGAAGCCTCTGTACCCTGTTTACTGTGAAAAATCTCTCCTTAAGATATAATTAGATAAAAGGCTTGGGGTAAAAATAATTCCATTTTTACATATTAAAAAATAATATGTATTAAATCCATTTTGATTGACCAAATTACTTCTTTCAATTAATTATTTTTTGTATGTAAGGTCTTGGTTGAAATGAAAAAGTTAGAGCAGCGGCGTATTGAGCCGAAGATCGTGGGTTCGAATCCCGCTCGTGACACTAATTTTTTCACTTCAACCAAGACCTTACATACAAAGAATATTTAATATGTATAATAATTCCTCATGCCATATTTTATCGAAGGCCTGAGAAACATCTAGAATCACGGTTCTAGAAGTACAGTTTCTACTCGAGACATGAAGTAATGAAATTTGTAACTGTGAAGATGATGAGTTGTGAAGCCAAACTGTCTGGTATGATGTTTGAAGAAGCGAAGGAGAGAATTCTTTTGTAAATTAATTTTTCGAATAATTTAGAAGGAAACTAATAGGACGATATGATGATGGGGAGCTTAAATTTTTACGGGGCGTTAGGACCAAAAGTTTCCATTGTGTGGGAAAGTGTGTAGTTCTCAAAATTGCTTTAAATAAAAAAGTCAGAAAGGCGACGGCTTTTTTTTGGAAGGTTCTTGAAGGAACTGAAAAAAACTGAAATTTTATTTTATTATTTTACCACTTAGTACGGTTCGAAACTTAAAAACGTTGGATGGAAGAAAATCAAATTTTTACGAGATATAAGAGGAAAAGCGGGTTAAATTTGAATTTTTTGACTACTTTACCATTTAGTTCGGTTCAAAACTAACGGAAAGACGTTGGATGTATGAAAAAATCTTTGGGGAAAAAAGTGGACAAAGATTTCTGCTTTTACGGACTTAGGGCCACAATCTCAAGTTCGACCGGTTTTCCTGTCGCAGAAATTCCTCTTTGAAAATGCCAGAGATAAGTCCAAGCTGTGCTGCTTTAAAAACACCGAAATAGTCCAAAATAATCCAGTATGTTTGGTTAAAAAAAGCAATGTGAGAATTTCTTTATTTGTTGGTCAGAGTCTATCCAAGGGGATATCCAATGGTACAGATACGATTTTTGAATGAAATGATCCAAATTGCCAAAATGGGTAGACAAATTCTCAAATCTTTCAAGATTTTCCAAATTTGAGGTAAAAACGTCACACCCCACAATACTCTAAGATGATTTAATCGGAATGACATCAAAAGGATTACATATTAGAAGTTAATGGTTGGTTGGTGCTTCAAATTCGCCGGGAAGCGTTACCCAGGAGGGTCGATCATGCCTGAAACGGCTATCCGTCATGCTATAACACATTTTGACAATTGCTCAATTCCAGTCGTCTATAAAAGACCGGTTTTTCCATTCTGCTGGTTCATTAAACAAGGAGCTTTATCCGGCACAAAACCGTCATGAGCTTTAGAAAGATTGTCTTTATTTTCGAGGTTTTTCTTTTTTCTTTTTTTTTTAAACTTGCAAAAGTAAATTTTTGTAATATCTTTTGTCTAATGTACTAGGTGTTTTTCTCCTGTTTAATGGTCTGTTCGGCCCAAGAAAGCTACCACTACAGCCACTTTTCTGGGCCCGTTTCAGGATCCGTCAGTGAGATTTCCGTGCCCAAATCTCTCGAGTTGTACGGAACCGACCGGTCCTATTACAACCCGAATGACATGTCTTTCGATTACGTGGTGAGTATTTGACAATAACATTTATTTAAATAATTACAAGACTGTTTGGGGGTGACCTAATTAAAATTTTTGCCCATTGGCCGCTAGAAAAATTAAACATTTGGAAAAAAACAACATGCAAGCAGCGTGAAATTTTTTCCCATTTGTCGCAACAAATACCAAGTCTTATTTATATAAAATCCATTGTGGTTAACAGGATAATTTCGAATCAACCTGGTATAAAATCCCCCCACCCTGAATTTAAATGGCAAAATTTCATACATTTTTTTAACGAAATAAATTAGAAATGTCATACCTAGAGATGTTTTGACTGTTCATCTCGGAAGTTTGATCCTCAGGGTTAAAAACGCCGATTAATGATCAATCTAATTAAAGAAACTAAAGTGGGTTTCCAGTCGAATGAAATCTTTGGGAGACGATAGGAAAATCGAGTGTGACTTTTTACTTCAAAATTTAAAAAAAAATCTAGAAAGACTTGGTAAGTTTTCTATCCAGCTTGGCAATTTGGATAATTTCCCTTACAGACAAATAGACAAATTCTCACATTTTTTTTAAACAAACCCAGTGAATTATTTTGGACTATTTGGGTATTTTCTAAAATCTAAAGCAATACTGCTTGGACTTTTGACTCTGGAATTCTTAAGGAGGAATTTCTGCCGAAAGGAAAACCGGTCGAGCTTGCGATTGGGGCTCTAAGTCCTTAAAAACAGAAATCTTTGTCTTTGTCCCCCCCCCCCCAAAGATTAAGTTTTTAACTATGAGCTTAATAATTAATTAACTCATTATAAAATTCTCCTTTGCGTTTAAATCTTGACTTAAAAAATTAATCACCTTGTTTTCGATTTATGCCCCAGTGTACACGCTACTTCCATTGTAAGATAAAATTGAAAATGGCCGAGGCATATTCTTAATTATTCATAAAATAAAACATACTAAACACTTTAATACATGTTCCTGTTGGAAAAAGAACCAATCTGGTTTGTTTGGGTAAGTCTAAGAAAATATATTTTCCTTTATTCATCGGCTTTGTTTTCTTCACAGTCCTCAATTAAAGTACTTAGAAGTTTTGCTTCACAGCTGTTTTGCTTTTATAGATGAATAGTTTTTTTTAGGAAGAAAAATAAGTATCTTTGCTGAATTTAAATATTTCTTTTCAATCCAATCTTCTGGATTTGTGTCCCGTCCTAGGCTATTCTTGCTTCTTCTGTGCGCCTTAAAAGACGTTTTAGTGAAATTTTTCAAATGTCTTTTTCGTTAGTTATCTGTCTTAACAGTTGAATTACCGTAGTAAATTCTAAAGATATAAGCTGCAGTTTGTTGGTGTATGCATATTTTTATTTACACCACTTAAATTCGACTTTATTTTAAAGCCATTACATTTCGTGGTCCGATTGATAAAATAACTTCTTTCAATTAATTAATCTTTATGTAAGGTATTGGTTGACTTATGATTTTTTCCTTCTTGAAGGTCGGATAGTAGGTCATCTCAAAAAAAACCACAATCAGTTTTTATCCACAATGTTTCGGATTTATTTTAATCCTTCCTCATGTGAGTTAACGCAATGGTTAAAACAGTGGTCGTCAGTCATTAATATTTTATAACAGTTTATTTTAAAAAAGAGCCAGTATGGTAAATATTAAGACTCCGAACAAACGTTTTAATATTTTGAACCTGACTGGTTATTGGTTGAGAGAAAAAAATTCAGCGTCACGAGCAGGATTCGAACCCACGACCTTCGGCTAAACGCCGCTGCTCTACCACTTGAGCTATCGTGACTTCGATCCATTCGGACACAGGTTTATTTATTTTTTTATATATTAAATTTTTAAGTGCCTTTGCCATATCTGCACTGTATTAAACATTTTCATTTAAATTACTATTGTTGTTTACAAATTAATACTTTATTTTTAGGGCTAATTTTATCCACCATTACTACTGTAAACAAACATGCAATATTAAATATAAATTGTATAAAAAATGGAATAATTCTTAAAAGAAGACTGCTGGATTGCGATCAGGACGTGTTTGTCCAGTTTCTGTCTTCAGCGAGGAAGAACAACAAATTCTCGCTCAATTTTTGATGACCTCATGTCCTGGACTTAATGTTTTTTTTTAAACTGCATTCGCTTCCACCAATTCCTGAGATTTCAGGAGTCTTGATTTTAATTCGTCAAAATTAAATAGAAAATATCCCAGATTTTCTTATCCCGAAGAAAAAAAATTCAGGTTCTGCCACTGGCTTGGTAGGAAATCGATAAATTTCTCATAAATTCCTGAAATCTGGGATCTTACTTTCTTGATTTTATTAATTCTTTGAACTTTTGGGTTTGTGTCTTGTTGTAATTCTTAGTTGTTTAATAGTTTATCTTGTTTATTGAAGTTTTTGTAGTAAATATTTTTTTTAGTAGTTACTGGTGAATTTCTGAAATAATTTGTAAAGATAATAAGCTAGTATTTACTAACAAATTGCCAAAAATTGCCTATATTTTCTTAAACTGCAGAAGAAAATCTAGCTTCTGCCACGGGCACGATATGAAATCTATTAATTCCCACGAATTCATGAAACCAGAGATCTTAAGTGTCTCGATTTTATTTCCTTAAAAATCAATCGAAAAATTTCACATATTTAATTATGTTAATTGAAGAAAATCCACCAATTTGCTTCAATTCTCGAATTCTGGGATTTCACATGACTTTAGATGTAACTCCGTGGACCCAAACCGAAAGTTGATATTCAGAAATTGTGAGATGCGGTCTGGTGAGATGTAGGTTTCAGAAAAACAAACATTGTTTACATTATACACAAATCCAGGCCCTGAAGATGATCTCAATAAAGATCGAAACGTTAGCACGATAAAGAAAATGTTTTGACAAACGGTCACTATTCACCACACATACCCCAATCGAAAAGGTTTTTTCCACATTTTCCTATCCAGAGGAAGAACATTCCATTCTGATTCTCAGATTCGGTTATCGGCAAGGACGAAAATTCATCCATTTCTATAATCTATTTCAATTTATGGAAAGCCACTTATCTTGGTTTTAATTCCACAAACATCAAGCGAAAGATTCTCCTCATTTTCATATATCATAGAAGCAAATCCAGTTTTTTTCATGGTCTTGGATGAAAAATCCATCAATTTTCAATTCTTCACTTTTAGGATCCTATGTTACGTGTCTTGGGTCCTTAATTCCTCAAACTTCAACCGAAGAATTTTCATGTTTTCTTATTGTGCAGAAGAAAATTCCATCAGTGAGGAAGAAAATCAATCCATTTCTACCACTTCTTTTAACCCCTGGAGTGTCAGGCACCTTGGCGTAATTCCCCCAACCAAATCGAAAAATTTGCCTTATTTTCCTACACTGTAAAAGCAAATTCTGTCATCAGCATGGAAAATCAACCCATTTTCATCAATTCTTGAACTCTGGGATTTCGCATGACTTTAGTTATAACTCTGTGGACCCAAATCGAAAGGTTTTTTCCACATTTTTCTATCCAGAGGAAGAACATTCAGATTCTCAGATTCGGTTATCGGCAAGGATGAAAATTCACCCATTTCCATAATTTATTGCAATTTATGGAAAGCCACTTATCTTGGTTTTAATTCAACGAACTTCAAGCGAAAGCTGTAAAAGCAAATCCAGCTTCTGTCACCAGCAGGGAAAATCAATCGAATTTTCATCAATTCCTGAATTCTGGGCGTTAGGTTCCTGGTTTTATTTTATTCCTTGAACTTCAATCGAACAATTTCCAGTATTTTCTTATCCTGTAGAAGGAAATCTTGCCACAGGTATGGAAGAAAATTTCTTTAGAATTCCCAAAATCTGGGATCCTACGTTTTTTGGCTAGAATTTTTTTAGCGTCCATTAAACATTTCCCACATTTTTTATCTTCCAGAAGATTCTGTCATCAATGATAAAGAAATCTCATTTATTTCTATAATTTCTCTCAATTCCTGGAATTTCAGCTATCTTGGTTTTAATTCCTTCAACTTCAACTGTAATATTTTCCTTGTTTTCTTATCCTGCAGAAGAAATTTTATGTTCTATCTTCAGTGTTGAAAGGAACTCTATTAATTTTTCCAAATTCCTGCGTTCTGAGAACCAAAAGAAAGTAACTAGGTTTCTCAAGGTTTTTGGCTTTTCTTTTATTTCTTTAGAACCATTTTATAGTGTGGACTGGATCTAGCTCCTTCAGACTACTATATAGGTTTTCAAGAGGAAAATAGTTTTAAGTAGCAAATGGCAAGTAACTTCTAATTAAACCAGCGGAAAACTAAGTACTTATACAATAGTTTATACAGTGTGTATAAAAAGCTGATTTTTAAAATTTGATTTGATAACTGATTTTGTTTGATTAGGAATAGTGGTTGTAGGTTATTAAGTTAAAGAAGTAAAAAGACACAAATCTGCTGTATTAAGTTGAACTTTTTTTAGGCCAAACCTGACTACGCTTTCGTGTACGGCGTGAACGACCCCGAGACCGGCAATAGCCAGAAGCACGAAGAGACCCGGGATGGCGACGTTGTCCGGGGCGAATACAGCATACTCGAGCCGGATGGCAGCATACGCCGAGTCGTGTACACAGCCGACCCTGAAAACGGTTTCCAGGCGACAGTCCACAGGACGCCGCCACCTCAGCAGAACTCGAACAATTACCACAACGAAGACGACTACTACTATTAGTTGGCAAATTATAGAAAGGTGTCCTTTTTCTTTATTTTATGTAACGGTGGAGCTGATCTCATCGATTCGATAGGCATTGGATGACGTGACATAAGGCTCAATTGCTCTCAAGCAACTCCGGTCTTTTCCTTTCAAATCAAAATTAAGGTACAGCAGTTTTTCCCGGTTACATCTTTTTAGTGTGGATGATGAAAAAAAAATCCTTTTTCTCTCAATATATGATAAAGCCCAAGTTATTGCTTAGTCTATACCACATTAATGTTTGAAAAAACATTGACCTAAAGGCAAGCCTTTGTTCCTATATCTCTGATCATCCTGATCAGTGCTTTGTCGACACTTGTTTTACTACAATTACATCTCTTTATTCCTGACTTTTATTTTTTCAAAAAAATAAATATAAAATACCTCACAATCTGTCTATTTGAGTTTAATAAGAAGCGAGAGACAACATGCAGACATCCACCGAACATGGCGAAATTCAAATCAATCAATCATTGAGAAAAATTTTCTCGGTTAAACAAAAAGACTTTGTGAACGGCTAACGAGCCTGAAACTCGGCAAAACTAGGCGGACCAGGATTATCAAGGAGGATCTTTCAAGGATTTTTCAATCTTAAAACTGACAAAACATTAATCTATTACTAACCAGATTAATAAACCTTATTTTAAAATTTTTTAAATTAACAAATTTTGAACTTAACTCAGACTTTTATTTACGATGAGCCGACATGCGCTAAGGAAATGATATTTTTCTCTTTTTACTAAACTGACACCTTACTTGTTAAATTGACCACAATTTTATCAATTTTATGCCAAATATCGTAGGTGTATTATCTGTATAATATACGTTATTTACTGTTTCATGTAATGCGTTTTTAGTGTATTTAAAAAAAAACAATGTTCTAGTTTAATTATATTATTTGATCGTATCGACCAATTTTTATATTATTCTTTTTTTTTGTATAATTCTTATATACTGTCTTGTATTTTTTCATAATTCATTATATTTTAAAATATTCTGATTGTTTTCACTCAGCACGAAATAAACACGTTAAGCAGTTTTTACACAATAATTGTTTAAAAAAATATTGTAAATATTATGATTTTCAAATCTCAAGGTGTATTACTGTACCGACTAAGATTACACCAAATTTTGGTTCTGTGCCATCCACTTTTTAAAATGTATGCGACCACCCAATAAATCTTTCTTCTTCTTGAAATTCTTTTCGGTCCGCAGTATTCATTGATACTCCAATTTTCAAAAACACGAGGCGTCAAGGATATAAACAGGGTGAAGCCAATTTCTTGAAGCAGCATTGTCGTTGAACGTTGTCCTGCCAACTGGAATAAGTTGAAAGTGTAGTAAAAAACGTCTACACAGATGAGATAGATAGATAGATAGATAGATAGATAGATAGATAGAGATAGAGAGAGAGAGAGAGAGAGAGAGAGAGAGAGAGAGAGAGAGAGAGAGAGAGAGAGAGTGAGTGAGAAAGAGAGAGAATGTTTATATTTTAAAATTTTAATGTTAATTCTTTCTTTGAAGGAACCTGCAAAAGCAAAGAAGAAGGAATTCTAGTAGTTTGGTTAAGATGTTGAAACGTGTCAGATCGAAACAGGAAGATGATCTGGGATTAATGAGGAATTTAAGGACTATATGAATCTATTCAGCAGCGTGTTGAATTCTATTAATGTTCGATTTGTGTTAGAGCAAACAAAAACGAGTAAAAAAGCTTAAAGGGGTGAATTAGTCTTGGTGGAGCTTTCGCAAGGCAGCAGTCAAATGAAGTTAGTAGTTACACTGTCAACATCCACCGTGACGCCGTTCTGTCTTGCACTCTCGATTTTCCCCCGTCTCGTCCCAGAAGCTCAGAAGCTAATCTCGATCTCAAGAATGCAATGGGAAGTCGTCCCTGCGATGACCTGCATTCTGCTCGTGACGTAACGGACCTCATCTGATACCTTTACGGAGCCATGAGCGCGCACGGTTTACACAATGGATCCATTGCATAACGGATGAGCGGTTCTCAATCAAAATCGCATCAACGTTCAAAAACGGCAGTTGCGTCGCGCGCGCAATTATGTCGTACACGCAAATTTACCCTCTTGTCATGCGGATAGTCGGTTTTTTTTCAAGAGCGCTTGTTGGTGAAAGCTCCATTGTATGCTGAAGTACCCTAAAGCGTTTCCTACAAGAAAAATAGTCCTAATTAAACTTAGCAGTAGAAAGACCAAGATGGAATGAAAACTGGACATCTATGACAGCACGTCGAGTATTTTTAAGGAGGGAATGACGAGTTGCAAAAAGCAGAATTCGTAAATTAACAAACCATGTCCAATCTGATTTACGTTATCTGCTAACGACCCGGAAACGTCTATTAGAGCGAGTTGACCCGCGGAGCGGAACAAGGCCGATAAATGGACAAAATTAAGCTTGTGCAACACCCCGCATCTGTGTTAGTACAAAATAGGGAGAAAAAACAGAATTTATTCCCTACAAAGATAAATTCTTAAATGGATAGTTGGATTATAAGTTACACTTCAGCAATAATCAAAAACACCAAAGGATAACTTTTTCCTATTATAATTTTAAAAGGTGTAAAAACAAAGTTTATCTAAATTATAACTATATTATTTACATCTGGTAGCACAGCGAGTCTACGCGGACCAGGAGAGACCGGTGGCCGAACTCCAGAACGTCAGTTTTCTTCTGCCTAGACTAGCTCGTTGCAGGACAGGCAGACCAAAATGATCGTTAAAAATAAAATTACAACTTTATCTATCGATTATTGTACAATTAAAGACCAGTGAAACAAATTAGTTTAACTAGGATATCAAATACGTAATTTTCACTCTGCGAGAATGTATTTATTGGCGTGAATGAGGGATGTCGTCAGGGTGAAAACGCCTTGTGGTATCCCAACTGTAAAAAATTAAAAAAAAGACTCTATGGATAGGTTGAAAAATTCCAAGATCTCCGTGGTTGAAAACTTTTATTCAATTTAGTAAATTACATGGATGTTTCGGGCTCCTGGCCCATCATCAGCAAGTAAACATAGAGAAATCTCATGGTATAATTCACAATCGGAAGGCACACCCATCAGTAATTTCCGATTTTTTAAATAAAAGTATTTATACCTGGACTATGCCAATGATACATATATATTATTTTTCCACCCCCTTTATTTGTTGAGGGGAATGTCGTCAAAATTAATAGTCCAGGTATAAATACTTTTATTTAAAAAATTGGAAATTACTGATGGGACACCAACTCCCCATCTCAACCTGATTAAACCATAAACCTTCGACCTTTCGAATTTTCCCTCCTTTTTGCCATTTTTCAAGCAGAAGGTCGTGTGTTCGAATCCCGCTCGTGACACTACCTTTTTCATTTCAACCAAAACCTTACATTCAAAGGTTAATTAATTGAAAGAAGTAATTTGGTCAATAGACAACTAAATATAATGGATTAACTTTCAATTATCTGGATTAATCTGTATTTAAGGTATTGGTTGAGATAAAAAAGTCAGCGTCACAAGTGGGATTCGAACCCACGACCTACGGCCAAAAGCTAGCACGATAGTAGAGCAGAGGCGTATTTAGCCGAAGGTCGTGGGTTCGAATCCCGTTTGTGACAATGACTTTTTTATTTCAACCAATACTTTAAATATAGGTTAATTAATTGAAAGGTATTATTTGGTCAAGCGGACCACGAAAACTAGTGAATATAATGGACATTTAACTAAATATGTAAGCTATGTGGTCTACCTGTCTCCGGTCTGAAATACGACATAGAAGTATTGAAAGGAAGGTAAGTACTGGTAATTAAAAAAAGGACCTTTCCAATTTTCTCTGCATACAGAATTCCCAAAATGTCCAGAGGTCTATAGTGAGATGGTGGATATCAGAGACCTCTGACTCTGACCTTTGACTCCTATGGCATTGCAGAGCTTAATGTCTTAGAAATGTCAACATTGCTTTTTGCTTTAAAATATTCAGCTGCTTGTACAAATTTACCAGAGGATGAAATTGTGACATCCAGATCGAATAAATGATTGAAAAAACCCGATTCTGAACGGGAACTAGGCCTGCTTCATCAAATGGCTGCCAATTTTGGTCTTCAGGGGGCGTCGGTGGCCGCAACGGTTTAGGCGTTGACACGGTGCTCATCACTGTAAGGTAAAGGCCCGGGTTCGAATCCAGCGGCCCTACCATTCGAACCCGACATACTTACAAATGGGCTTTTTTTCAAAACACCGGCACCCTGAGGGTTTATATGACCTCTGCTGTTGCTAACCCTCGTAAAAAAAAAAATAAGAAATAAAATTTTGGTCTTCGGTGCTAGATCTTAATATTTACATGCTAAATCATAATTTAACCCCTAGAAAATTGCACCACGATATTTTTTAAAAATAACAAACCAAAAAGGCTCAATCGTTTTGAGATTTATTTGAGTAGAAAAAAAATGAGCTGTGTGGTGGACGGATAGGAGGAACATAGTCCACCGGTGGACTTAATTTTCCCAGTCAATCGTGACACTTGCGGTCGAACGTCGTCACGAAGAAAAAAATGGAAGGATTTTCCCGACATTTCCTCAATCTCTCTGCAAAATATTTATGTATATACTTGGTAACTAGGGAGTACATAGTGTCCAGATGCCATGGACTTTTTTCCTGATAATAACATTGTAAAAGAATAACGATTCGTGCTCATCAAAGCTGAAATCCTTAGTTTTATAGAAATATTTTAGGAGTTAAGTTTTCCATGTTTTAATTTTTTTCACATAACCTCTGTTCTTTGGCTTAGGCAAGGCTATAAACGGTCTGTAATTTACCCAATTATGTTTTTTCTTTATAATTTAGCTTCATCACGATGATTCGATTTGTAACACTGGTTTTATAATTTATATTAAAAAATATACAGAATGCATCGAGTTATGTAAAGAATCTGTTGCAACAAAAAACCTCCCAAAATCCATTCAATTTTTATATTATTTTGTCATGTTGTAACGTATAATCAAACCATTTTTGTTGCATAACTTAATTGTACGCAAGTCTCAAGTAGTAATTTAGAAAAAAAATCATTTGTCTTAGTCTGACGAAGGAAGAGTCATCATCAGATTGACTTGACAACCTTTCATTAACGGATTACACATAGATTTAGATTTTTTTATATTATAATTTTGTTCACCGCAATGATTTAAAAAAAAAAACGAGCGTAAAAAAGAAATAATACATAATTAATGAAGTGATCTAATAGTGCATATTGGAATTGTATTGGGTGGTTGCGAGTTGTTGAACATTTCCGTCAAAGAACGGATAAATTTGGACGTTACGGATCATTTTGGTCCGCCTATCCTCGCTGGGTATGTCCGCCAGGCTTGGAAAGAACTTCTGAGTGTCAGATGAAGTCAGTATGTGTAAAATAAAATTTAAACCGATAAATAATGAGCTGTTGACTCACAGGGGTCAGTCGAAGCCAGAGATGGTCGAGAAAGCACCGCTTTCTAAAATTTCCGTTTAAAATCAAGCCGATTAATAGGATAAGTAGTCAATTGAAAAAAAACAACGGACAAACAAAATATATCCGTTTCCGTTGAACCAACTTTCCCTGATGCAACGCAGACGGCATCGGTGATTTTGTAAAAGAGACGGAACGAGTCCTTACTCTAGATATACGTGCTCGATGCCAGGCACGCAGTTGTCAAAGGAAGTCAAACAGAAAAAGGGGAATGGCTTTGCATGTCCGTTGGAAACTGTTTTATTTTCCATTGGGTGAAACTAGCTTTTATCGGGCGTTTATGTAATTTCAAACGAGAATGAAACAACGACTTCAAAATACGGATTTGAATGGGTATTTTAAAATCACCCATTTTGTTTTTATTTGAATTATTGACATATTAAAGTAATGAATTAATATAATAAACGTTAATATAATAAAAATGGGAAAAAGGAAGGAAAATTTGAAAGGTGGGGGTTGAGATGGGGGAGTTTGTGTCCGAGTGGATCGAAGTCACGATAGCTCAAGTGGTAGAGCAGCGGCGTATCAAGCCGAAGATTGTGGGTTCGAATCCCGCTCGTGCCATTGACTTTTTTTATCTCAACTGAAAACCTTAATTAATTGTAAGACCTTACATAAAGATTAATTAATTGAAAGATGTTATTTGGTCAATGGGACCAATCTAATGGTATTAATATGTCTTCACTAAAGCTCTCCGTGGCCATTTCTTTCTGGACATTTGCTAAATGGCAAAAATGAGGGAAAATTCGAAAAGTTTGTTTGAGATGGGCAGTTGGTTGGGAAGTTACGATAGCTCAAGTGGTCGAGCAGCGGCGTATTTAGCCGAAGGTCGTGTGTTCGATTCCTGCTCGTGTCACTGACTTTTTTACCTCAACCAATACCTTACATAAAGATTAATTAATTGAAAGATTTTATTTGGTCAATCGGACCACGAAATCTAATGAATTTAATAGAAATAAGGTAGTTCTGAAATACAAATTACACTCATATGGTATATTATCCGGATGTACCGTATGAAATGTCAGTTTTATTCATTTTCTTTCCTAATCTTCCTCCTTTATTAATTCAATATTTACATAATTGTCATTCATACGGAATTAAAGCTCTTTCATTCCTCTTCCTTTTTCAGTGACCTCACTAGAATTACGGTATGAAATTAAACTTGGCCATACTGACGCGTGTCTTAACATTAAATGATGCTTTTGGGGAGGATTCTGCGAATGAAAGGACAGTTTATCGGTGGTTTTCACGGTTTCGTAATGGAAATTTTGAACTTGACATTGAGGAGCGAGGTAAGCCGGAAATCAAACTGGAATCACCAGCTGAGGGCAGTGGTTGAGTCTTGTCCCGCAAAAAGCACTAGGGAATATGCCAAAGATCTGGGAATAGGTGCTTCGACCGTTTCAAGGCATTTAAAAGAAATCGGGTAAAGCGAAAAAATTCGATAAATGGGTACCACCACAGAAATAAAAACGCTACGAAATTCTTCACTTCACCATGAACCATTTTTGAACCGGGTTCTCACTTGTGTCGAAAAGTGGGTTCTGTACGGCAATCAGACAAGGTCAGCTCAATGATAGAGATGAGTCGCCAGAGCAGATGGCAAAGTCAAGCCTTCACCAAAACAAAAGAAAAAAAAATGCTGACTGATTTTTTGAGGAATGGGTGGTTTGATCCATTTTAGTTTCTTAAACCCTGATGAACAAAAAACTCGTATTGCCAAAAGTTAGACTTTTTTTAAAATCAGAAACTGCAAGAAAATCATCCAAGTTTGGTCAATAGAAAGGCACCTAAACTCCTCCACGACAATGCTCGTCCTCACGTTTCCAGATTGAGAATGCTAAAACTTCAAGAACTACAAATTGAAGTTCTTCCACACCCACCATATTCACCTGACCTATCGCCATCTGACTTCCACCCTTTTTCTGCCCTGGATCGTTTTATAAGAAATAAAAAAATTTCAAACTAGAGATGCTCTCAAAACAACAATCAAAGAATTCCTTACATCTCGAAATCTAAACCTCTACGAGAAGGGGATACAAAAGCTTACAGTACGTTGGGAAAAGTGTATTTCAACTAATGTAAAATATTTTGATTGATTAAAGAGGTATTTTGAGTATTGATTCCAGCTTTATAATATTTCCCCAATTACTGACATTTAAAACGGTACAACCAGATACAAAAATACATATTAATACATGAAGACCAAGTCAAAATGAACAATAATATTGCCTCATTTTATTTTCGTATTTATTAATATTAATTCATTCTTCAACCCTCTTTATTATTTACCTGTTACTTATCACTTAGAGATATATATATTCTACAATTATTTTTGTTTTGAATTGAATTATTGTGATAGAAAAGCGATAATATAAATACTTACAGGTTTTTTTGTAAAGCGATCTATTTGAAGAGAATACATTAATTAACAAAAGGACGGATGCAAAATCGAAGTGTTACTGAACGAATGAACAATAAATGAATGAACGGGCAAACGAATGAACCAACAACCGATTGGCAGAAGGGCGAATAAATCTTTGTATAAATGATGAACCAATAAATGATCACTTGTAAAGAAAAACGAAAATATTATTGACTGAATGATTGTATAAACAGACGAATAAACAATAAATTAATGACTGAATGCACAGCTGAATAATAGACGAGAAGAACGAATGTATTGTGGCAAAAATAGACAAAACAATGAATAAACAGGAAATGAAAGAACGGCAATAATTGATGCATAATATTACGAACAGACGGAGGAATAAACAAAAGAAAGAATGAACAATAAATCAATGTATTTAAAAAAAAACCCGCATGAATGTAATGAATGAACGGCCACGAACAAGCAAAGAAGGAATTTGTTAATGAATGAACGGTTGAACTGGCGAATGAAAATGAATGAACAGAATGGATAAATGGATCGAATTAATTGAGGGGAGAATGTTCAGCAGAACGAATCTATTATTAAATGATTAAATGAACGGATGGATAAACAATAACTGAATTTATAAAGTAATACTTGAACGGATTGAATTTAAAATAGGCGTGTACAAAAAAAAGTGTTATGAATGAATGATCGGGCGTATGAACAAAAAGCAAATAATTATACTAATGAATGAACGGATCAATGATCACTATACGAATGATAATAGTAATGAATGAACTGTTGAATGGGCGAAAAATGAATGAATAGAATGGATAAACGGATCGAATTAATTAAGGCAATCTTATCTTATGAATTTGTAAGCAAATGATAGTACTAATGAACGAACAGATCAATGAACATTGAACGTATAGAAGATTAATGAATGTGAACGGACGAATGAACAATTAAAGAAGGAATTTGCTAATCAATGAACGAATTAACTAAGGAAAGTAACTATGTATGTTCAGAAGAGCGAATGTACTGTTAAATGAACAACGAATGAACGATATGAATGTATAAAGTAATAAATGAATGAACTTATTTTAATTTGAATAAAAAACAAATGATAAGTGTATCAATGAGGACGAATAAACAATGCATGAATGAATATGCTAACGAATGAACGGTTAACTGTTAAATGAAATTATTAAATGGATTAAATTATGAATGGATGCTCACATGAACGAATGTTTTATTGAATGAATGAATGAGGATTGAATGAACAATAAATGAATGATAAGAGTATTCAATGAAGGAAGAACGAACAATACAGGACGAATGAACAACAAATGAATCTGTAGTTCGTTTTTGATCATTATAAAGACATCTCTCATTTCTGTTTGTCTAACTCTTACGATTTTACTTTTTATTATTATTTTTCTCATTCTCTCTCTCAATCTTTCTGTTTCTCTCACCGTTTTAATTTTTTTGGGTTTCTTTTAGTCTTTCTCTCTCTCTCTCTCTCTCTCTCTCTCTCTCTCTCTTTGATTATCTTACACTTTTTCTCAGTGTGTATTGCTGTCTCTCTGTCTCTATCTTTTCCTCCCTCGCACTATTTATCTTTCCCTTTGTCTCTCGCTGTTTCTATTTAATTTTTTTGTCTGCCTGTTTCTCTGTTAATTCCCTGACTCCCTTCTCATTTTTGTCCTCTCTTGTCCTCTTGTCTTTTGCCTTCCTTTGTTTTTCTTTTTCCTCTTCCTTTCCTTCACTTTTCTCTTATCTACTTGTTATTGCAGTCGCTCTCTCTCTCTCTCTCTCTCTCTCTCTCTCTCTCTCTCTCTCTCTCTCTCTCTCTCTCTCTCTAATCTTAACAAAACGCCATTTGAGTTATGTTACAAGAAACGATCCCCAAGTCCCTCAGAGGGGAAAAAAGTACCCAAGATCGTGGAAAGGGAAACTTTGGAGGGGCTTCGGACGGGGAAGGGTTGCAAAGTATAAAAGAGAGAGCAAACGTGTGCGTGATGAGTTCGGTCCAATTCGAAAGTGCTCTAAACAAACACAAATGGCCCAATTTTTCAAAGTAAGAAGGACGAGGGTGGAAAAATTATACCTGGCTGTTCCGATGTTCGATGTTTTGATGTTCATGCACATGTTATAGGTCGCACTCTTTGCAGCGCTCGTCGCCTTGTGCACAGCATTCCCCGTTGAATATCTGGCTGAACTGGACTACGCATTGGCGGATCAACACCAACACGAGCAAGAACCATATAACGTGAGATTGATTAATCATTTATTACACTTACTATAAATCATGATTGTGGTAGTCCTGGTCCCCCAACCTGGTCACATGACCTTTAGGTTTAAATCATCAATGATCTAAAAAAATAGTCCATCCCCTGAAGCCAAAGGTGTTCAGCTAAAGGTAATAAAATTGATGGTGTTTTGGACCATGATGAACCTCTAAATATGTAGTCAATTATAGTCAACAATGTATTATAATCAATACTTTATTATGTCTTAAAGACAAAACGTTTTATTTACGGAATTTTCTATTAACTGTCAAACTATGTGGGGTTTCTTTATATTCGGGGTGGATATGGCCATTCTTCTAGTCATAATGTTTTAGGAAATTTACTGAACATATCTATTTGTTAGAACTAAACGGTTAAAAGAGGGGAAATATTAATAGGATGAGCGGTAATATTGGATTACGTCAACTCAGATGTTTTCATGACTGTCCAGAAACTGCGGACCTTAAAATTGTAGCCCTTCCTCATCCGTCATACTCACCAGAGCTTTCACCTGGTCATTATCGTTAAGCGGCTTTCAAAACTCGGTCACGTACGGGAAAAAATATGAGTTGAGTTCAGGATTGAATTGGTTTTTCAATTTTTACTAACAAATCCATAGATATTTCGCCAAAGAAATTGATAATTCGACTTCATGAGGCCTGGAGGATTCCAGAGTCCAAAACTTATTTCTCTGAAGCTGTGACTGTACATACTTTGTTTATAGATTTTTTGTCCTCCAAGTTTAACTATGGTCGCTGTTTGTCACACAATTTTGTCAGACAGATTTCATCGTCTTCAGTTGATCCATGAATTGATTGAGGCGTTGAGCAAACAAAAACAGTCAACGCAGACATTCTGAAGAATCGAACTACCTTACCTACTACCTATCATCTGACCAGTAATTGAGACCAAATTGGGACCACCATTCAGGCTGAAATTTTTTTAACCATAACAGTATGACCAAGGAAGAACTTTTGACTTTTTTATAGTTAACTGTATTTCTTGGTTCTAATTTTGCTTAAAATCAATTAAACCCTTAATTATATCTTCATTAATTTGACAAATTATTATACCAAAAGTTTCTTACAGTCTCTGAAATTAAAAAAAAAATCATGGTTCTAAACTTTTTTAAATGTTTATTATCAACATCAAAAGTTGATTTAGGTTTTTGAAGTTTAACGCCACAGGCTGAAAGTGAAGATATTTCTGACTAAAACACAGCGAAACTGGGCGGACCAGAAGGTGCATTATCTTTTTAAAAGTATACCTCGAATTTAGATCAAATTTTGTTGCATTTAATTGAGCACTGGTGTTCAATAAAATCCCACAAATCGTGGGCCTATGTCTTTTTTAAAATAATTATTGTCGACATTAAAAATTGATATGTTTTTTTTAAAGCACTATTGTTTAACGCTTTAGGCTGAAAGTGTCGGCATATGTCACCAAACCGCATAGCGAAACTGGGCGAATCGGAAAGTTCAGGGAAGGTGCTCACTTTATTATTATTAAATATAATCAAATCTTAAACCATATTATTTTTTAATCAGACTTTATTTTTCTAAACTGGGCATTCTAAAAATCACTTACACACTGAAAAATACATTTTTTTAATTTTCACGATTGACGAACATGAATGTCCAGAGAAAATCAAACTATTGACTGTTTTTTTTTCAATTACATTTTAGACCTCAAACCTTGTCATGCGAAAATCAGTAGTAACGATCAATAATAATAAAACAATTATCATCCTGACGTGAAAAATGACATTAATTTGGTAAACTTGATTTTTGGCCTTACTACAGGACATATTAATTTTTTAGCATAGTATCTTATTGTCAGTTACATTTTACAAATTGAGATATGTAAAAATCATTTACACACTGAAAAATACAGTTTTTTTTTAAATTTGAAGTTGTAGGTGGTCGAGGGACTGTTAACAGAGCGAGACTGTTCGGACCAGAAAAGATATAACCACTGAATTTTTTTTCTATTATATTTTAGAATTCAAATCTAGTTTTTATTTTTGTCCGGTGTATCATGCAAAAATCAGTAATAACAGCCATAATAGCCATCAACCACCTTACCGTAGGTATAAGCCATCAACCAAATTTTTGGATTTAAAAGAGGACATATTAATTTTTTAGCGTAGTATTTTATTATGTTACATTATGCATAATGAGGTATCTAAAAATCACTTACATACTGAAAAATAAATTTTTTTTTTTTCATTTTCAAGATTATAGATAGTTGCGCAAACACAGCGAGACTAGGCGGACCGAACGTCCAGAGCAGACCAAACTACTGATTTAAAAAAAAAAAAATTATATTTTAGATTCGAACATGAAAAATGATATTACTTTGGTAAATTTGATTTTTGGTTTTACGAGAGGAGGACATATTAATTTTTTAGCTGACTGTCTTATTTTTAGTTATATTACACAAATTGAGGTATTTAAAAATTACTTAAATACCAAAACAGTAGTTTTTTAAACAATAAAGACTGTAGATAATTGACCAAACACAGCGAAACTAAGCGTGCCAGTTCTATTATTATAGTATTACAAATGCATTGTTATATTTAGTTTATTTTTTAAATTCAATCTGAATCAATGAAGTTTGCACTGAATACATTTCAGGATGTAAGTTAAGTATTTGACGTGTTGCACACCTTGCAAAAAGCGAGACTGAGCGGACCACACCGGGCAATATCATCGGATTGAGTTATTTCTCGATTATTTAGTTTTTCCTTTCAGTGAACTTATAAATAAGATGATATAATTTTATAATAACGATTTACTTGTTGTAAGCGTTTCGTATTTTACACAAAATTTTAGTGGTTTTGTAAAATAAATTGTGGCTTTTTTTCGGTGGAAGTCATAAAAGCACAACTGGAAGATTTCATCTTCTCTGACTTTTACTTTCGTCCTGTGGATTAAATAGAATTTCGACGACTTTCTTCCGTCAGTGGCACCTTTCACTGATTAATGCTTACTTCTATGACTTCTTTCCCCATTTGTGCAGTTTTAAAGGAAATGTTTGGTTTTTTTACAATCCTTATTCGACGAGTTTCCAAATTAGGAATGCGTAAAGCGTATTTTAATTGGGTCAGTCGTAACAAATACAAACCGGGAAAAGGCTAGTTTTCTTTCATTTTTTTGCGGAGTCAGACTTGAATTTATAAATCTGAGGATTACGTAACAGATGTAGATTAAAGAAAAGAAGATTATGTGTGGCATGTGCCGTAAAACATGTTATAACTTTAAAATAAGGAAAATAATCTAATTCTATCCTTGTAAGAAGAATTATAACATCGCTTTATAAAAGAGTTACCATTTTTGGTTTTTAAATTTGGTCGAAGTTCTGCGTAGATTAGTGATCGTTGGGATCGATTGGTCTCGCTTTTTGACGATGGCGAATCGCGGAACCTTTGAATACATCCGACGCAAATGGTGGGTTGTACTTGTAAAAATTCTTGGAATTAATGATAGCCATAGTATATAATTTTTTATTCTAATCGGGGCTTTAATAAATTACGAGGTTAATTATAATTTTATGAGAAAATTAGCCGTTAAGAATATTTTAGGTTTTAATGCTTGGGCTTGGGGTAGGGTCTTGAGGTTTGACCCGTTCTACCGCTTTGAGTAAAAAATCTATAATTAATTCAATTTGGATTAGTTTTATAGTTGAAGATAAAACTTGGAAAGCTTTTAAAATAAGGGACGAGATCACTGTTGAAAGCGTGTTTTGTTCTTACGTTCTTATTAGGAAGGGATTTTTTTTATTGCTTTTTGGCTTTCTCCTTTTTTTTTTTTTTAATTTTCTCTCACGTTTTCACAGCACCATCCGAAATACTCGTTCAACTACGGGGTGAAAGACACTCACACGGGCGATGTGAAACACCATTCAGAAGAGAGGGACGGAGACGTCGTCAAAGGGCAGTACAGCCTCTTGGAACCGGACGGTACGATGAGGATAGTCGACTATTCAGCGGACAACCACAACGGATTCAACGCGGTCGTCACCAAGAGAGGACATTCAGTACATCCGGTACACAGCTACCATTGAGATCTCTCAGAACAAAAGAAATATACTCATGTGATATATGACTGAACGACCATGTAAAATGTAAAAAAAAGTTGATCCTATAATAAATATTTTTATAACAAAATGATACATCTTTTAAAGCATTTACCTATTAAATGTACTTTATAAGTCCTTATTCCTAAAGCGGCCCTTATATGAGCAATATTATTGACAATATCAGTATTGTCAAAACAGCCGTTTATTTTTTAGGGTACCACCGTCAATATCGTCATACCCTACACGGTCAATATTATTGTCAATAATTGTATCAATAAAAGTGCTCAGTACGTTTGTTTCCACGATTCGGACAAGTGAAATTGTGTCTTTCCAAGTGAATTTTCGCGGCGTCCTGTGTTTTCAAAACATGGACAATCGAAAAAAACAACAATGATATGTAGCCATAATTATAGCTATCGGAAGTATTCGTCAAGTTAAGCCAAATCGATGGATGAAAGAGTAGTTGAAGAAACGTGAAGAATATTCTCATATGAGCCTGCTGAGGGAAATCAGATGGAAGAACCACTCTTGAGAAGGCAGAACAGAAACATGAAGGAATGCATCGCTGTTAATGAAAGATTAGCCTTAACCCTGAGATACGTAGCTACAGGAAGAAATTTTGAATATTTGAAGTGCTCTGTTATCTTTTCGCCGGCAGCTATCAGCGAAGCAATAATTGAAACGTGTCAAACTCCAATTGCTCAATAAAGGTCCGTAGGGCTTCGCCTTGCAAGCTTTCAGTCCTCCTATATTATTTCTTCAACCTGACTCGTTTACAGTTTCAAAGTCTTAAGACGTAATACTTCGCACAAAGTTTACTTCCTTTCCTACAAAAGCACGCCAACAACTCAGTTTTGACAATATTATTGAATACGGCCCTAGACACTCAATAATATTGGACAATATCCCCTCCACTTTTAAATATTGACGTCCCGAGATCAGAAAAATCAGGATTTTTATCAATATAGCTTCAATATCGGCTGTCAATACTCTTATTTTCATCTTATATAATCAATTATTGTCACTATCATACTGCATTGTCAATATTATTGATCGTGTAAGGGCTGTTTGACATTTTTTTATTTTTCGATTACTTCGTTTTTACCTCCGTTTTGCCTATTTTAATTTGTTCCATTCAATTCCTTTAATTAAATCTCATTAAATTCGATTTTGATAAGGTTACTTTATGCATCAGCCGAGTGTTCCTAAATGATAGGTACAATAGAGGCGGCCATAAAGCCTACTTTACCTCGCCTTGAGTAGTTCTATTGTTCTCATCTGTTTTTCTGTAAATTACTGGCCAGGTTTAGGTTGATAATATCCATAGCCTTGGTGTATCTTGCTTGCGGCTTTTACTCACTATATTCTATACTAGATTTTAATTTCTAGTACTGTGTATAATTTTGCTGTAACAAAATAAACAGATGGACGATAACAATGTTGTTGTGTTAATATTGTTAAAGAAAACAGAGTTTCGTTGTTTCTGAAGGTGGTATGATGGAAAACCTTGTCTATTTTGTAAATATATAATGAAGATTTTGATAGAAGATAACAAAACTATATTTACAGAACAGATAATATTCGACCTTTCTGTAGATGTTTTGATAGTCAGCCTTATCATAATATTTTTAAATATTCCATCAGAATTTAAACAAAAGACAAAAAATTCTATTACATTTCAAGACTAAGGGCAAGGTTAAAATTTTGAATTTCACATAATAAGGCATGTATCCATCAGGAGTATGTAATAAATAAAGTCATACCTAATTTGACATAGATTAACATTGCAAGAAAATTAAAAAAATTGTCAGATAATTATGACTTTTATAGAGACATGGACCCATTATGAGTAAGGCCTGTAATAGTCATAAGCCATTTTCAATTTAATTTGTTTATTTTTGGGATAGTAGAAGGTTTTATGTTCAAAACCAAAAGCATAAATTGTTTTTTATTGTTTAGTACTGTAATAATTGCATTCAATAAAATAGATTTGTGGAAGGCAACAAAATTATATATATACATATATACTTGTATATGTTTGATAAACCTTGTCTACTTTTTTAAATATTCCATAAAGATTTTTAAAAAATCTTGTACATTGTAATCCCCAGGGGGGAGTAAGGTCAAATTTTGAAATTGACATACATTAACATTTCAAGAATAATAAAAGAAAATCAGAGAAGCATGACTTTTATAGAGACATGGACCCATAGTCGTAAGGCATGGAGTAGCCATAAACCCCCTTCTATTTAATTTACTTATTAGTGGTATTGTTTCATTTTGCCTAAACAGAGATTTCTGAAACACTATAAATGTATTAATTTCTATACTTCTTACTGTTGTATTTACTTTCTCTCTACTTACTGAACTGTAACAGTCTATTTTCAAAAGAAGCGCACAAATATTATTATTATTATTATTTTTTTTTTACGAAGGTTCGCAACAGCAGAGGTCATATAAACCCTCAGGGTGCCGGTGTTTCTGACAAAAAGCCCATTTGTAAGTATGTCGGGTTCGAATGCAGGGCCGCTGGATTCGAACCCGGGACCTTTACCTTACAGTGATGAGCGCCGTGTCAAAGACTAAACCTTGCGGCCACCGACGCCCCCCACAAATATTATTATTATTATTTTTATTACTACCTGTATAATAAAATATACATCTCGTAATTTAAGGTTATTAACATACAGAGGAGGGAAAATTCGAAAGGTAGGTTGAATTGGGAAGTTGGTGTCCGATCGAAGTTGCGATAGCTCAAGTGATTAGAGCAGCGGCGTATTGAGCCGAAGGTCGTGGGTTCGAGTCCCGCTCGTGACACTAAATTTTCATTTCAACCAAAACCTTACATAAAGATTAATTAATTGAAAGGTATTTACATATTTACATTTATGCACTTTATATCATGTCTTGACGGGAGTCGCCAAACATTGTTTGTCTATTAGTTTTGTGCAAGGTTAATCCTTCATGAGGAGATCCCGAGGCCATCTCAGCTTTGTCCTCGGACAGGATTGTAGGGATGGATTATGTTGGACATGGATTGGGCTAGTTGGTTGGGGTGAGTGGAGATTTTATCGTGGAACTGGGTGAATTTGGACGCGATTCATTTATTTACAAAGGGTATTTTAAGGTCATTGTGGAGCATTTTTTGTCGACAAATTAGATTTGCGTCCGTGTAGTTTATAGTAGTTGTCCGAATGTTCTATTCAGTTCCTGTCTTTTTATTTGGATGTTGTTTTCACGTCAGTGAGACAAGATAGAGCCCAAAGTATCGCATGCAGTCAGCTTTGGGATTAGAGATGATGTTGAGGTGTATTGTGTGATGAGTTTTCCTTCGGAGGGTAAATGTAATATGGGTGCACTTGCGTATTTTTAAAAATAATAATTGGTTTTTTGTCAGGAAGAAACGGTCGGCCTATTGGTCTTGTCGCATCATTCGACTTAATTTGCTTTCACTTGAGAGACGATTTGTCACCCAAAAGGCAAAAAGTGAAATCTCATAAACAATGTTTCAATGTTCATCATCGTAATAAAAAATTGCCGATGAATATTCCTCCTATGGACATCAGTCAAAGTATAATTTGTGCCATAGATTGTTTTTATGCAGATTTCTAATGACTTCATATTTATATAAATTGCCTCCCTTGTATATTAGCCTCCCACCGGTAATTCTTATGCACTTGATATTTTTATATATATTTTTCCCACTCAAAACCAGTTTAATGCATTATTTAAGATCACTCGTATATAAAATAAATCGTGACTTCATCCACGCAACGGATTAACATGATAGGAGTTAATCGTTATTTACAGCGATCGAATAATTCAAAGTTGTGCATCGCTCGTCAAGTGCATCGCGCTTAATTTGCCTATTTACTCTTACAATTTTCAGTCAATTTGTCGGTGACAAAGCATTTTTCTTTCAACATGTCATAGCTATGCGAAGTGTCATAGGAACTATTTAAAGCTTAATTACAGCCGACTTAATTTAGCTAGACTTAGCTTAATTAACTGACTACGCTTATCCTTTTTGATGTTTTAAACTTCTTAAAAACTCTTTATTTAGAGCCACCGTAGATTAAGCTATAAATAATTTCTGAAAACGGAGATTCTCAAAACTTAAATATTGTAATAGTTTTGAGCCTATATAAATCCAAATCCAAAAATCCAAATCAAGACTTATTAAGATGCACAAATTCGTAGTTTGATTAATGGTCAAAATGACCCTTCCTTCCTTTTTTTTATTATTTATTTATTTATTTTATATATTTTTTATGAGGGTTCGCAACAACAAAGGTCATATAAACCCTCAGGGTGCAGGTGTTTTTGAAAAAAAAGCCCATTTGTAACTGTGCCGGGTTCGAATGCAGAGCCGCTGGATTCGAACCCGGGATCTTTAACTTACAGTGATGAGCGCTGTGTCAACACCTAAACCGTTGCAAAGGTTTTATACAAATAAGGTTTTATATAAATAATTTAAATATGACATATACGTTCTGCTTTTAATAAAAAGTTGCCACAATAAATATTAAATAGAAGAGAGTTTAAAACTATTCCTTGCTGTGTCCTTGCCTGTGTCAAAGTAGGCGAATTTTAAGAAACGATGAAAATTCGTTATTTGAATAAAATTTCTTTATCGTCCACCTGTCTATTTTATTACAATACAATTTTATACAGTCTTCAGTTGGATAGAGTTTGTGCGTTTGGTTTTTAACACGAATCCTTCAATTGTGCCGCTGAAAAGCCAGTTAACAAAAGAGGGCTTAAACCTACTCCATGCATTACTCCAGATGAATCCTTGGTTGTATCAAAGTATGGCCATCAAATTTTAATATGATTTTGATATTTGAAAAAGTTGATAAAATATTCAATAAATAATTTGAATCAACTGTCGACAACCATTCAACGGCTTAAGACTATTCCATGCATTACTACAGACGAATCCTTGCTACTATCACAGCCAATTAAAAAAAAAAAAAAATGAAATAAAGTTAAAAACAAATAAAGTACCTAAAAAAATGAAAACATATTTAATTGTCATAAAGTTTGATAACATCTAAGGCTATATTAACTTCGAAGTAATTG